GTGCATTTCTGGAGTGTGTCTGTGGCAGGCCTTGAACCCAGCCACCGCTGCGACTCAGGACTTGCCCCTGGAGGGATGTCGCTCAGAGTCAGGCACCCCCTCGCCATCTGTTTGTAGTTAGGACGGGCAGCACTTTGCATGCTCGCTCGTGGGAGCTCATTTCATCACAAAGCAGGCTTGTCCTCAGCTCAGACACCACCCTGCACGGTCTGGAAGGAAAGGAAGAGACGGATCTGCCGTCTGCTTCTCCCAGAGCCGTGGCTCAAGAGCCCGTGAGGTTTACCCCAAAGGCTGAACATAAGGGAAACAGGAGACTAAAACCTGGATAGACAGTTTTCCTCACCAGGGGGTCCATCAGGGCCTACAACACACGTGGGGGCCTTTATTACAGGAGGGAGCCCCAGACAAGCTACTCCTACAAACACCTTTTACTTTCATCTCTGCTTCTCGACCCCCAGCAATTCAGCTCTTGCTGGGGACTTTTTTTTTCTTATTTATTTGACTGCAGCACAGCAGAGGATGAGATGATTAGATAGCATCACCAATTTGATGGACATGAATCTGAGCAAATTCCAGGAGATAGTGAAGGACAGGGAAGCCAGGTGTGCTGCCGTCCATGGGGTTGCAAAGAGTCAGACACAACTTAGCAACTGAATAACAAATCAGGTCTTAGTTGCATCATGTGGAGTCTTTCATTGCAGCACACGGGCTTCAGTAGTTGTGGCACGTAAGCTCCAGAGCCCTCAGGCTCAGTAGTTGCAGGGTACAGGCTTTGCTGCTCTGAGGCATGTGGTATCTCAGATCCCCGACCGGGGATTAAACACCGCGCCCCCTGCAGTGCAAGGCAGATTCTTTTTCTTTTTTTTTTTTTTTTTCCCACGGTATTTTTATTTTTTATTTATTTATTTTTTTTTAGGCTTACAAAAATTTTCATATTATTTTTTTTTCATTTATTTTTATTAGTTGGAGGCTAATGACTTCACAACATTGCAGTGGGTTTTGTCATACATTGACATGAATCAGCCATGGAGTTACATGTATTCCCCATCCCGGTCCCCCCTCCCACCTCCCTCTCCACCCGATCCCTCTGGGTCTTCCCAGTGCACCAGGCCCGAGCACTTGTCTCACGCATCCAACCTGGGCTGGTGAGCTGTTTCACTATAGAGAATATACATGCTGTTCTTTCGAAACATCACACCCTCGCCTTCTCCCACAGAGTCCAAAAGTCTGTTCTGTACATCTGTGTCTCTTTTTCTGTTTTGCATATAGGGTTATTATTACCATCTTTCTAAATTCCGTATATATGTGTTAGTATGCTGTAATGTTCTTTATCTTTCTGGCTTACTTCACTCTGTATAATGGGCTCCAGTTTCATCCATCTCATTAGAACTGATTCAAATGAATTCTTTTTAATGGCTGAGTAATATTCCATGGTGTATATGTACCACAGGTTCCTTATCCATTCGTCTGCTGATGGGCATCTAGGTTGCTTCCATGTTCTGGCTATGATAAACAGTGCTGCGATGAACATTGGGATGCACGTGTCTCTTTCAGATCTGGTTTCCTCAATGTGTATGCACAGAAGTGGTATTGCTGGGTCATATGGCAGTTCTATTTCCAGTTTTTTAAGAAATCTCCACACTGTTATCCATAGCGGCTGTACTAGTTTGCATTCCCACCAACAATGTAAGAGGGTTCCCTTTTCTCCCCACCCTCTCCAGCATTTATTGCTTGTAGACTTTTGGATAGCAGCCATCCTGACTGGTGTGTAATGGTACCTCATTGTGGTTTTGATTTGCATTTCTCTGATAATGAGTGATGTTGAGCATCTTTTCATGTGTTTGTTAGCCATCTGTATGTCTTCTTTGGAGAAATGTCTGTTTAGTTCTTTGGCCCATTTTTTTATTGGGTCATTTATTTTTCTGGAACTGAGCTTCAGGAGTTGCTTGTATATTTTTGAGATTAATCCTTTGTCGCTTCATTTGCTATTATTTTCTCCCAATCTGAGGGCTGTCTTTTCACCTTGCTTATAGTTTCCTTTGTTGTGCAAAAGCTTTTAAGTTTCATTAGGTCCCATTTGTTTATTTTTGCTTTTATTTCCAATATTCTGGGAGGTGGGTCATAGAGGATCCTGCTGTGATTTATGTTGGAGAGTGTTTTGGCAAGGCAGATTCTTAACTCCTGGACCACCAGGCAAGTCCCTGTGGGGACTTCTGGGGTTGTCCCACATGCTGCCGGCCTCTGGTGGGTAGAGACCAGGGATGACCTCGGTACCCTGGAGAGTGATCCCACCCCAGGCATCAGCAGCGCTGAGGCCGGGAACCCTGCACTGGGTTCCACAGACACTCGGGAGAGCAGAGCAGATGGAGGCCTGGGCCCCAGCAGCTGGCCTAGAGCTCAGTCACACGCATCCGGACCCTGTGAAGAAAAGGGGGCTCTGTGGCCGCTGTCTGACTCTGGAAAGTGCCTCGTCAGGCTAGATTCCACCACCACAAGGCCAGGTGAAGACCGTCCCCTCAGAGTGCCCCCTACCTGCACGTTTGTCTCTCAGTCGTGCCTGCCTCTTGGGGACCCCGTGGTCTGTAGGCCGCCAGGCTCCTCTGACCATGGATTTTCCCAGGAAAGAAGACTGGAGTGGGTTGCCATTCCCTCCACTAGGGGATCTTGCCGACCCAGGGATTGAACCCTGGCGTCCTGCATTGCAGGCAGATTCTTTTCAGTCTGAGCCCTGGAGGTACCCCCTTTGCAACTGGGCTTGGTTTCCTTCCTGGGACCTCGTCTCCCTCAATCACCCCTCCCCTGCTTGGCAGTCTGGCGCCTGGTTCAGGTTCACAGCGAGGCCCGGTTCTGGGTTCTGGGGTCTGGAGCCCCAGGGGCAGCAGGGCAGGAAGTCACGCATCCCATGACCTCATCAACCGGGAGCATGACCGGTACATTAGCCCAACGGGGGCTGCTGCCCTGATTGCAAGCTCCACTGAATGGAGCCATTTTCTGAGGAAGTATCCCTGGGCTTCCAGCAGATGCTTTTCTGTGGGGCTTCTGCCTCCAGGCGTTGAGTCGGAAGTTCTGACAAATGATGGACCTGCATCCATCCTGCCTGCAGAATGAGGGCTTGAAGAAAATCCAAACTCCTCGGTGACTCCCTGAGAGCCTGGCCACCTCTCTCCGCCCTGCCCCTGCCCCCCACCTCACCAGACCTGCAGATACACACCCCACCCCACAGCAGACCTTGGCAGTGGCCTTCCCACCTCCTCCTAGCTGTGGCCTCCCTGCCGGGCTCAGCCTCCTCAAACAGGAACAGCGTGAGCCTGACACCTTTCTTGCTACTGCCAAGCTTCCCTTTTCTCGTGCAACGCCCCCGCCCCCGTCCCCGTCCCCGTCCCCGTCCCCGTCCCCGTCCCATCTCTGTCTCTCTTCCCTCCTCTGCCCAGCCTCCCCATTGGGCCTGTCACTCCCTGAAACAGGGACCACCACTCCCCAGGTACTTCTCCTGCCCCAAGTTCCCCCAAGACTCCCCCGAACCCTCCCCTTGTCTGGGTACCACGGGGGAAAGAAGTAACCTCAGGAAGCTGAGTGGGGGCAGAGAGTGTTCTCGTTTTCATCTGGCTGGTGGTCACGTGGGAGACCCCCGGGGGCAGTGCCCAGCCATGGGCTCTGAGCACTACGCACACTCCCTCTGTGTATTGGGAAGGAAGCTCTGATTCATACCTTGACGTGGATGGACCCCAGAAGCATCATGCCGAGTGAGAGAAGCCAGACGCGAAAGGCCACCTGTTGTGTGCCCCCACTTAATGTGAAATGTCCAGACTAGGCAAATAAATCCCGAGCGACAGAAAGCAGATTGGTGGTTACCAGGGGCTGGGGGAGGAGGGCTGGGGAGTAACTGCTGAGGTCTCCTTTTGGGGCGATAGAAATGTTCTGGAGCTAAACAGAGGTGATGGTTCAACAGCATTGTGAATGTACTGCATGCCACTGAAGTGTCCACTTTTGAACCTTAATTTTATGTTATGTCACTTTGACCCTAATTAAAAAAAAAAAAAATTGTTGTCAACCAGCTTGTCATGCCATGGTATTGCAAGACCCTCCAGGAGGGGATGTGTCCCCACGTCTGCTCCCTCACAAGCAGGCTGGCGGCTGGCCTGGAGCCGGTATGAACCCAGCGCCCAGCAAACTCCTTTTGGAAAATAAATATTCTGGATGGTAAATATTTTCTGGCTTTGCAGGCCAGATGGTCTCTGTCATAGCTCCCTACCGTCACAGCACAAAGACAGTGGTAGATGATCAGTAAATGAACAGGCCTGGCCGTGTTCCAGGACACTTCATTTGTGGATGCTGAAACTTGAATAGGATTTTTACATGGCAGGAAATATTACTCTTCTTGGGTTTTTTGGGTTTTTTTTTTTTTTTAACCATTTACAAATGTAAAAACCACTCTTGGCTCACAGGCAGTACAAAAACATACAGTGGACTGGATTTGACCACAGGCCAGAGTTTGCTACGTGAACAGTTATTACTGAAAAAATATTCCTACAATTGGTGTTTCCAATGTCCAGAACTTAGAACTTGAGCCCTTCCTACACCTCAACACAGAGGTAAAGAGCAAGCCCATGAGACGTGTGGGAAGCTCCTGTGGCTCAGTGCTGAAGAATCTGCCTGCCAGTGTGGGAGCCGCAGGAGATGTGGGTTCAATCCCTGTGTCGGGCAGATCCCCTGGAGGAGGAAATGGCAACCCACTCCAGTATGCTTGCCTGAAGAATCCCATGGACAGAGGCGCCTGGTGGGCTACAGTCCATGGGGACAGAGTCAGACGCGACTGAGCATGTGCGCACACACTTGGGATGTCTGGGTCTCCCCAGCTGTGTGTTTTCCAGGTATCACCTGGAGTCTGTGAGTGGCTTCCAGTGAACCGTGGTTCACAACACCCTGAGGGAGCCTCCAGGCTAAGGCCTGTAGAAATTTCATCCTCACAATCTGAAAACCTGCTTTTGTTTTCCTCGCAGGCTTTTGGAAATGCTAAAACAGCCCACAACAACAATTCCAGCCGATTTGGGAAATTCATCCAGGTCAACTACCTGGAGAGCGGCATCGTGAGAGGGTGAGTCAGCTGGTGCCCATGCTGTGTGCTCCACCATTGTTCTGGGGTCCTGGGCTTCCCTGCAGTGGGGACCCAGGACTGAGCCAGAAGGGAACTGAATGCTGAAATCATGATCTTGCAGGCATTTGTGAATCATGCAGGGAAATGAGTATGATTTTCAGTCATTGATATGAAAGTCTGAGAGGTGGCAGGAAGTGTGGGTGGGGGAGGGGGGGTGGCACCTTCATAACCATACCTGCCTACCGCAGGGCATTGCCTAGGGCATTGAGGCACCCACTAAGTTAAGTACAATGAGGGAGAGTTCCTAGCATGATGGAATTTGCCAAGAGCAGGCGAGGACACACCAGCCTCTTTCCTGATCTTGATGTTTCTAATTCTGTGGGTCTAGGGAGAGATGATGTGGACTCTGGCATTTGCCAGATGTGACCCTTTAGCTGGAAAGAGACATGATGCTAGGTAGCAAAGTAAGGCTGTTGTCCAGGGAAGTGCTGAAAGTAGATGGAGAGAGGGAGGGATGGGATGTAGATTGATGGATGGATTCCAGGGTGGGTGGATGGATAGAAGGATGGGTAGATTTTTAGATGGATGGATGATGGTTGGGTAGGTTCATGGATGGATGGATGGATGGATGGATGATGGATGGGTAGCAGGTTCATGGATGAATGGCTAGAAGGATGGATGGTAGGTTTTTAGATGGATGGGTGATGGATGGGTAGATTCATGGATGGATGGATAGAAGGATGGGTGCATAGATTCATGGATGAATGGATAAATGGAATCATTGGTAGAGAATAAATGAGAGGATGGATATATAGACTGATGGATGTGGATGGATGGATAGATTGACTGATGGATAGTAGGTTCATGGATGGGTGGATAGATTCATAGATGGATAGATGATGGGTGGATAGGTTCATGGATGAATGGATAGGAGGATGGATGGGTAGATTCATGGACGGATGGAGGGGTGGGTCGATTCATGGATGGATGGATGGGATCGTTGGTGGATTCATAAATGAGTGTATAGACTGATGGATGGTTTGGATGGCTAGATGGATGAGGAGATAAATGAGTTCATAGGTGGTAGCTGGATTGTGAAGATGACTGCCAGGCAGAAGTTAAAACAGATTTACATTTTGTGCCAGAAATATGAGTTCCTTGGTGAAGGTACAGTTACTTCAACTAAATGTGCAACTTTGAAATTGTGTTCAAAAAAAAACAAGAAAGAAATTGTGTTTATTTGTATTCTATGCAATGTTATGCTAATAAAAATACCTGGCAGCCTTATGCAATGAGTTAATGTTACAAGGAATTATCTATTTGGTCATAATGTGATTTCCACAGTTAATACTATAGGATTTTTTTCCTCTAAAATGTACGTTCTGGGTAGTTTCAAGTAGTTAAAAAAATATAATTGTGACTTAATACTGCATAGTGTTTTGGATTTTTTTTTTAACATGCAAAGGTCTTATGAGCCATAAAACTATTTCACAGTGGGGGAAAAAAAAGACATTTCGTCAGAGTCCATTGCCGGGTGACTTAAAGGAACCCTTCCCGCTCCACATTCTGGTGTGAGGGTCCACGGTGGTGGGATTTGCAAAGGCTCCAGGTAATGCTCTGAGCAGTAGAATAAGAATCCTTAAATGTTAGATGCAGGGAGATCTAAGCAACAGGCCCATGGAGGCCACAGGAAGGCTCATGTATTTTGGGAAGGGAGAGATCCTCCAGGAGAATTGATTTCAAAGTATCTGGGTTCTTCTGTCCATCTAAATGTGACTGGGACTTCCCCATTGGTCCAGTGGTTTTAAGACTCTTCGCTTCCACTGCAGGGGGACGGGTCCAATCCCCAGTCAGGGCACTAAGATCCTACATGCCTCACGGTGTGGCCAAAAAAATAAACCTAAACCTGACTGATGATCATTTCAATTGATGGTGCATGTTCAAGACAAGAACAGAAATGTTTTCTTCCCAAATCCTGCAGCCTCTGGCTTCTTTCCTTTTTCCCTGTTCCCAGACTCTTAAGTGATGTAGGGAGAGAGACCCCCACTAAAGGCACCATCTCCTCTGGCCCCTCAGCCCCGCAGGGACACTCAAGAGTGGGCAGTTCTCCCCATGGCCCCCGCCTTCCGTGGGCCGTCCAGTCGTCCCTTCCCAGCTGCTACTGGGCCCAGCTTGATCTCTGCATGGGCAGAGCCACTCTCCTGCCCCCACTTGCCCCACAGGTCTCAGCCCTTTCTCCAGAAAGACCTTCACTCCTTATTTTATTTTATGCTGTTCTATCCCACTCTTCTGTGCTTCGAGGCTTATGGTATCTTAATTCCCCAACCAGGGGTTGAACCCAGGCCACAGCAGTGAAATCACAGAGTCCTAACCAGTGGACTGCCAGGGACTTCCCCCTCACTCCTTGTTTTAAATCTGGTTTTCTCCCATGGGTCCATATTGTATCTGCCACATTGCAGAGCCTCTGACTAGCAGGGGAAGCCCATGGTATCTTACTAAGTAGAAAATGCGGAAACAAACTGTTTTTAGTTCCAGTGGTTCCCTTGGGAGCAGAGACACCAAGAGGCTGCCTCACGTTTCCCTGGGGCCCGGACTGGCTCTGCAGGCCAGAAGCCAGAGCCTTTGCTGCCAGTGGGGCATCGATGCCCCTGTCCTCCCCACCGATCCCTCCTTCCTGTGCTCTCCATTTCATGTCCCATGGCTGCTGAAACCGAGTATCACAAACCAGTTGGCACACAACAGTAAGGGTTTATTCTCTCGTGGTTCTGGAGGCCAGAAGTCCAAGATCAAGGTGTGGGAAGGGCCATGCTCCCTCCAGAGGCTCTAGGCAAGGATCCCTCCTGGCCTCTTCCAGCTTCCGGGGGCCCCAGGTTCCCTTGGCTTGTAGCCACATCACCCCAGTCTTTGCTTCAGTCTCCACGCAGTCTTCTCCCCTGAATTTCTCTATGATCTCCTCTTCTGTCTTCTGGGATACTTGTCCTTGGATTCAGGGCCCATCTGGACCATGGAGGAGGATCTCATCTCTAGAAAAAAAAAGTGAGAGTGTTAGTCGCTCAGTTGTGTCCAATTCTTGTGACCCTATGGACTGTAGTGTGCCTGGCTCTTCTGTCCATGGGATTTCCCAGTCAAGAATACCGGAGTGGGTTGCCATTTACTTCTCCAGAAGATCTTTCCCACCCAAGGATCGAACCTGGGTCTCCCACACTGCAGGCAGATTCTTTACTGGCTAAACCACCAAGGATGCCCCATCTCTAGATCTTTCACTTAATTCCACCTGCAAAGGTGTTTTTTCAGAATCACAGTCACACGTTCCAGGTGGACATGTCTTCTGGGGGCCACCGTTTGGCCCAGCACATCAGCAGGGCTGGCCCTCAGCTAACCAGCCAGTCCGCCCTGCCCATCTCGGCTCTTGTCAGGCTCAGGGCAGCTGTGGTCCTGGGTCGCTGGATCTCATAGATCAGCTGCAAAGTCCTATCTATGGCCTCGGATTCAGGAAAGGAGGTCCTCCCTCAGCCCTTGACGGTGGCCCGCCCACGCTGGGCGGAAGGAGGTGCACTTCCCGTCTAGGGAGTGGCTACCACCAGCTCGCAGGGAGCAGGCCCAGACCCGGTTCTGCTTTTGGGCAGGTGACACTTTTCAGCGTCGCTTCCCGATGAGGCCAAGGGTCAAGGGCAGTCCACGCCTCTCCCCAGTTCCCCAATTTGCAGGGCCTCGTGCTCCTGTGGGCTCAAGGGCTCAGTGCGGAGGGGATCCCTGGCCGTGTGCAAGATCGCCCCTGTAGGGGCCCAGGCTTCCCAGTGCCCACCAAAGGCTGTGGCCCGCCAGATTGCAGCCTGGCGCCTCTGAGGGGTCACTATCCCTGCCCATGTGGCGGGACAGCACAGAGAACTGGCCACAGATTGAGGTGGAAGCGTGAGTCTAGGACCAGAGGGGGCCTCCCTGCCCAGGGACACAAAACTGCTGAGAGCTGCAAGTTAGGTCAGAGGAAGGAGTGGAAGAAAACAGGAGTCTGAAAGAAGAGAGGACACGTGCTTGCTGAGCCTCTGGAAATCTACCTGTGCGGGCTGTGTGCGCTTGCGCAAGGCTGCAGCAAGAAGACGTCCGTCCTGGAGATAGTCTGGAAGCATTCAGCAGGCCTGGGACCAGGGCCCTGATCCCACACCCCAAACCCCAGCTCCCTCTTCTGTGTTACAGGATGGGCTCAGATGAGGGTGACCTGCAGAGCTATGTAGCTCACATACTTGGTGATAGCGGATCCCATGAGAGTCAGGTCCCCACCAGGCCACCCCCGTCCTGTGGGGTCCTGGACAGCAAGTTAACACTTCATCCATCAGTGGGAGCCACATTGCCCCTGCCGGAGGGCATTTAAATCCAGTGTATTTAATCTCAGCAAAATGGTGCCTAGAACCTCGCAGTAGAGCTCCAAGAAGTGTGTGATGTCTCTATTAGCATTGAGGGTGCGGCTGTGTGAGTACCTCGTTCCTGCCCCAGGACCAACACAGCCCCAGGGACCCGGCCCAGCCAGTGTCCGTCCAGTGATAAGCAGATAAACAATGTGTGTCTAGACATGTAGACTATTGTGCCAATTTGCTCAGTCGTATCTGAGTCTTTGCCACCCCATGGATAATCTACCAGCCTCCTCTGTCCATGGGATTCTTCAGGCGAGAATACTGGAGTGGGTTGCCATTTCCTCCTCCAGGGGATCTTCCTCACCCAAGGATTGAACCCACGCCTCCTGCATTGGCAGGCAGATTCTTTACCAGTGAGCTACCTGGGAAGCCCTGTAGACTCTTACTTAGGCATAAAGAAGAATGAAGTTCTGATACATGCTCCCAAGCGGCTGAATCTCAGAACCATTGAGTTGAGTGAAAGAAGGCACATTCAGTATCCAGCTGACCCTTGAACAGTGCAGGGGTTAGTCAGAAATATGCAGATGACTTCAAGTCAGCTCTGTATATCCAAGGTTCTTCCAGTTCCACAGTTACAGTTCCTTCATATCTGTGGTTCCACATCTGTGGATTCAACCAACCGCAGATCATGTAGGACTATGGCATTTGCTATTGAGAAAAATATCCACCTATAAGTGGATCCACAGTTCAGACTTGTGTTATTCAATAGTTAACTATACATACTAAATGAGTGTTTTGGTTTGTTTTTTTTTTAATTCTAGAAAATCCAAAGTAATCGTTAGCGGAGTTGGTGCATGGCTGCTGGGGGTGGTGGCAGGGAGGTGTGACAGAGGACCCAAGGAGTCTTCTCGGGGTCATGGGTGTGTTAGTTGTCTTGGTCACAGTGATGGACTCAGGGATTTACATGTGTCACAGCTCGTGCAGTCATACACGTTATATCTGTTGTGTATCAGCTATTCCTACTAAAGCTGGTTTTGAAAATTAATGGAGATTGTGGAAGGACCTATTGAAAAACTCATCTGGGTGCATGCTTTTGAGTATGTGTGGTTGATCATATATCAATCATCAGTAAAGATGTTTTAAGAAGAATAGAAAAGTGAATCCATTGTCTTGTATATCGATTTTCAATTGGAGAAACACTTCATGGCTGGGGAGATGGTGGAAGCAGGGTTCAACCTTCCAGCGTTATTCGTGAGTACATGGGTCTAATCATTTCAATTCCTGCCACCTGAGGGGCCGACCCGAGTGATGCCAGGTTGGGCTTCCATACAACTGTCAGCCCGCATCTGGTGTGTAGGGCAGAAGTGTCCAGCCCAGGTCCCTTATTTTTATAGATGTAGTAGTAGGGTGAGGTGCATTTATGACAATAGTATTTACCTTAAGAATGAAATTGTATTTACGACATTTAGGTTGCTTGTTTACGACACTCAGCGCTATCACCCTTTCGTGCCTATGCTTACCTTGGGTCCAAGGTTGTTAATCCACAGCTGGCTTTACCACAGTCATGAATCATTCTTGTTCTTCCGGGACACAACATTGACGTGTAACACTTGGTTCTTCTTTTTCTGCTTGATGACAGAGCGGTTGTCGAAAAGTACCTGCTTGAAAAGTCTCGCCTGGTCTCTCAGGAGAAGGACGAGAGGTAGGGGGATATTTCCTTGATGATCCCTGATATCTGCCTTCTTCCCTATGAAGGAGAGAAGCAGATGTCCTGAGATGGGGAATATCTATAGGAGGCCCTGATGGATCTCCTGGGAGCGTGAGCTTTGCTTCTTTCTGTGCCTCCCTGGGGCTTTTCCCTGGAGTAGGTGCTCGGGTGTCTGCTGAAATGTGGTCAGAGTAGCAGCATCTCTGGTCCGCCAGTGAGTGAGAGATGCCCACCCCCTGAGGAATCTATTCACCGGAGAAGCTCGTGGTTTGATTTTTGCAATTTTTTTTTTAATCATAAGAATCAACTTATTGTCTCCAATTTGTACATAATTGAGGTGCTTTTTCCTCCCTGGCCTGGTCTCCAAAGCAATATTAGTAGTGGTTTGAAGAGTAGCTATCGCTCGGCCTCCAAAAACAACTTTTTTCTCCTAATTTTGACCTACAGGAACTACCACGTGTTTTATTATTTGTTACTTGGCGTCAGCGAGGAAGAGCGTCGGGAATTTCAGCTCAAGCAGCCTGAAGATTATTTCTACCTCAACCAGGTAAACAGCCTCGAGCCCCAACCACAAACGCGGCCTCTGTTCCCCACGGGCTGTTTACGCTCTGCCAGGGGGTCAGAGGCCGTCCGCCTTGGCCCTCTCCAGCCCCCAGACCAGCTCCAAGGAGGCCCAGAGCTGGGCGGCATAAAGGAGTCCATTCATTCCCTGCCTCCCCGGCCCTGCCCCATGGTTCCAGCCAAAATCATCCTCACACACCACCCTCCCCAGCCCAGAAGTACCCAGAGCCCTGCCGACTTTGTTTTTCAGCATAACTTGAAGATCGAAGATGGAGAGGACCTGAAGCATGACTTTGAAAGACTCAAGCAGGCCATGGAGATGGTGGGCTTCCTTCCTGCCACCAAGAAGCAGTAAGTGGGTGGGCCCAGCCAGGCACCTCCCCTTGCCTGGAGTTACCGGTCACTCAGAGATCTGACCTACCCCTGGTAGGAATCTCACTAAGGAGAGTGGCCCCAGGAGTGACAGAGGACTGTCATCATTAGCCCCTGGGAGATGCCAGTTAAAACCACAGGGTGGGACTTGCCTGGTGGTCCAGGGGCTGACTCTGCATGCTCCCATGGCAGGGGGCCCCAATTTGGTACCTGGTTGGGGAACTAGATCCCACAAGCTGCTACTAAGACCAGGTGCAGCCAAGTAAATAAATAAATATTTAAAAAAAAAAAAAAACAAACAGGGCTTTTCAAAGGTCATTCATCATTTAAAAATCCTTTTTTTTTTTTTTTGACTGCACCTTCGCAGCTCATGAGATCTTAGTTCCCAGACCAGAAATCGAACCTGGGCCCTCAGCAGTGAAAGCGTGGAGTTTTAACCACTGGACCACCAAGGAATTCCTCCGTCATTTAAAAATCTTAATTTCTTCATTAACAGACTAATTAACAGATTTTGTTAATTAGCAGAAAAGCTACACTATCTCAATAGAGGTAGGAAAAAAATCTAATAAAAGGAAATTTACTCAGGTATATTTACCCAAAACAGAAAAAAAAGCCACAAGGCTTTTTGCCCAACAGTGTGGGTATACTTCACATTACGGAGCCATACACTTAAAAACGGCCAAGAAAGTCAGTTTTATATGATGTGTCTTTGACCACAATTAAAAATTATTTTAATTCTTCAAAACCACTCGGAGCATTCGCCACACCTTCCTGGGTGACCAGGACACCCAGAGGGGACGCCTCTGCCCAGCATGCTGCCAAGAGGGCACCATGGGGCCAACCCCTGTGGACAGCCGTTGGGCAGCTTTTACTGCAGATGCGTGTACACAACCAAACGCGTACATGCACTTGGCCAGAAACACACACAGAAATGCACAGGGCAGCCTCGTCTCTTAACAGCCCACAGCCCCGGGAAACCCTCCCAAATGCCCGCCAGCCAGAGGTTAAATAAATCAACACATTATAAGATGTCCCTGCAGGGGTCGGCACATCTTCCGGGGACGGATAGCAAATGTTTTTCAGCTTCATGGGCCACACAATCTCTGTGGCATGTTCTTTGCATCCTGTTTTCTTAACGACCCTTTAAAAGCATAAGAACCGTCCTCAGCTCAGGGGCTAATGCAGAAAAAGGCCCCAGTTGGCCAGGTACCAACCCTGCACAGCAGTGGTTCTCACTGGGGTCCTGATTGTGCTCCCAGGGGACAGTTGGCCTTGCCTGATGACGCTTTTGCATGTCACACTGCAGGGGCCAGGTGGGTAAAGCCAGGTACCAGCAGTGCCAAGGCTGAGAAGTGGCAGCGTTAAGAATAAAGGCTGTGGGACTTCCCTTGGTGGTCCAGCGGTTAGGACTCCACTGGAAGGAATGCAGTTTCTGTCCCTGATCAGGGAAGTGACATCCCACATGCCATGCAGCTTGGCCAGAACAAAAGAAAAATACATAAGTAAATCTTTAAAAAAAAAAAAAAAAAGAATGAACAGTGCTACATGCAATAACACACATGACTCCGCCACCTTACACCTTTTCAATCACAGGCCTGATATAAGTACACGAGATTTCACCAAAGTCACGTTCACAGATGGTGTTAGATGTCAGGACAGCGGTTTCTCTTTGGGAGCTAGGGAGGGTCCAGGGCCTGAAATGTTGTTCTGTTTTTTGGTCTGAGTGTCAGTCACAAGCGTCTCTACAGTTTGTGACACTTTATCAAACTCAACACTTGGGGACAGAATTCCCTGGCGGTCCAGTGGTTAAGACTCCACACTTCGAATGCCTGGAGTGCAGGTTCGATCCCTGGTAGGGTGACTAAAATCCCATATGCCTCACAGCGTGGCTGAAAAAGAAACCAACAACTACACTTGGGGAACTGTGTGCTTTTTTTTTTTTTGATATGCATGTGATGCCTCCATAAGAAAATTGTTAAGCTCCCCCAACACCACTACCACCAAAAAAACAATAGAGCTATGTGCCTCCAAAGTCCTGTTTCACAGAGAGTCCCCAGCGGAGGAGTGGACATCTTTCGGATTTCGCGTCTTCTGACTGGAATGGCTGGTTTTACAGACACAGCCCAGGTCACTGGAAATTTGAGCCCAGTTCACTGGAGGCTTCTGCTGCCTCGAGACTGAGAAAGTGCCCCAACCTTGGCTCCTTCTCTCCCCCAGGATTTTTTCCATCCTCTCAGCCATCCTGTACCTAGGCAACATCACTTACAAGAAGAGAGCCACGGGCCGAGATGAAGGCTTGGAGGTCGGGCCCCCCGAGGCGCTGGACACGCTGTCGCAGCTCCTAAAGGTACTGTCCCTTGTCCTCAGCCACAGTGGCCGCCCACCGAGGCCCAAACCTCCTGCACTGGCTGAGCCCCTGTCAGCGCGGGCCTGTCTGCCTGCTTCCTCCCCCGCCGTCTCGGCCGTGTCCCTTCCTCATTTCTTTTCTTTTTTTGATCGAGCTATGATTGACATGCATGATTTTAGCTTCAGATAGACAGCATAAATGATTCAGTATCTGTATTATATGTTGCCAAATGGCCACCACAAGAAGTCTAGTTAATGTTTGTCACCTTCGGGGGCTATGGGATTGTTTTTCTCTTACGATGAGAACTTCTAAGATCTACACTGTCAGCAGCTTTCATTTATGCAGTACGGTCACATTAGCCGCTATCACCATGCTGTGCACTGCATTCTCATGACATTTTATAACCGAAAGTTTGTGCCTTTGATCCCCTTTCACACATTTCACCCATCCTCCATTCCTGGCAGTCACCAGTCTGTTCTGTGTATCTATGAGTTTGGGAGGTTTGAGAGTTGTTATTTTCTTGTTTTTTTTTTTTTTTTAGATTATTTTTCATTATAAGATATTGAGTATAGTTCCCTGTGCTATATGCTATGCAGTTGTTATTTTATTTATAATTATATACTTTAATACATTAAATACATGTATTTAATGTATTAAAGTATATACATTATGATACATCTAATACATGTCTAGATCTTTAATACATCTAATACATGTATAGATCTGATAGAGTGCCTGATGAACTGTGGACAGAGGTTCGTGACATTGTACAGGAGACAGGGATTAAGACCATCCCCATGGGAAAAAAAATGCAAAAAAGCAAAATGGCTGTCTGAGGAGGCCTTACAAATAGCTGTGAAAAGCAAAGGAGAAAAGAAAAGATAGACCCATCTGAATGCAGAGTTCCAAAGAATAGCAAGGAGAGGTAAAAAGAAGCCTTCCTCAGTGATCAATGCAAAGAAACAGAGGAAAACAACAGAATGGGAAAGACTCAAGAAAATTAGAGATACCAAGGGAACATTTCATGCAAAGATGGGCTCAATAAAGGACAAAAATGGTATGGACCTAACAGAAGCAAAAGATATTAAGAGGTGGCAAGAATACACAGAAGAACTGCACAAAAAAGATCTTCATGACCCAGATAATCACGATGGTGTAATCACTGACCTAGAGCCAGACATCCTGGAATGTGAAGTCAAGTGGGCCTTAGAAAGCATCACTACGAACAAAGCCAGTGGAGGTGATGGAATTCCAGTTGAGCTATTTCAAATCCTAAAAGATGATGCTGTGAAAGTGCTGCACTCAATATGCCAGCAAATTTGGAAAACTCAGCAGTGGCCACAGGGCTGGAAAAGGTCAGTTTTCATTCCAATCCCAAAGAAAGGCAATGCCAAAGAATGCTCAAACTACCGCACAATTGCAGTCATCTCACACGCTAGTAAAGTAATGCTCAAAATTCTCCAAGCCAGGCTTCAGCAATATGTGAACCGTGAACTTCCAGATGTTCAAGCTGGTTTTAGTAAAGGCAGAGGAACCAAAGATCAAATTGCCAACATCCGCTGGATCATAGAAAAAGCAAGAGAGTTCCAGAAAAACATCTATTTCTGCTTTATTGACTATGCCAAAACCTTTGACTGTGTGGATCACAATATACTGTGGAAAATTCTGAAAGAGATGGGAATACCAGACCATCTGACCTGTCTCTTGAGAAACCTGTATGCAGGTCAGGAAGCAACAGTCAGAACTGGACATGGAACAACAGACTGGTTCCAAATAAGGAAAGGAGTACGTCAAGGCTGTATATTGTCACCCTGCTTATTTAACTTCTATGCAGAGTACATCATGAGAAATGCTGGGCTGGAAGAAGCACAAGCTGGAATCGAGATTGCCGGGAGAAATATCAATAGCCTCAGATATGCAGATGACACCACCCTTATGGCAGAAAGTGAAGAGGAACTAAAAAGCCTCTTGATGAAAGTGAAAGAGGAGAGTGAAAAAGTTGGCTTAAAGCTCAACATTCAGAAAACTAAGATCATGGCATCTGGTCCCATCACTTCATGGGAAATAGATGGGGAAACAGTGGAAACAGTGTCACACTTTATTTTTTGGGGCTCCAAAATCACTGCAGATGGTGATTGCAGCCATGAAATTAAAAAACACTCCTTGGAAGGAAAGTGATGACTAACCTGGATAGCATATTTAAAAGCAGAGACATTACTTTGCCAACAAAGGTCCATCTAGTCAAGGCTATGGTTTTTCCAGTAGTCATGTATGGATGTGAGAGTTGGATGGTGAAGAAAGCTGAGCACCGAAGAATTGATGCTTTTGAACTGTGGTGTTGGAGAAGACTCTTGAGAGTCCCTTGGACTGCAAGAAGATCCAACCAGTCCATCCTAAAGGAGATCAGTCCTGGGTGTTCATTGGAAGGACTGATGTTGAAGCTGAAACTCCAATACTTTGGCCACCTCATGCGAAGAGTTGACTCATTGGAAAAGACCCTAATGCTGGGAAGGATTAGGGGCAGGAGGAGAAGGGGACGACAGAGAATAAGATGACTGGATGGCATCACCGACTCGATGGACATGGGTTTGGGTGGACTTTGGGAGTTGGTGATGGACAGGGAGGCCTGGCATGCTTCGGTTCACGGGGTCGCAAAGAGTCAGACACGACTGAGCAACTGAACTGAACTGAAGTTCATTGGAGGGACTGATGTTGAAGCTGAAACTCCAATACTTTGGCCACCTGATGCGGAAAGCTGACTCATTTGAAAAGACCCTGATGCTGGGAAAGATTGAGGGCAGGAGGAGAAGGGGACGACAGAGGATGAGATGGTTGGATGGCATCACCGACACAATGGACATGGGTTTGGGTGGACTCTGGGAGTTGCTGATGGACAGGGAGGCCTGGCGTGCTGCGGTTCATGGGGTCAAAGAGTCAGACACGACTGAGCGACTGAACTGAACTGATATACTTTAATCCTAAGCTCCTAATTATGCCTCCCCTTACCCTTGCCCCCTTGGTAACTGTAAGTTTACTTTCTGTGTCTGTGGATCTGTTGTATCTCTGTTTTGTACATAAGTACGTTTGTATTATTTTTTAAAGATGCTGCATATAAGTGGTATCATATGGTATTTGTCTTTGTCTGACTTATTTCACTTAACATAATACCCTCAAGGACCATCCCTTCTTCATCTCCTTTTATTATTTTTAATTGAAATATAGTCATTTTACAATGTTGTGTTGCTTTTAGGTGTAGAACAACATGATTCAGTTCTATATATATTCTTTTATAAGTTACTACAAGATATTGAGTATAGTTCCCTGTGCTATACACTATATAGTTGATTGTCTGTTTTATATATGTGTGTATACTTTAATCCCAAGCTCCTAATTTATCCTTCCCTCTACCCTTTCCCCTTTGATCCATAAGTTTGCTTCCTATGTCTGTGATTCTATTTCTGTTTTGTAAATAAGTTCATTGGTATCGTTTTTTAAAGAGTCTGCATATAAGCGATATAATGTGGTATTTGTCTTTATCTGTCTGACTTACTTCACTTAGTATGATAATCTCTAGGTCTCTCCTTATTGCTGCAAATGGCATTATTTCATCCTTTTTATGGCAGAGTAATATTCCATGAATATTCATATTTCATGAATATTCATACCACATTTCCTTTATCCGTTTTCATCTGTTGATGGACGTTTAGGTTGTTCCATGTCTTGGCTGTTGTAAGTAGTGCTGCTGTGAACATTGGGGTACAGGTATCTTTCTGCCCCATCTTCCTTCTGGGAAGGGCCATCTCCCATCGAAGTGTTATATATATTTATATAACTGAATCAGTTTACTGTATACCTAAAACTAATGTAATGTTGTAAATCAACTATTATTTTTTTTAAAAGTCATCATTTGATCAGCAAGGTCATTTTGTAGTTGGACCATCCCCTTGTCCACTGGTCCTCAACCCCGGGGGCACTGGGCAATGCCTGGAGTCATTTGGAGGGGGTACCTGTGTCATCTGGTGGGTAAGGGATGCTATTGAACAGAATGCACAGGACCGCCCCCACAGCAAAGAAGTAGCATTAGTCACTCAGGCCTGTCCAACTCTTTGTGACCCCGTGGACCGTAGCCCACCAGGCTTCTCTGTCCATGGGATTCTCCAGGCAAGATCACTGGGGTGGGTTGCCATTCCCTTCTCCAGCGGATCTGCCCAACCCAGGGATCAAACCTGGGACTCCCTGGTTGCAGGCAGATTCTTTACCATCTGAGCCACTGGGGAAACTGAAAGAAGGAGCCAGCCCCAAATGCCTGTGATGCCGAAGCTGTTTTCTGGACATGTGTTCCTTTTGTGGCTCTTCCAAATGCACCTGCATGCAGGAGCCCCAGCTTCTGTTGTGCTCGTGGGAATGAGAGTACATCTGCCACGAGATGGAGACAGTCCCCTGGCCCAACTCTTGACTGCCCATGGACAGGGCTTGGCAGTCAGGGAGGAGCAGTCTCCTCGCTTCGCCCTTGCACCCAGACCAGGAGCCCACTCCAGCAGCGACAGCTATAAACACAGGTGGCACCTGGGCCAGAGGGCTGCAGTGACACCCAGGCCTGTGTGACCACAGGCTAGACCATCGAGCAGGCCTGTGGGTATGAACATTCCGAGGCACACCAGTGTCCCACACACTGTGGGTTGGCAGCCCTGATGGTGGGCTCTGGGCCCTCTTCCTGGCCCAGCTGCCGGGGGGTCCTTCTTCTGCCCTTCTCAGGCCTTGCCTCTGTGACACACGGATCTAGTCAACAAGCTCTCCAGCTTTTCTCTCCTCTGTTTTTTTTTTTTCTTTTTAAGTTTTTATTTATTGCATACAGTCAGCTTGCAATGTTGTGTTTCTGGTATAAAGTGATTCATGTATGTGTGTGTATGAATATATACCTGCATATGGCCTTCCCTGGTGACTCAGCTGGTAAAGAATCCATCTACAATGCGGGCGACCCTGGTTCGATTCCTGGGTCAGGAAGATTCCCTGGAGAAGGAACAGGTTACCCACTCCAGTATTTTGGGGTTGCCCTGGTGGCTCAGACAGTAAAGGATCTGCCTGCAATGTGAGAGACCTAGGGTCGATCCCTGGGTTGGGAAGATGCCTTGGAGGAGGGCATGGCAACCCGCTCCAGTATTTTTGCCTGGAGAATCCCCATGGACAGAGGAGCCTGGTGGGCTACAGTCCATGGAGTCACAAAAGAGTCAGACACGACTTAGTGACTGAACAACAGCAGCAACAACATATGAGCATGTGTTCTGTTTTAAACTCTTTTCCATTATAGGTTCTTACAGGATATTAAATACAGTTCCCTGTGCTATACAGTAGGACCTCGTTTATATATTTTATATAGATTAAATGTATCTGTTAATCCTAAACTCCTAATTTGTCCCTCCCCACCCCTCTTCCTCCTTAACCTTGAAACAGGTGAAGCGAGAAATCTTAGTGGAAGTTCTGACCAAAAGAAAAACAGTGACCTCCAACGACAAACTCATCCTTCCCTATAGTCTCAGCGAGGTGAGTGCTGCCCTGGGTTCTCATGGGGTGCGCAGGCCCAAAAACATGGGTGCTCAGGGTGGGGATAGGGAGAGCATTCAGAAATAGCTAGCATGGGTGGTCATTCTCCTGCCCCTAATTTGACTTCCCTCGTGGCTCAAATGGTAGAGAATCCACCTGCCAGTCCAGGAGACACAGGAGGCCCTGGTTCGACCCCTGGGTCAGGAAGATCCCCTGGAGAAGGATATGGTAACCCGCTCCAGTACTCTTGCCTGGGAAATTCCATGGACAGAGGAGCCTATGGGCTACAGTCCTTGAGGTCGCAAAAGAGTCGGGCACAGCTGAGCATTTAAGAGCATAGTTTGACAGAGGAGAAACTTGGAAGCTCAAACCAGCCTGAACAGCTCAAGGGGCAGAGCTAGAGCTGCATGTGATGGTGTCTGTGTCGAGCTTTCTAGGGGGCACTCTGGTTCTCAGCAGCAGAGGACGGCGACCTGCAGCTTGCAAGCCAAACCCAGCCCACTTCCTGCTTCTGTCAATAAAACTTTATTGGCACTTGACCACAACCATTCATGCACACGAGGATCTGCTGCAGTGGCAGAGCTGTCCCGCAAAGCTGATCATGTTGACTCACGGGCCCTTGCCCAAGAAAGCCTGCTGACCCCCGGGTTAAAGCGTGGCCTTTGCAGCCGTTGTGTGGGTCCCTGCATGTTGATAAGATGCCTCTCTAGCCTTTGCCCCAGTCTCAGTGTTTCTCTGTGGCATGTTTTTCTTTTTTTACACCTCTCAACTTGCAGGTTGGGGAGCATCAGGAAAGTACCTAGCCACGAGGGCGGGGGGGCGGATTTTTAGCTCGTGGGAGAAGCTGCTCAAGCATCTAAAATGGACACCTAGACAGTTCTAGCCCCTGTGGGCAAAGGTGCTCAGCCGTGGTCCGTGACAGGTGCCGTAGGCCACTGGAGCCCACACACAGCTGCTCCCCGGCGGCACTGAGCTGAGCAAGGGAGATAAAGGCCAGGTACAGGGCAGCACCCTACACAGCTCCATTGCCACAAAACCGGAGGAACTTGTTATCTCGATCCTGATAGCGGGCTGAGTAAGTCTTATCACAACTTAGATCTGAGAGCATACAGACAAGGAATTTCTTGTAGGTAAATTAGACCCCAATGAGCCTTTTTTAAAAATTGTAAAGATCAATCACTGCTTTTAGGCACACAGTGGCCTGGCCCATGGTGCTCCCAGAACCACAGGGGTTGAACCCAGCCCAACCTCCTGGTGTATTCTCCCAGAGTGCCCTCCCTGAGCCCATGTCCCCATCCCAGCAGTCCCCAGGGTCCTCTGAGGAGCAGGCCATCCCACGAGAAAGACTTGGCCAAACCACAGGCTGCCAGGTCAGGGCTTCATGCTCCGGTGTGCAAGGGCGTCCGAGCTGGCAGGACGGCGGGCAAAGTGAGAAGGGGAGGTATCAGAGGAGCTGAGTGGTGCAAGTCGCCACCTCGACCTCCCGGCGCACAGACCTCGGGGGCCCACCCGGCCGAGGTGTCACCCCCACCCCGCCCCGCACTCTCTGTGCCCGCAGGCCATCACCGCCCGTGACTCCATGGCCAAGTCCCTCTACAGCGCGTTGTTCGACTGGATCGTGCTGCGGATCAACCACGCTCTCCTCAACAAGAAGGACATGGAGGAGTCTGTCTCGGTGAGGGCCCCACCTCCCCGGCTGGCACCCTGTGACAGCGGCTGCAGTCGGTCAGGCACAAGGCCGGTTTCTCCCCTTAGCAGCCCCAGGGAGCCAACAGGATGCGGTTCTCAGGGCCCAGTGCAGAGAAAATAGGGGACTCTGGGACTTCTCTGGCGGCCCAGTGGTTAAGACTGTCCGCTTCCACTTCGGGGTCATGGGTTCAATCCTGGCTGGGGAGCTAAGATCCTGCATGCCACGCAGGGCAGCCCCAAACAGAAGTCAAAAACACAGGGCTCTTTGTTTAATATTACAGGTTGTATCTACTCAATGTTATGTGCCAGCCTGTATGGGAGGGGGTTTGAGGAGAGAACGACATCGGTGTATGTATGGCTGAGTCCCTTCGCTGTTCAGTTGAAACTATCACAACATTGTTAATTGGCTGTACCCCAATACAAAATAAAAACTTTCAAGTTTGAAAAAAAAACATTATAGGTTCTAAGACCCTTACCATCGGACAGATTGCTCCCAAGGGAGTGCTCACCAGTAATAACCATTCTCGCCATCTCCCCCAGTGCCTGTCTATTGGAGTCCTCGACATCTTTGGGTTTGAAGACTTCGAGAGGAACAGTTTTGAGCAGTTCTGCATCAACTACGCCAACGAGCAGCTCCAGTATTACTTCAACCAGCACATTTTCAAGCTAGAACAGGTAAGGATATACCGGCTTAATTCACCCATCCAGTCCTAGGAGGAAGGGAATGAGCCAGAACCGGGATCCCCCTGGGGACCTGGTTTGTCATCAAACCTGCCCCAGAATTTTTCTCTGCCCAAAAGGGAGAGTCCGGGAACATTCCCACCAGCCCCGGATGAGGCAAAAGGCAGGGATATTTGTACTTTCTGTCTGCTCAGATGTGAAAGTTGATTCAACGGGAGACAAGTTGAGTTGCCTTGTAAGGATTTGCTTTAGTCAACAATGAAGATATCCCATGTTATAGGTGTTTTCACTTCAAAATAACCAGCCTTCTTTACCCAGGTATTGTCCTTCCTATGATGGATTCTGATGAGGAAGGAAAACTGATGGGTTTACACAGGTATATATGTGAAAGTGCAAGTGTTAGTCCTCCAGTCGTGTCTGATTCTTTGCGACCCCATGGACTGTAGCCCACCAGGCTCTTCTGTCCATAGAGTTCTCCTGGCAAGAATACTAGAGTGGGTTGCCATTCCCTTTTCCAGGGGATTTTCCCGAACCCAGGTCTCCTGCATTTGCAAGCAGATTATTTACTGTCTGAGCCACCAAAGAAGCCCCTATATTTAGCAAATATTTAGCTAATTTTACTATTATGTCTTGTAGCTGAAACTCACATTTCTCACTTGAAGTGTGGCTAGTCCAAACTGAGTTGAGTAGGAAGAGCAAAAGACATAGCAGATTGCAAAGATATAGCGCAGGGGGAGAAAGGCATTTGGGGGACTTCCCTGGCAGTCCAGTGGTTAAGACTCCACGCTTCCTGGGCAGCCTGGGTGGGAGGGGGGTTTGGGGAAGAATGGATGTATACATGTATATGTGTGGCTGAGTCGCTCTGCTATGCACCTGAGACTGTCACAATATTTTAATCCGCTGTAGTCCAATAAGATAGTTTTTTTTTTTTAATGAATGAAGATAATTTACATAATCATTTAAAAAAAAAGACTGCACACTTCCTCTGCATGGAGTTCAGTTGCTTACTCATGTCCAGCTCTTTGTGACCCCATGGACTGCAGCACGCCAGGCCTCCCTGTCCATCACCAACTGCTGAAGCTTGCTCAAACTCATGTCCATTGAGTCAGTGATACCATCCAATCATGTTATCCTCTGTCATCCCCTTCTCCTCCTGCCTTCAATCTTTCCCAGCATCAGGGTCTTTTACAGTGAGTCAGTTCTTCACATCAGGTGGCCAAAGTATTGGAGTTTCAGCTTCATCATCAGTCCTTCCAGTGAATATTCAGGACTGATTTCCTTTAGGATGGACTGGTTGGATCTCTTTGCAGTCCAAGGGACTCTCCAGAGTCTTCTCCAACACCACAGTTCAAAAGCATCAATTCTTTAGCCCTCAGCTTTCTTTATTGTCCAACTCTTATATCCATACATGACTACTGGAAAAACCATAGCTTTGACTAGATGGACCTTTGTTTTAAAGTGGTGTTTCTGCTTTTTAATATGCTGTGTAGGTTGATCATAGCTTTTCTTCCAAGAAGCAAGCATCGTTTAATTTCATGGCTGCAATCACCATCTGCAGTAAATTGGGAGCCCAAAAAAATAAAGTCTGTCACTGTTTTCATTGTTTCCCCATCTATTTGCCTTGAAGTGATGGGACTGGATCCCGAGATCTTAGTCTTCTGAATGTTGAGTTTTAAGCCAACTTTTTCACTCTCCTCTTTCACTTTCATCAAGAGGCTCTTTAGTGCTTCTTCAATTTCTGCATAAGGGGGTGGTGTTATCTGTGTATCTGAGGTTATTGGTATTTCTCCCGGCAATCTTGATTCCAGCTTGTGCTTCATCCATCCTGGCTTTTCGCGTGATACACTCTGCATATAAGTTAAATAAGCAGAGTGACAATATACAGCCTTGACGTACTCCTTTCCCTGTTTAGAACCAGTCTGTTGTTCCATGTCCAGTTCTAACTGTTGCTTCTTGACCTGCATGCAGATTTCTCAGGAGGCAGGTAAGATGGTCTGGTATTCCCATCTCTTTCAGAATTTTCCACAGTTTGTTGTGATCCACACAGTCAAAGGCTTTGTCATAGTCAAAAAAACAAAGCTAAATGTTTTTTATGGAACTCTTGCTTTTTTGATGATCCAACAGATGTTGGCAATTTGATCTCTGGCTCCTCTGCCTTTTCTAAATCCAGCCTGAACACCTGGAAGTTCACAGTTTACATACTATTGAAGCCTGGTTAGAGAATTTTGAGCATTGCTTTGCTAGTGTCCCTGGTGGCTCAGAGGGTAAAGCTCTGTCTGCAGTGCAGGAGACCTGAGTTTGATCCCTGGGTCGGGAAGACCCCCTGGAGAAGGAAATGGCAACCCACTCCAATACTCTCGCCTAGAAAATCCCATGGACAGAGAAGCCTGGTAGGCAACAGTCCATGGGGTCACAAAGAGTCGGACACAACTGAGCGACTTCACTTCACTTTGCTAGTGTGTGAGATGTGTGCAATTGTGTGGTAGTTTGAACATTTTTTGGCATTGCCTTTCTTTGAAATTGAAATGAAAACACCTTTTCCAGCCCTGTGGCCACTGCCGAGTATTCCAAATTTGCTGGCATATTGAGTGCATCACTTTAGCAGCATCATCTTTTAGGATTTGAAATAGCTCAACTAGAATTCCATCACCTCCACTAGCTTTGTTTGTAGTGGTGCTTCCCAAGGCCCACTTGACTTTGCATTCCAGGATATCTGATTGTAGGTGAGTGATCACACCATCGTGGTTATCTGGGTCATGAAGATCTTTTTGTATAGTTCTTCTGTGTATTCTTGCCACCTCTTCTTAATATCTTCTGCTTCTGTTAGGTCCATACCATTTCTGTCCTTTATTGTGCCCATCTTTGCATGAAATGTTCCCTTGGTATCTCTAATTTTGTTGAAGAAATCCCTAGTCTTTCCCATTCTATTGTTTTCCTCTACTTCTTTGCGTTGATCTCTGAGGAAGGCTTTATCTTTCTGTGCTATTCTTTGGAATTCGGCATTCAGATGGGTGTATCTTTCCTTTTCTCCTTTGCCTTTCGCTTCTCTTCTTTTCTCAGCTATTTGTAAGGCCTCCTCAGGCAACCATTTTGCCTTTTTGAATTTTTTTTTCTCAGGGATGGTCTTGATCACTGCCTCCTGTAGAATGTCGCAAACCTCCGTCCATAGTTCTTCAGGCACTCTATCAGATCTAATCCCTTGAATCCTATTTGTCATTTCCACTGTAAGGGATTTGATTAGGTCATACCTGAATGGTCTTGTGATTTTCCCTACTTTCTTCAATTTAAGTCTTCATCTTGCAATAAGGAGTTCATGATCTGAGCCACAGTCAGCTCCACTGTAGGGAGCACGAGTTCTATCCCTGGTCCAGAAACTAAGATCCTGCATGCCTTGCTGCATGGCCAGAAAGTAAAATTGAAAGAAAAAAGCATTTTTGTCTCATTGGTAAAAGGCCATGTTTGTAATTTTTGATGTCCGTTAAATCACATGTCATGATGTTGACATCCATCATACACCTTGGGTGTATTGGGTTAAATTAACTGTATTGTTTAAGTTAACTTCACCTGCTTTCTTTTCACATTTTTAAACATGGCTGTTAGAAAGTTCAAGGTGACATGAGTCTCCCACACATACGATTGTCGGGACATTGTAGTTCAAGAGCAGGGGCTGCCCAGAATTACTGGCCCGTGGCCACACCCCTTTGTCTCCTTTCCTTCTACAAGAGCAAAGCTGAGTCCTCATGCAGACACCATCTAACTCATAAAGCCTAATGTATTTATCATCTGGCTCTTTCCAAAGAAAGTTTGCTGACCCCTGGGTGATTTTGAGTGTGATTTTTAAGCACTGTGGTGTGATACAGTAAGTCCCCTACATCATGAATGAGTTCTGCTCTGATAGTACTTTTATAGTCCAACAAAGTTAGCCTAGGCACCCAACTGGGTTTTCCAGGTAGTGCTGTGGTAAAGAATCTTCCTGCCAGTGCAGGAGAGATGCAAGTTCGATCCCTGGGTTGGGATGATCCCCTAGAGGAGGAAATGGCAACCCACTCCAGTTTTCTTGCCTAGAAAATCCCATAGACAAAGGAGCCTGGTGGGGACTATAGTCCATCGGGTCACCAAGAGTCAGATAGAACTGACCGACTGAGCGCACACACACGCCCAGTTAACACATAAACCTGTACTGTTACAGGTTTAGAATAATTTTCACACCAATAATACATTTAAAAAAACCACAAAAAAGGAAGAAAATATCTTTAATCTTACAGTACCTGGAAAAGTACAGGAGTTCAGTACAGCAGCTGGCATACAGGGCTGGCATGGAGCGAATAGGCAAGACTGACTGGAGGGGGGGGGGGAGGTGATAGAACTGAAGATTGTCAGCAACAGAAGACAGAGGGCGAGCTGCACAACCACTTACAGAGGCTGCGTGCACATGGCACGCGAACTCACTTACGTAATTGGACACGTGAGCGCACATTCACATCTTTGAAAGTTCACCACTTGAAGGTTCGTATGTAGAGGACTTCCTAAAGGTGTTTGAGAATCTGCGTTCCTGTTCCCTGTTGCTAACTGTTTATTTATCAAGTAATTTTATGTATTTATTGATGTATTTCTATTGATATATTAATATGCCTCCCTGTTGTTTGCACGTTTATATATAGATGTGTATGTGCATACATAAATAAACGTTTTCACATAGGATGTGTGCTGTGTAGATGTTGCTGTGTCCATGAAATGATGAACTTAACAGACGCCCCTTGAACCCTGCAGGAGGAGTACCAGAGCGAAGGGATCTCATGGCACAACATCGACTACACAGACAACGTTGGCTGCATCCACCTGATCAGCAAGAAGCCCACTGGCCTCTTCTATCTGCTGGACGAAGAGAGCAAGTGAGTGTCCGTGGGCCCAATGCATCCAGTTCTGCAGCCCCCGGGCCTTACTCCAGTCCATTCCATCCCAGAACTTCCAAGTTGCTCAGAGTCATGTGGCTGCAAATCCTGACCCCACATTTGCAATTCACCAGAGAAATATTAACACTCGAAGTAGCTGTGAACTCAGGAACACACCCTCGCCCTCCCAGGAGTCCTTGGGAAAGACTTGTGGGACCTGAATCTAGAAGCTGGGCACAGGCTTGGTGCAGCCTTGCAAAGGGCAGGGAGTGGAATCAGGGCCCCGGATACGAGGTTCTCCACCACGCCTGTCAGCCCTCATCCACAAGACATGATGAAGGCTGGAGAGGGTATTTTTAAGGTGCTTTATGCTTGGTCACTCAGCCAGAGTTCCTGAAATTGCAGGACAGCCTAAAACAGCAGAAATTTATTCTCCCACAGTTCTGGAGACTAGAAGCGCAAAATCAGCCTTGATGGGCCAAAACCAAGGTGTGGGAGGGCCACCCTCCCTCCAAGGAGGCGACTTCTTCGCATCTTCCACCTTCCAGGGGCTCCAGGTGTTCTTGGCTTGTGGCCAAGAGTCTCTGCCTCTGTAGTCACATCATCTTCTGTCCTTCTGCCTCATCTCTTCTTATAAAGACTCCAGTCTACTAGATCAGTCAGTACCCACTCTAATGACCTCATCTTTTTAGGGGAGAGTGGGGACCGCGTCATACAGCTTGTGAGATCTTAGTTCCCACAACCATGGATTGCACAGGAGCCCTCGGTTGTGAAAGTACCGAGTCCTAACCACTGGACTCCCAGTAAAGCCCCCCTAAAGAGCTCATCTTGACTTGACTGCATCTAAAGCCACATTCACAGGGTCAGCGCGTCAGGGAGTAGACATGTTTCGAGGGTTTGGGGTTTCTTTTGACTGTGTCGGGTCCTAGTTGCAGCATGTGAGATCTTTGTTGCATCCTGTGGGGTCTTTTGTTGAGGTGCGCAGACCCTCTAGCTGTGGCTCCAGGGCTCAGTAGTTGTGGCACATAGGCTTAGTTGTTCCCCGGCACATGGGATCTTAGTTCCCTGTCCAGGGATGGAACCTGCACCTCCTGCATTGCAAGGCGAATCCTTATCCACTGGAAAGTTTTTTTATCAGGCCCCTCGTTTGCTGCCAAAGTCCCCTCAGGCCTGGGGTGGATCGGGCTCACCACCTGCCTCAAACCGAGTCCCATCCAGGACAGACACATCCAATCTCAGCGAGAATCCAGGGAGAAAACCCGCTCAGATAAGGGAAGGAGCAGGGCGCTTGGAACGGTTAATTGTCCCTCCCAGCAAACTCCCCAGAGCCAAATCTGGGAAAGGCATTCAAGGCAGAGCCAGGCTGAGTCTGATCGGATTTGTCTTTGTTTAAAATCTTGCTATTTTAGGGGACCTCTCTAGCAGTCCAGTGGTTAAGACTCTGTGCTTCCAGTGCAGGGGGCACAGATTCGATCCCTGGTTGGGGAGCTAAGACCCCACCTGCTTTGGGACATGGCCAAAAAATAAATAAAAATGGATGCAAAAAAAAAAAGTCCATGGTGAGCAAAAAAAAAAAATTTAAGATTTAGAAAAATAAAATCTTATTGTTTTAGTTCATCATGATTTTGGGGGGAGTGGGGGGGCATCGAATTGAGTTTTCTAAAATAGTGTGTGAGAATGTTATTTATTTCCACAACTGAGTGAATGGGTCTCTTGCTCTCCACACCCTGACCCTGGCAATGATGTGCCTCATAGCTACAGGGTCTCCCCCTCTACCCTCTGTCAAGCCATGAAACCTGGGCATCAGGGGTTTGGAGGCATACCTTGCTGCCCATGTTTGCAGTGAGGCAGGACGCAGGCTGGATGCCAAAGCCGGCTGTGGCATTTCCTTCCTGAGAGGCCTAAATAGCCAGATACAATGACTCCCTTAGTCAGGCCTGACTCACCTCCCTGTTTCATCTGTCTCCCAGCCCCTGCCTCTAACAGGGGAGCATGGGCAAGACCCACTGCAAGACACAGCACCCAGGTACAGATGCACCTGAGACCAGCAGTCACCCCTGTCCTGGGATTATTCCAGGAACTGCCCGTGATGGGCCCCAGTCACGATCTTGCCTGGACCAGACATTTACATGGACCCCCGGGGCTGGGGCACTGGGCTGCTCTACCTGGTTCAACTTTGCTTCCCAGCTCTGAGGGCATCACTTGCCCTCAGCCTCGTGCCCAGGCCCCTGCAGCCCGAGCACCCGCCCGCCTCCTCCACGGAGGGCCTGCGACCTGCCAACAGCACAGAGCAGGTGAGCGGCTGCAGTTCCTGCAGTTAAAGGTCTCCCGTGCTCTTCCCAGCTTTCCGCACGCCACGAGCCAGACTCTGCTGGCCAAGTTCAAACAGCAGCACGAGGACAACAGATACTTCGTCGGCACCCCCGTCATGGAGCCGGCCTTCATCATCCAGCACTTCGCAGGGAAGGTGAAATACCAGATCAAGGTACGCAGCTGTCTGTCACCACTGTCGACCAGGTTGTGCTCCACTCAAGGGACGGGAAGGGGACCCCTGGCTGTCCTGGAGGTCCCTTCCCTCAGGCGCTCGCTCCGTCCCTCCTCTTTACTGCTTTTGCTGGGCGAGGTTCCAGGGCGCTCAGACCCAGTGTCAGACCCCTGGCTCTGCTTTCGAGGGTCCCGTGGGCAGGAACCCCCTCTCTGTCGTGGAGACGGGCCCCGCTCCCCACCCAGCCCTTCCCGAGCTGACCCCAGGGCCTCAGCCGGCACTAGCAAGGGACCCCCACCACGCTTCTCCCCCGTCCCCCCATGCCAGGACTTCCGAGAGAAGAACATGGACTACATGCGGCCAGACATCGTGGCCCTCCTGCGGGGCAGCGACAGCGCCTACGTGCGGGAGCTCATCGGCATGGACCCCGTGGCCGTGTTCCGCTGGGCGGTGCTCCGGGCCGCCATCCAGGCCGTGGCCGTGCTGCGGGAGGCTGGGCGCCTGCGGGCCGAGAGAGCTGAAGAGGCTGCAGGTGGGAGGCTCCCTGTGTCACTGTCGAGAAGCGGGTGCTCAGAGGCCATTGCAGAGTGTAAAATATCATCACATTTAGCACATTCCTGAGTTGTGCAGCCAGCACTTCTGTCTTGTTCCCTAAACTTTTCTTTTTCTTTCGCACTAGTGATAAAGAACCTGCCCGCCGGTAGAGGAGATGTAAGAGTTACGGGTTCAGTCCCTGGGTCGGGAAGATCCCCTGGAGGAGGGCGTGGCAGCCCACTCCAGTGTTCTTGCCTGGAGAATCCCATGGACTGAGGAGCCTGGCGGTCTGCAGTCCATGGGGTCACAGAGAGTCAGCCACACGGAAACAACTTAGCACACAATAGTTTATTACAAGATATTGACTGTAGTTCCCAGTGCTATACAGGAGGGCTTTATGGTCACCTTCATGTATAATAGTTTGTATCTGCTAATCCCGAACTCCTAATTTATCCCTCTCCTCATCCTTTCCCCTCAGTAACCGTAGGTTTGTTTTCTTTGTCTGTGAGTCTGTTTAGTACATAAGTTCGTTTGTGTTATTTTTTCTGATGCCACATGTAAGTGATATCGTATAAAATTTGTCTTTGTCTGACTTAACTGCGTTTAGTATGATCATCTTTAGGTCCACCCATGTAGCTGCAATCAGCATTGTTGCATTCTTTTTTATGGCTGAGTCATATTTCATTGTATAGCTATACCACGTCTTCCCTATCCATTCATCTGTCAATAGATATTTAGGTTGCTTTCATGTCTTGGCTATCATAAATTAGCTCCCAAGCCTTTTGATCATGCAAAACAGAAGGTTTGTAGCAGGATATCTAATCTAACCTGCTCATGCTCACAAGGCAAGAAGGGGTGCTCCTGTTCTCCTGTGAGAACAGCCTGACACCCAGAAGGGCTAAGTGACTCTCCCAGGACCACTCCGCTCCAGATACCAGCCCCAGGGCTCCATTTTAGGAAGGGTGGGGTGTTTATTAAAGGAGGATTGAAAGATTAAAGCCACTCCATTGAGACAGTACTGTTTGGGCCAGACAGGGTGGGCAGAGTGGCCTGGCCATGGGGGCGGGCAGCATGTGCAAAGGTCCTAGGGCATCTGTTTTAGGAAATAGATGGTGCTGTTTGGGGAGGAAATGGAACATTTCATGGTTCCCTGCTGTGCCCAAATTTGAGTGTCAGCCCCCGTCCCACCCAGCCCCCCTCCTTTTTTTAAAATCGGGTTCAAGTCAGAATCACAGGCTCCATGGAAAAGTTAAGAAGCCTGTCAGCTCCAAGCAGCCCTCTCCTCCAAATTTCATGCGCTCTGTCTCCCCAGCAGGTCTGGACAGCTCTGGTGCCCAAGGTCACGTGGGAGAACATAGAGGAGCCAGCACCCCGTCAGAAAAACTCTACCGGTGAGCGAGATCTTGATTTGTCCCAGCCGAAGCCTATAGGCAGCGGCATTGTTTAAAACGGCGGCAGAAACCCGACACCCTGAACCCAGGTCAGAGTTGACCTGAATAAGGAACCCAGCAGCCACTTGAATCAGAAACACCCAGAAGCGACGGCATCTGGTGGCCGCATTTCTGCACACAGAGAGGCCAGCCTCGTGCATCATCTGTTTTGGGGGATGTGGGCGGCTCAGTTTACAAAGGCTCCTTTTCAGGGCCGGTTGTGACCGTTGGCGGGCGGGGCTGAAAGAGCAGCAAGCTTGATTTAAGAGCACTTCCTCGCTTAGCCTGACCAGTATGTCCCAAACACCCATCTGCTAAGTTACTTTACTCTCAGTCAGAAACACAGATGTGTTGTTGCCGCTCAGATGACACGGGGGTGTTCTGTGGCCACCTAGTGACGGTCAGCGTTCCTCCAGATACCCCAGTTGGTACTGAGTGTAAAAGTGAGCAGGCTTGTGCTTCTAGGAAGTCAGGGTATAAAAGGTCATGCTCGATAGCCATCTGAGGCCATGACAAAGCCAAGGGAGGGACCCTTCAGGCAGCCTGCGAGAGCCCAGCCAGGCAGGCTATACTGAGACAGGATTCGTTGGCCCAGACAAGGCAAGCAGTGTGTGCTGACCTGGGGGGACAGCTGGTGTGAAGGCCCTGGGGCAGCGGAGTCCCCAAGCTCTTTCTTAAGACTCCCAAAGGAGTGAACCCCTAAATTTTGAAACATGAAAAAGTCATTTTGTTTTTTGAGCACTTTGTAAGAAAACCTCCCTCAAGAGGTCCATGAAAGCTTACGTGTGAAGTTAGAGATAGCTCCTAGGTAAGTGGTCGTGTGCCATTTGTCTGAAGGCAGTGTCATTTTCCTCCTTTCAAAAAGATATATTTTGATTTTTTTTTCCTAATCGAAGGGTAATTGCTTTACAGTATTGTGTTGGTTTCTGCCAAACATCAAGAGGAATCAGCCATAGGTATACTTGTATCCCGTCCCTCTTGATAAAGAGATATGTTGTCTTTTTTTCTTTTTTTTTTAAAAAAAAGATGCATTTTTAAATCAGCTTTTTCACCCCAAAGAAGGCAAGAGAGAAAAAAAAAGAAAAACACTGCCCCCTATTTCAGAGTGGCCCCTGACCCCCTCGGTCTCCCCAAGGCCTGGCCCTGGGGCTGCAGGTCCCACCAGCAAAAGCACATTTAGTTTATACAGATTCTCCCTTTCAGCTGCTCAATGCTAGATTTCTCATTTGACGGCTCTGAGGAGTTCGATATTAACGCTTTTGAAGACATCATTGCTTTCTATGAAAGCAAGAAGTAAGTAGAAGCAAGGGCCTTGGAACCCGAGACCAGGGAGGCACGCCCCGAGGAGCCATCATCCCAAGGCGCTCAGCGCAGCGTTCAGAGCCAGAAGAGGGGATCAGTGAGCCAGGGGGCGCTCTCGCCAGATTTGGCCTGATCAGGGGGTGTGGGCTGAAGCTAGGGGCTTCACCGTCATCATAGGGAGCTGGCCGCTGCGCTGACCGCTCAGGGTGGAGAGGTGACATGTGACCTCTCTGTTGTCTTTGCTCGGTGCCTCCCTGGAGGGTGAGGGAGCAGAGGTAAGTGCGGCCATCTGGCCCTGGGCATGGTGCATGGAACACAGACAAGGGGCTGCCGATCGGGGTCTTCCCAGGTCAACTGCTCAGAGCTTAAACATGTATTCAGGTAACTGCAATGAAGAAGTGTTTTTTTAATCTTTTTATTTATTTAACCGTACCAGTTCTTAGTTGCAACATGTGGGATCTAGTTCCTTGACCAGGGATCAAACCTGGACCCCTTGCATTGGGAGCATGGAGTCTTAGTCCCTGGACCACCAGAGAAGTCCTTTGGAATGAGGAAATTTTTTTAAAAGAGAGACAAACTCCCAGATCATCCTGCAGTCATCACTCCCTCATTTCTAGACATTCTGCCCTAGACATTTGTCAAGACATTGTTTGCGAATGTCCGTTTTCAGGGCATTCGATTTTTGTCCCTAAGCCGTTGTCATTCTCACACCTAAAACGTCTGCTCAGCCCTGAGCCCACGGTGACTGAACAGAACACAGTTAATAAGGTTGAATTCTGGGGGGCGAGTATCTTCAGCTAGAGCGTCACCCTCGGGGCTCTGCCGGGCAACGCTGTGATGGGGCTGTACTGGGTGCTGCAAGGAGTGGGGCAGCCTCCCCGGCCCCCACCTCCAGATGCCAGTCAAGCCCCCACCGCACTCGGAACAACCAAGCATCACCCCAGTTATAACCCTGTGTGAGTTCCACTTCATTCCTCCCAAGGCATTTCTTGAAGCCGACAAGGAGGCAGACGTGTAGTCACAGAACCATCACGAGAAACCCATCTGCTTCCCACAGAACCCTCCCGGGTCTCCTGTTTTCAGTGGCCCGTGGGTGCTTTCTATAGACTCCAACAGGCTCAAACACAAGGCCTTTTCCAGTGTTCCGAGATGCCCTGTTGCAAATTTTGTTCAGCCCCACGTGTCCCCAGCCCCTCCCCCACCGCCGGAGGAGGGCGGACCCTCCTTGGGGTGGCCAAACCCTGACTTCTCCATGCAGTAGGGAGTGGCGGCAGCCTGCAGCCCTTCCCCAGGTTGCATGTTTTGGCTCCAGTGGCCTGGAGACGGTCCCGACCGTGCCAGGGACCCCGAGGTGGCGGGCCCACTGCTCTAACCCCATCTTCTCTCTGTCACTGCACCCCCTCCCCCCCAGCGATTTGCATGACCAAATCATCCGGAGTATCAAAGGATTGCCCTGGCAGGGTGACGACCCCCGTAAGCTTCTCCAGTCCCTCAATCGGCTCCAGAAACCCCGCACCTTCATCCCGTGAGTCCCCCCCAAGGTTGTGGGCACCCCCCTCTCCCCCACAAGTGCAACGAGCGCCTCCCCGCCCCAGACACCCCCCCACCCAACCCCCGCCTACAGGGGCTTCCCATAACACTGAATGAGCCGCTGTCCATGCCGCGCTGTCTTGTGGTTCTGTTCTCACGCCAGCCATCGCTAAGTGGTCCTCGTCATACTCCCATCCTAGTGTCTGCACCCAGACCCAAATCCTCGCCAGCCCCCCAGTGTCCAGCACAGCTTCCCAGGAACGCTCCTGCCACGAAGCAGCTGATTTTCTGCCCCCAAACCTGCCGAGCAAGGCTTGCTTCCTCCCGCCCCAACCTTTGCCACTATGACCTTATAAAGAAGCCTCAGAGGCAGGGTGTGCAATCTTGAGGACCTCTGTGCATCCCATGACCCTGCTTTGTGGGTGTGATGCAGTAGAAAGGGCCGGAAGCCACACAGATGAGATTTGGACCCCCTTATCACTGTATGACCTGAGTGCTGTGAGCATTCACCCTCTGTCTGCAAAGCAGGGGTAACAGTTTTCATACCCTCCAACCCAGCAGGCAGCCACCTCAACCAGTGGGCACCAGCAATTGCTTAGGGCTCAGGCCGAGGAGAACAAAGCTTGTGCCTGCAGTGATGCCTGTTTGCAAAGTCATTTTTATGATGCCTCATTCCACCCCACGGGGATAAACGTGAAACATGACACAAAGAACCTCAGAGCCAAGCCTCTGGCAGGGAACCATTTCCTCAGCAGGTCTTAGAAACTTCCCAAGCTACAGTTTTTAAAAAAAACTTTTCTTGTCTGCAAGATTCCATTAAGTGTCTAAGAATGTGCGGGTGCCCCCCCCCACCTCGGCCAAAAAGATCAGCTTTTGTTTTTAACCTGCTGCCAGTTCAAGTCCGTAAGGCACCCATACACCCAGGCCCTATCTCAGTTCTTTGAGAGACAGACCCCTGAACCGGCCACCAGGGCAGGGGCTCCAGAAGGATCTTTGGACTGCTTTGGGTCCCAGCATATAGCAAGTAGAGCTGGGACACCTGGTAGACCCGGCTGCATGGGGGCCCTCGGAGCCCCCTTTGGGACATCTCACAGTCATTCTGTGAGATCCAGCAGTACCCCCCAGACACCCAGGAGCCCCTGCCACCTCAGGGGCAGCTGCTGGCCTGGTGGGGCGTGTGCACGGTCCCTGGCGAGGCGGCGGCCTCGTTGCACTTGTGCCTCCGGACTCTCGCTCTCTCTGTTCTCGCTCCATCTAACCCGCAAGGCGTGGCTTGCTAAACTAACCCAGAGCCAGACACTGTGTTCCTTCTGTTCACAAAACCATTTTTAATATTTTGACAGGAAAAGTAAAGGTATCAAACAAAAGCAGATCATTCCAAAGGTAAACACACACAACACCGCCCAACACCGCCTCGCGAGCAGCTGGCTCGCATCATGTTTCTAGAAAGCGGGGTGGGGCGGGGTCTTTTACCTTCTCAAGCTTCTCTAATTCTTTCTCTTTCCTTCCCTCTCCCCTTTCCCCTCTAAAAAACTGTCTCCTGTTGAAATGACACAGAGGGGTCTTTGTTTGGGTTTTCTAGAAGCAGGACCTGTGATGTGGTCTCTGCACAAGTGGTGTACAGTGGGGAAGTCCCAGGAGAAACCTGAGGTGGGGGAGGCCAGGAAGTGGGCTCAGCCTGATCCCGGGGAACCCAGGAGTGTCAGCCGTACCTCAGAGCTTACCTCACCGAGAGGCGATGGGACCCTCCTATCATATCCCCACGTTGGGTGTCTTTAGCTGCGAGCCAATCCAAGAGGGTGGGATGGGCTCATCAGCGCCTGGGCATCCAGGGAGAGGAGGCCTGTCAGCCAGGGTGGTCCTGTTGGGAAGGGGGCAGCTGTGCATTGCTGGCAGCCTAGACCCCAGCAGCCAGCCTTGGCTGCACACCCAGGCGCACCCAGGCGCCCTGTCTCGTCTCCACGTACAGCGTGCTGAGGGATTCTGAAATCAGAAAGCGAGAGCAGCCGCCCAGTCCACTCAGTCTGGCCAGCAGGTGGGACAGCACTAGCCCCCCACCTTCTATCGACAGTGAGGGTTGGCCCATGGGAGGGCCGGCTGGGTGAGCACTTATAGCAATATGGGGTGCTTGGCACGCCTCGAGCTGCACGGAGGGAAGCCAGCACTCCGTAGCTCTTGGTTGCTGGCCACTCAGGCCACTAGTGGCCGTCATCAGCCCTCTCGGAGGCGGCACCATCCCCAGGTTGCAGCTCGGGCTCAGCCCCCCAGTCAGGTCCCCACCGCTGCCCGCCAGGCCCTCCCACCCCAAGCCCGTCTCTGACAGCACAGCCCCCAGACTGAGCCTAAGAGCTGCCACCCCAGGGGGCATTGTCCTTGCTCTGGGGCCGCACAAGGTGCCTCCCAGTGCACCCTGGGGCTTTGGGAGGGCGGGCCAGACCCTGCGATTCTGTCCTAGAACCCGCTGGACTCCAAATCCCTGAAGCTGATCATCAGTATGACACTGCACGACCGCACTACCAAGTCCCTGCTGCACCTGCACAAGAAGAAGAAACCGCCCAGCATCAGTGCCCAGTTCCAGGTGGGTGGCCCAGGGGCGTGGAAGGGGTGCTGAGCTCTGCCTGGCACTCACGTGGCTGGGCCGAAACTAACCTAGCACAGGGAGCTTCTCATTATCGCCAGCGTTCCTGACCGTAGCACCGTTTGCCATTTGGGGTTGGGTCATTCTCCATGGTGAGGGCCATCCTGTGTGTTGTGGGGCATTGAGCAACATTGCTGGCCTCCCCCCACCAGACACTGGTAGCATTGTCCAGGCATGACTACCAAAACGTCTCCAGATAGTGCCAAGGCTCCCTGGGGGAATACAGTCACCCTTGGTGGAGAACCACCAACTTAAAAGAGTCATGAGTGAGCGTGTGAGTTAATGTGAACACTGAACTGTGTCCTTAGATCACATTTCCCTTTTTCCCCTGGTTGTCAGGAAGCTCAGGGACACTTCTTTCTCTTTTCAGTGGGGTCCAATGGCCAGGGAGGGCTTCTCTGGTGGGTCAGTGGTAAAGAATCCACCTGCCAGTGCAGGAGATGCAGGTTGAATCCCTGGGTCAGGAAGATCCCCTATAGGAGGAAATGGCAACCCACTCCAGTATTCTTGCCTGGAAAATTCCATGGACAGAGGAGCCCAGTGGGTTACAGTTGATGGAGTCGCATGAGTCGGACATGAGTTAGCAACTAAACAACAAATGGCTGCGGGCTCTCACCATTAACTGTTCTGTTCCTTCCCATTTTCCACAATCTAAGTCTTTTGCTTCCACTTCAGCTTTTACATATATATATATAATGTATGTATGTATAATTACATCATTTAGGAACTCCCACTGTACCCTTTTGTAAACAGCAGGCCAGAGACCAAAATCACTACAACCATGATCCCTTCTGAGGCTGACTTTTTTTTTTTTAAAATCAGAGAATTTAATGTATGGTACTGGTTAAACAGGTACTAGAGGACTGAGAAGGCAGAAGGGGAACAGAGAAGGAACATTGAGGTAGTAACCATGGGTAGGAGCTTGTACCTCTAAGGCTGAAGGAACAAAAGGAACAGTTTGGGATTCTTAGAATTTAGGCACTCGGAAGTGAGGCCCTGCAGAGCTCAACCTCTGATAAGAGGGTGGCCGCCAGCTGGTGCTGACATTTCCGTGGAGGCAGGGGGAGACGGGTTCTGTTACTAACCTGGGTTCTTGGCCTCCTTTGACATGTGATTTAAATCCCTAGAAAGAGTTAATCTGGTTCCACCACCTTCCTCTCCCCTTTCACCTGATACCGAAACATGGCGGCCCTCGGCTGCGGGGACCCACAGCCCCCTTGGGGGCCCTCTGGGGTAGCACAGCCTCCTGCTGCAGCCTCCCCTGTTCCCTGTCAGCACAGATACAGCCCCGTTGATGCAGGAAGGTGACCTGGATCCCCTTCCCTTGAGGGACGTGCCTCTGAGGGGGTCCCAACTCAACACCTTCCCCCCTCTCTCCTCAGACTTCCCTGAATAAGCTCCTGGAGGCACTGGGGAATGCAGAGCCCTTCTTCATCCGCTGCATCCGCTCCAACGCCGAGAAGGTAAGGGACTCCCCCATCTCCGGGGCTGCGAAAGCCAAGCCCAGGTCTGGAGACTTGGCAGGGAGTGTTACAATGTGTCTAGGGGTGGGAGTCAGGAGGAGGGGTGGTCAGGAGTCCTGGAGGAAGCAAGTGTCCACACGGGTTTCAGGGACTGGAGGAGGCTGGTTCTGCTACCAGCCAGGGTTCCTGGCCTCCTTTGACATGTATTTTAAAAGTGCTCTAGCCAGCCAGGGGTGGCAGGGATCAGCAGGAGGCACCAGGGCCATCTAGTGACCAGCTAGGAACAGAGAGACATCCTCTGGAACACGGGGGATTCCCCGGTGGCTCAGCGGTAGGGAATCCATCTGCAATGCAAGAGACACAGGTTCGATCCCTGGGTCGGGAAGATCCCCTGGAGGAAAGCATGGCAACCCACTCCAGCATTCTAGCCTGGAGAAACCCATGGACAGAGGAGCCTGGCGGGCCAGTCTGGAGGGTCACAAAGAGTCAGACATGACTGAAGCAACTGAGTATGCATGCGTGCACTGGAACATGGAGGGGCCCCAGAGAAATTTGGCTTGAGGACGGACAGGTCAGGGTGCTCTTCAGCTATATCCCCAAAGCAGTCAGTGCAGAAAATGTGCCAGATGGGAGAGGCTGGGGTCGGAAAACAGGAGCCCAGAGCCTGCTGCTCGTCCTGAGCTTTCTGGGAAGACAGCACCAGTGGGGGCCCCAGCAGCCAGTTCAGCCCCTGCTGCCAGGCTTTCCTCACCCCAGAGGTCCACTGGCAATCCTGTGCCCTCGAGAACTTTGCTGGAGCCATTCAGGACCTGGGCTCTCTGCCGGGCATGAGCGGATCTCTGAGCAAGGACATCCTGGTGACTGTTCGCCCACACTGTCTGTCTCTACTCTTCCTGCTTCTGTTCCTCTTCCCTGCCCCTGGGATGTTCCGCTGACCTCCAGAGCCCAGCTTGGCCCTGCCAGGCGCCAAGGCTTCCATACCAGGCAAGGACCTGGCCTCAGGCTCTCTCCTCCTCCCTCACCCCATTCCTGGTCCCCCAGGGATGGCAGCTCAGCGGTTCCTGTCCCCGCCCCCACCTTCCACCAGCTGCAGATTCAGACCCACTTTCCCCACCTGTTTGGATTTTGCCTCAACATTGGACAGCTCAGAAAACACTCCAACACCTGCTCTGGGCAAGAGCCATGCCCACAGCTTATTCTTCACTGTTGAGCAGCTGTCCTGTGCTCTTTAGGGTATTGAGTAGCATTCTCTCCAGTCTTGGGGAGCCCACCAGATACCAGAAGCACCTCCTGCCCTGTCATGACATCCTTTGCCTCATGCCTTTCCCTTCCTTCCCTCCACTTAAAATAACATGCACCAGCATGGAGTCCAGGCCGCGGAGCTCTGGGCTGGAAGCTCACTGAACCCAGCTCATTTCAGCCTCTCCTCCCCCTCACCCCCAACCCTCCAGCAGTAAGCACCTCCCTGCATACCTGTCCATGGCTTTGGGCTCTCCTTTCTCCTCGGGGTCTTCACCTAGTTGCTTGCTGCCCCCCTCCCCTACCTGTCCTCTTCTCAGCTCTCAGGACTTAGTCCAGGGTCCCCTCTCCTGTAACACCTCCCACAGCCCAGCCATGTGTTCTTTCTGCTGGATCCCCAGTACTCATCCTGATACCTGGCACAGAATATGAGTCCAGCACAGGTTTGGGAAGGGGCCTTTAGGAAATAAATCTTTGCACAAATTTATCTTAAGTTAGGCAGTGAGAAGTAGTATCTGTCTCCCGGACAGCAGGGAATAGAGTAGATCAGATGCCATGTTTCCTAGAAGAGATGAATGCCTCAGGTATCACTGCTGAGCAGCCCCACCTCTTTATTTCAAAAAGCATGACTGGAGCAACGAAAAAAAAGCCAGGTGCCCACAGCTGCCAGGCTGGGGACAATTCCCAGACCAGCCCCGGCCCATGGGTGTGCGCTGACTGCATCCGTATCTGCAGTCCAGAGGGATGGCAGTCACGTGGGAATCAGCACCTCCTCCCAGGGCTGCCTGTCCCTGATCGCTCAATCCCATTTCAGAAAGAGCTGTGTTTCGACGATGAGCTGGTGCTGCAGCAGCTGCGCTACACGGGCATGCTGGAGACCGTGCGGATCCGGAGGTCAGGCTACAGTGCCAAGTACACGTTCCAGGTAGGACGCATTCATGCACGTGCATGGCTGTCTGGACACTGGCCACCTCCAAGGAGAACGCTTCTCTGGAGCCTGAGCCTGGCAGGTTACTTTCCATCAGGGTTTCTCCACCCTGATACTGATCCCTGAGTAGGAAGATCCCCTGGAGAAGGAAATGGCAATCGACTCCAGTATTCTTGCCTGGGAAATCTCATGGACAGATGAGCCTGGCAGGCTGAAGTCCATGGGGGTCTACAAAAAAGTCGGACACGACTAAGCAACTAACGACAATAACTGTTGGTATTTGTACCGGATCGTTCTTCCCCATCGTAGGTGGGGGTGGTGCCTAGTTGCTCACAGGCGGCGTGTTAAACCGACAGGGAAGAGGGAGCCACACAAGCAGATCCCTGTGTAACTTGGCCCTTTATTGAGCATTTGTGTAACAGGCACTTTTTTTCTTTCTCCAATCTTTATTTTTTTCTTAATATATATATTTTATTGAAGTATAGTTGATTTACAGTGTTTCAGGTTCACAGCAAGGTGATTCAGTTATATGTATACACATGTATTATTTTTCAAATTATTTTCCATTACAGGTTATTACAAGATATGGGCTTGTCTCTGTGCTTATAATAGACACTTTTATACCCAGCTTTTTTATTCTACCAACCAGCTGCAAGGGGGCCCTGGTTCCTATTTTCTCAGTTTGGAAACTGAGACCCAAGGAAATGATGACTTCAGGGTACCTGGGCTTTCTAGAAACACAGAGACTCACTAGTAATCCCAAGTTTGTGAAGACCAAGTTTCAACAGATTCTCCACTGTGTCACCATTGACAGTTGGGGCTGGGTCATGGCTCTGCGGTGAGGGCCACCCTGTGCACCATTGTGTATTGAGTAGTATCCCTGGCCTCCACCCACAAGATGCCAGGAACACCATTCCCCTGAGTTCTGACAACCCAAGATGTCTCCGTTTAACACCAAACATCCCCAGGGGTTAGCACAGCCCAGGTGGAGACCCCTTGGCTTATGTGGGGAGCTGGCAGCAGCTATGCAGTGCTTGAGTGAGCACTGGGCCTGAGCCTAGAGCTGGAAGCACCTGATCCCCATTCCAGGGTTACCTGCGTGGCCTCAGGTACGTGGCTGCATTGTGGCATGGCTCCCCTTCTCATCCACATAGCATCTTTCTGATCTGCATAAACAGGAAAGGCACATTACCAGAAAGGGAGAAAATGCTGGTGTGTTTCACTCATGATTGGCTATTAAAAATTCAGCATAACTGTTTGCTTAAAAAGGGCATACCAGGACTTCTCTGATGGTCCAGTGGTTAAGACTCCATGCTCCCAATGCAGGGGGCACAGGGTTGATCCCTGATTGGGGACATAACATCTCATGGCACAGCATGGCCAAAAAAAGGTCAGGGGGCATACCTTGGGAATTTTCCCAGTGGTCCAGTAGTTAGGATGCTGCTCTTCTACTGCAGGGGGTGCAGATTCAATCCCTGGTCAGGAAACTTAGATCCCACATGCCATGCAGTGAAAAAAAGGCATACCTCCAGCTATGGTTCAGCCCTCTAATGAATCACAGACTGTGAGCCCCCCAAGGTCAACTTCATCTTCTGGCTCTCCGCCAACAACGCCAGCACCCAGCAGGTTCTCGTGATGGTGATCACTCTCCACCGACTGAAAGATCCAGTGCTCTGTGTCTTTGACAGTCTTTCTTAAGCTTCAGACTGTTTCAGAAAGTCCCAGACCTTAGTTTTGTCAACACTATTCACATCAATCCAAGTTTTGGCTTTGGAAATGACTTGACCAGGGAGTTGCTAGAGCCCTGCTCTTTCTGGTGGCAGAAACCCTCACATAGATTCTCCTTTCTTACCCAAAATCACCCAGGATTTCACGGAGCAGTTCCAGGTGCTTCTCCCTAAGAATGCCCAGCCCTGCAGGGAGGTCATCTCTGCCCTGCTGGAGAAGATGGACATAGATAAGAGGAGCTACCAGATCGGCAAGACCAAGGTCAGCAATCGCAGCCCTCGGAGGGCCCTTGTACCCATGTCTTCCACTCCACATGGGGTCCTCTCACAGCCCACGCCACTCCCTGGAAAATGAGGGCTCTGCTGAGGAAGTACGTTTCTTGGGGTGCAGCACGTTATTTCTTCCTGGAAAGCAGAGGGACAGACCTAAGGTGTGGGGCTCAGGCATCAGTTTCTCAGTTTCTCATTTGTAGGCTAGGAGCCATCATACCATAGCACAGGGTGTCCAAGGGACTGGTCAGAAGCCTTTGTAATGGCTCACAGCTCCCCAGCAAGTTAATCATGTAGAGTTAGCACCTGACCCAGCAGTTCCCCTCCTAGGTATAAACCCAAAAGAACTGAAAACATGTGCAAACGAATCCTAGTACGTGTACATTCATAGCGGCACAGTTCTAGTCACAACTGCCAAAGGGTAGAAATAGCCCATGTGTCCATGAACAGATGATGGATAAATAAAACATGGGCCATTCACATAGTGGAATCTTATTCAGCTCTGATATACACTTATGTGGATGAACCTTGAAAATGTTACACTGAGTGGAAGAAGCCAGGCACGAAAGGTCCTATAGTGTATGATCCAGTTTATATGAAACGTCCAGAACAGGTAAATTGATAAAAACAGAAAGCTGGGGCTTCCCTGGTGGTCCAGTGGTTAAGACTCTGCACTTCCAATGCCAGGGATGCTGGTTCAATCCTGGTTCGGGGACTAAGATCCAACATGCTATGTGATGTGACCCCCCCAAAAAAAATTTTAAAAATAAGACAAAGCAGATTAGGGGTTGCCAGGGCCTGAGGGAGGGGGATTAGGAAGTGACTACTAACAGATACGGAGTTTCCCTTGGGAGTGATGACATGTTTCATAACCGGATAGAGGTGACAGCTGCACGATATCATGAAAGTACTAAGTGCCACCAAATTATTCACTTTAAATGGTTCATTTTATGTTATGGGAATTCTGTCTCAACGTGTGTTTTTTTTTAAAAGCTCCTCTTGGTCAGGTCAGTAGTCAGTACACCAGCTCGGCCTCGCTCACTACCAAGTGGGCTGAGCAGACCTGAGGACAGGGGTGCTGGAGGCCTCGCTGACCCGTCCTCTGCCCGCCCCCAGGTCTTCCTGAAGGAGACCGAGCGGCAGGCCCTGCAGGAGACACTGCACCGAGAGGTTGTGCGGAAGATCCTGCTGCTGCAGAGCTGGTTCCGGATGGTGCTGGAGCGCAGGCACTTCCTGCAGACGCGGCGGGCAGCCATCATCATCCAGGTGCCCGCGGGGCCCGCGAGGCGGGGCGCGAGGGTGGCCGGGGTCACGCGCACCCAGCCCCTGAACGCCCCCTCCACTCTCAGGCCTGCTGGCGGTCCTACCGCGTCCGCCGGGCACTGGAGAGGACGCAGGCGGCCGTGTTCCTCCAGGCCGCGTGGAGGGGCTACCGGCAGCGGGCAGCCTACCGGCGCCAGAGACAGAGCATCATCCGCCTCCAGAGCCTCTGCCGGGGGCACCTGCAGCGCAAGAGGTGAGCAGAATGGGACCGAGCACCCCCCACCCAACCCCCCAGAACATTCCACCCACTCAACACTCAAGCGCTACCTGAGATAGCACCTGGCCGGCAGAGCTGTCAGGATGTCCCTGTCTGGATGCAGGGAGGCCAAGGAGGGGCTGGCAAGCGTCTAACCAGTCTAGGCACACTGGGCCCCAGAGAGACACTCCAGGGCTGATAGGTGGCACCTATGGCAACCCCAGGTCACTATTGGTGGCACTCAGTCTCTGCCAGAGGACCGCCCCACCCCCACCCCCCCAGCCCACTGCACTTGCTCACCCCCAGTCACTGAGCGGAACACCGGGACTCGGAGGGTTCAGGCCACCGGGACCAACCCTCAGGGGGCCTCCTTGTCCCCACTCACAGCAAGTCCACCCGGCCAGGGACCCCAGAGGAATTCAGGGAGTTCTGAACAGATCCCTCCTGCAACCAACCTAGTAAAGTTCCCCCTGACCCTGATGGCTCAGACGGTAAAGAGTTCCTGCAGTGCAGGAGACCCAGGTTCGATACCTGGGTCAGGAAGATACCCTGGAGAAAGAAATGACTACGCGCTCCAGTATTCTTGCCTGGAGAATCCCACGGACAGAGGAGGCTGGCAGGCTACAGTCCTTGGGGTACCGTCCATAGAGTCAGACCCGACTGAGCAACCAGCACTTCTCACTTTTTTCACTGAACCCGTTAGGCAGCAGTGCCTATGACAACATGAGGCTATTCCTGTCTCCCCCTTTGCTGGCTGAGGATGGGCCCACCTTTCCAGAAGCCTCTCTGGGGGCCAGGGTCTCACCCCTTGGCAGAGGGGGAGCCTGGCCCCCCAACCCTGTACCTGCAGGTGGAACAGGGCTCCCCATGCCCTGGGTGGATTTGCTCCTGAACCCACCTCCTTTCCTCCCCTGCCCCACCAGCTTCAGCCAGATGGTGGAGGAGAAGCAGAAGGCTGAAGAGAAGGAGAGGGAAGCCGAGCAAGCCTCGAAGGAGGAAACCGCCGAGGCCGAGCTGGCCCAGGCAGCTGGGCCAGAACCTGAGCAGGGCCTAGAACCCTCCACGGAGGGTGAGCCTTTGGACCTGGAGCCTGAGGTGTGGCCCAGTGACGGGGCTCCCCCAGCCGAGAGCTGCCAACCTGAGAAGGAGGTCCCGAGCGTGGAGAAGGTGCCCCCAACCCAGAAACACACAGCTGAAGGTCGCGAGAAAGTGCCCCGCAGCCGGGAGAAGCGTGAGTCACGGCGACAGCGGGGGCTGGAGCACGTGAAGCTCCAGAACAAGCACATCCAGTCCTGCAAGGACGAGCTCACCCTCAGAGAACTTTCTGGAAAGGCTGTCCCAGGGTCAGAGGAGAGCCTCCCAGAAAGGGAGGGCAGGGAAGATGAAAGCCCTTCGGATGCCAGGACTGAGATGGAGATGGCGTCCCCCAAAAAGCAGCCTCAGGTGCCCCCACAGGCCACTCCAAGCAGCCCGGACTCGGGAGAAGCCCAGGCCGGGAGCCCCAGGCCCGGCCACGAGGAACGACCCACCAGCCTGGCCCTGGACAGCAGGGTCACCGTGCCGGGACCCAGTGCCACCCCAGAGACCCCCAAGGACAAAAGCAAGCCAGGGATCAGCCCCAGGGCCCAGGAAAGGCCCGGCAGTCCTGGAGGCTCCACGCAGATTCAGCGGTACCGGGATGCTGACACTGAGCGGCTGGCCAACGCCGTGGAGATGTGGCGGGGCAAGAAGCTGATGACCGCGGGCAGCAGCTCCATGCTGAGTCAGTCCCTGGACCTCAGCGAGCGGCACCGGGCCGTGGGGGCCACCCTCACGCCCACAGAGTAAGCCTGCACCCTCCTGTGTCCGAGCGGGGGCTGGGGCTGCCGGGGGAGGAGGGGTGGCCGCACAGCCGTGCCCAGCATCATGCATCTCAGAAACACGTGCGGTTCAGTGCCGAGAGCCGACACCGGGTGGGCAGCAGCCCCGGGGAAGCAGGGCACCCGAGGGAAGGTTGGAAAAGATGAAGCCCCTGCCCAAATGAACCCTATTCACACAGGAAGCCTGCAGCCTTGTGGGGAGGGGGTGGGGGGCCCCTGCCTGGACCTCAGTTTCCACATCAGTGGGTGGGGATGATTGCGCATATACATGTAGAGGTTGAAGGAAGAGCTCTCGACACACCTGGACCCCTTCTTCTTGTTCATTTGCTAAGTTGTGGCCGATTCTTCACGGCCCCATGGACTACACCTCCCTGGCTTCCCTGTCTTCACCATCTCCCAGAATTTGCTCAAACTCATGTCCATTGAGTTGGTGATGCTGTCCAACCATCTCATCCTCTGTCGCCCCCTTCTCCTCCTGCCCTCAATCTTTCCCAGCATCAGGGTCTTTTTCAGGGCTTTGGCTCTTCACGTCACGTGGCCAAAGTATTGGAGCTTCAGTATCAGTCCTTCCAGTGAATATCCAAGGTTGATTTCCTTTCAGATTGACAGGTTTGATCTCCTTGCTGTCCAAGGGACTCTCAGGAGTCTTCTTGAACACCACAGTTCAAAAGCATCCATTCTTCAGTGCCAGCGTTCTTTATGGTCCAACTCTCACGTCCATACGTGGCTACTGGAAAAACTGTAGACCCTGGACCCCTAGTAAGCTAAATATCAGTGACTCCAAGACCCAGCCCCTTGTCTCAGAGGCTAGCTTCTCCAAAGGAAAGAAGAGGTGGAGAAAGACAAACTTTCTGCTAGGACAGGCTTTCTTGGCCTCCGTATGACAGGCCTCTGGGGCTGGCTCCATCTCTGTGGTGGGGGCCGTCCCAAACACTGTGAGGTATAGAGCAGCATCCCCGGTTTCCCCCCACCAGATGCAGGAGCACCACCCCTCCCCCAGTCCTGACAACCCCAGATGTCTCCTGCTCACCCTTGTCAGTAAAAGCCACATTTCTGTGATCTCACAGGGAGAGGCGCGTTTCCTTTTCCACGAGTGACGTCTCCAAGCTCCTCCTGTCCCCATCCCAGGCCAAGACTCAGGTAAAGCTTCAGGCAGCGGTTCCTACCCCTGAGGGTCCAAGCCCACCTCCATCTCAGCTGCCCTGGTACCACCAGAAGCAAACGGTGGATAGAATGCATGGCGGCACGGGGAGAATCCCTGCTTTCCCTCTAGCAAGGCCACCTGCCTATGCTCACCCAACCCCGCTCCCCTACAGCCTTCTGCCGAAACAGATGGGGAGCCCATCACAAAGAAGCTGGCCATCCAGAAGAAGAAGTCGGCCGACGCAGCCTCAGGGACAGACAACAGCCTGTCCCCAGGCTCTGCCGATTCTAAGTAGGTGTAGGGTTTGGGGGTGGGCTTGGGTACACCCAGGGTGTCCAGGGCCTTCAGTCCCAGAGCAGTCTAATCTCCTAAGCCAATCCCACTCTTGCTGCTGCTTCTTTTTTTTGGCCACTCGGTTTGCAGGCTTCTAGTGCGCTGACCAGGGATTGACTCTGACGAAGGTGCTGAGTCCTCACCACTGGGCCTCCAGGGGATTCCCATAAGCCAGTTGCGCTTAGGAAGCGCAGTTGGCCTGGAGAAGGAAGTGGCAACCCACTCCAGTATTCTTGCCTGGAAAAGTCCATGGACAGAGGAGCCTGGCAGGCTGCAGTCCATGGGGTTACATGACTGAGCATGTGTGCACGAGGTGGAGGGAGATGGGTTGGTAGCAATAAACTGGTAGAACAAAAAAAAAAGAAAAGCGCAGTTGGGGGGAATTTGCTTAGCATTTCCATAAAGAGAGACCACATGGGGCACAGATTGTTGCAGCATCAGGATGAAATGATTCCCATTGAATCCTGGAGCCAGTGTGGGTCACCTCTGCTGAGGCCATAGGCAGTGTCCCTTTGGCCATTTGTGGAATCATTACTGGGCTTCCCAGGTTGCACCAGTGGTAAAGAACCCACCTGCTAGTTCAGGAGACATAAGAGACTCAGGCTCAATCCCTGGGTCGGGAAGATCCCGTGGAGGAGGGCATGGCAACCCACTCCAATATTCTTGCCTTGAGAATCCCACGGGCAGAGGAGCCTGGTGGGCTACAGTCCATAGAGGCGCAGAGTGGGACATGACCAAAGCGATTCAGCACACACAAACGGAATCGTTACCAGCTCCCAGCACCCCGATCCCCACGTCAGGGAACCCTCCAGGTCTTTGAATCGCAAAGTCTGGGTCACAGCTTTATCCCCAAAAAGTCCCTGCCACGGAGATGTAGGTGGTTCAGAGAACAGAGGGGTGGGGCTCTGGGACAGGGGAGCCTTGATCCAAACACTGAATGGAAGCCTGAGGATAGCGAGGAGTGGACTACAGTGGGAAGAGAGAGTCCCCACTCTGGGGAGACCCCCACCGCCAAAACAAAGTGCCGCAAACAGGGCAGCTTCAGACAGTAGGAATTTACTCTCTCGTGTTTCTGGAGGCTGGAAGTGTGAAATCAGGGTGTGGGCAGGGCCGTGTGTCCCTCCAGAGAATCTCAAAGAGGGACCCCTCCTTGCCTCTTCCAGATTCTGGGGGCTGCAGGCACTCCTTGGCTTGTGGCTGCACCCCCTCCCCCACTCTCAGCCTCCATCTTCACATGACATTCTTCTCCTCTTCCCTGTTTCTTCTCTTTTCTGGCTATGCTGGGTCTTGGTTGCTATGTGCAGGCTCAGTAGTTAGAGTGCATGGGCTTAGTTTTCATGAGGCATGTGGAATCTTAGTTCCCCAACCAGAGATTGAACCTGCGTCCCCTGCATTGGAAGGCAGATTCTTTACCACTGAGCCACCAGGGAAGTCCCTTTCTGTCTCTTATGAAGACAACTTGTCACTGGCTTCAGAGCCCATATGGGTAATCCAGAATGACTCAGAATCTTAAGATCCTTTGTTCAGTGTCTTAGTCCACGCAGGCCGCTGTAACAAAACACCACAGACTGAGCTGGAGGCTAGAAGTCCAAGATCAAGGTGCCAGCAGATTTGGTATCTGGTTCATAGAGGCCTTCTCACAGCATCCTCACATGGAGGAAGTGGCAAGGGAGCTCTCTGGGGTCTCTTAAAAGGGCACTAATCCCATTCATGAGGGCCCCACCCTTGTGACCTAATTACCTCCCAAACTAGCACACCATCCCTAACACCATCACACTGGGAGTTAGGCTTCAGTATACAGATTGGAGAAGGAAATGGCAACCTACTCCAGTATTCTTGCCTGGAGAGTCCTATGGATGGAGGAGCCTGGTAGGCTACAGTCCACGGGGTTGCATAGAGTCAAACATGACTGCATGACTTCACTTTCATGTTCATACAGATTTAGGAGGACACATTCAGTCCACAGCATTTAGTCATATCTGTAAAGACCCTTTTCCCAGATAAAGTCATGCTCATAGGCCCTGGGGGTTAGCACATGAACAAATCTTTGGCGGGTGGTCATCATTCACCCCATCACATATCCAGTATCCATAGTATATGATTTTGGGTTTATTCTTTGAGTCCCCCCGAGTAAAACCCTTGTGCCCATAGAATTACCTTGGGGGAGGGAAGAAAGGGAGGTTGTTTTCTCCCTCTTTTGCTGTGCAGGCTCTTTGCTGTGGCACATGCCCTTCCCTAGTTGTGGCTTAAGGGCCCCAGGGCATGAGGGCTCAGCTGCCCTAAGGCACGCAGTATCTTGGTTCCCCACTCAGGGATGGAACCCACATCCCCTGCACCTAAAGGCAGATTCTTAACCTCTAGCCCACCAGGGAAGTCCCCAATTTTCTTTACATATGAAAATAGGGTGACACTGTGACATCTGCTCACTATCTCAGTCTTCTACCCAACTTCCCTGTCAGTTCACACAAACCAACCTTATTTTTATTAATTGTTTTTTCCAACCTTATTTTTAATGGGATTACCTGCCAGTGGTAGCCAGTGAAAGGGCTATTTCTCATTAACAGCAGGTTGACCCTTCCTCTGGCCTCAAATCTGCCTTCATTTCCTGAGACTTAAGCAGAGCCCCCTGTTTTCTCCTGTAGATCCACGTTTAAGAGACTTTTCCTTCACAAGAACAAGGATAAGAAATTCAGCCCAGAGGGTGGAGAAGAGACAGAGAGCGCCATACCCGGGCAAGCCATCCTGGAAGCTGCCACCACGAAGAAGACTCTAGAAGGTTGGTCATTCCAGATTCAGAGATGGAGAGCAGAGCCCCTGGGTCTACTGAGGATCATCGCAGGTGGGGACCTGAGTCAGCTGTGGGCTGAGCCCTGGTCACACGGTTTCAGGGCCAGTCCCGATCCCCAGAGGCACTTTCTGGCCACAGAACTTCAGTGTGCGAGGCATGGGGCCCTAGTTCCCCATGCTGGTGACCGTATCCCCGAGGCCGACCCACGTCCTCCTCAGAAACCCACCACGCTTACCAGCCTCTCCTGCCCCCTTCCCCGCCCCTCCAGTCCCCTCCAGCCACCAGCACCGTCATGCCACAGGTGAGAAGCACCCCAAGGAGCTGGGAGGGAAAGGGAAAAAGAACCGAAACCTCAAGATTGGCAAAATCACGGTGTCGGAGAAGTGGCGAGAGTCCGTGTTCCGCAAGATCACCAACGCCAACGAGCTCAAGTACCTGGATGAATTCCTGCTCAACAAGGTGGGCGGTCGGGGCCCTGGGCCGGGAACGCTGGGGGCAGGGGTCCCACGCAGAGTGGCCCCAGAGCTCCCTGGGGGGCCGTTGCCACTTGGTAGTTTTCTGAACCGTCGCACCAAAGCTCTTATCATGTGGGAACAGAAAGGCCAGGTCCATGGTTCCAACACACAGATGGTTCTGGAAATCACATGCTTCTGTCTGTGTTTGGCTTCTGCTGGTTTTCTGCAAAACCCAGCTCAGATTCCCGTGAGATCACTTGAAGCCTGCAGTCATCCTGTTCTGTGCCCATACTGACATGCCGGCAAATGTGCGTCTTATTACAAGGACCGCACAGAAAGCAGCATCTGATTCTGGGATGCAGCCCCACCCTTCACCCACTGAAACCGTCCGGAGTACACAGGCGTGTGCACACGTGGGTTGCACGCCCGGCAGAGGCATTTTATTCTGCGGCTCCTGCCCAGGGAGTTTGGGGTCTGCCGATTGAAGACACGTGGTGTGCTGTCTCACAGCGCCCCTTGGGGGCAGCTTCCTGCTTTCTCCGCGTGAGGAAGCGCTGGCGTCCCGAATAACCTTCTAAGCAGAATACCAGACACACACCGAGTGCCGCCAGGCTGTTCCTAGGTCCTGTGGCCGCTCCTCGCCCTACCACGCAGCTGCAGTTGCTTGTGAACAAATTACTTTATTTAGAACACTTTTGGGGACTTCCCTGGTGGTCCAGCCATTAAGACACTGAGCTCCCAGTGCAGGGGGCCCAGGTCCGATCCCTGGTCAGGGAGCTAGATCCCACAAACCACAGTGAAACCCAGCTTGGGTGCCTGCTCGGTCGTGTCCAACTCTCTGCGACCCCATGGACAGTAGCCCACCAATCTCTGTCAATGGAATTTTCCAGGCAAGAGTAGGTAGCCATTTCCTTCTCCCAGGGATCTTCCCGACTCAGGGATTCAAGCCAATTCTCTTACATCTCCTAAATTGCAGGTGGATTCTTTACCACTGAGCCACCTAGGAAGCCCCCAAGACCCAGCTCAGGCAAATTAATTATTTAAAAAAATTTTTTACAAGATGCATTCAGTGCAAGGTGATGATTGAGCACTTATTGTGTGTACTAGAGGGGCTTCCGAGATGGCAAAGTGGTAAAGAACCCACCTGCCAGTGCAGGAGGTGTAAGAGATGAGGGTTGAATCCTTGAGTCAGGAAGATCCCCTGGAAGAGGGCATGGCAACCCACTCCAGTATTCTTGCCTGGAGAATCCCAAGAACAGAGGAGCCTGGTGGGCTACAGTCCATGGGGTTGAAACTGACTTGACTTAGTACACATGTGTGCAGTAAAGGTAAAGAAATCGGGTGTGTTCACACCTCAGTTTCAGGCAGCCCCACAGCCAACAGAGGAGCATTTGAGAGCTTCGGAGGAAGACATCAGGCTGACAGGAACAATAAAGGGTTAAGACACCCTTCAAAGGGGGAGGCATCTCGAAACAATCGGGCTGTGTGAGGCAGCCCCAGTCCTCGGGTGTGGCCAGGAGTAAGCGCCTGTGCTGGGCAGCAGGAGGGGCCCCATTAAGCCAGGGTTTCTCAGCCAGGGCTGAGTCTGCCCCTAGGGGACACTTGGTAACGTCTGCAGACGGTTTTGGCTCTCATAACTGGGGTGTGTTCCCAGCACCTAGCGGGGGAGGCCAGGATTGCTGCTTGGCACCCACAATGAGTGATCCCAGAGAAAGCAGCGTTGGCAGGAGGGCCCGGATGTTTCCCAGGGGAGCCAGGGAAGGACCTGGGACAGGGCAGAGCGGTGACCACCCAGATGCCTGGCTCCAGGCAACACAGGATCAGCGGGTCTCTCCTTCCCTCTCCAGGTGAATGACCTGCGTTCCCAGAAGACTCCCATTGAAAGCTTATTCATCGAAGCCACCGAGAAGTTCCGAAGCAATCTCAAGACCATGTACTCCGTCCCGGTATGTGGAACCCCAGCCCCGGGGAGGGGCCCGGAGGCAACCCCCACCCCCTCCCCAGCCCGGGCACTGCCGTCTGTCTGTCCTACGGGAGGGTCACACCCTGCATTCCCACAGAACGGGAAGATCCACGTAGGCTACAAGGACCTCATGGAGAACTACCAGATCGTCGTGAGCAATCTGGCAGCCGAGCGCGGCGAGAAGGACACCAACCTGGTCCTCAACCTCTTCCAGTCACTGCTGGACGAGTTCACCCGCGGGTACACCAAGAACGACTTCGAGCCTTCCAAGGTGGGTGCGGCCGCTCCGGGTGCGGGAGGGGCCCTGTGCTTGGCATGTCGCTGGGGTTGGGGGGTATCCCCAGGGGCCCCACGCAGACCTGGCCTCTCTGCTCTCTCACAGCAGAGCAAAGCTCAGAAGAAAAAGCGGAAGCAGGAACGCGCTGTGAGTATGTGTGTTCTCGTGTGCGCACACACTCAGGGAAGCATGTGTTTTCCCACCCAGCCCTAAGGCATCCCCATCCTGAGATGCCACGGGAGGCGTCCCCCCTAAGGGGCCCCCCAGTGACCCTGTGGGGGTCCACCTGCCCACTCAGCCCCCCTGCCCCCGCCACCCCAGGTGCTGCAGCACAATGGGCACGTGTTCGTCAGCTACCAAGTGAGCATCCCCCAGTCCTGTGAGCAGTGCCTCTGCTACATCTGGCTTATGGACAAGGCCCTGCTCTGCAGCGGTGAGTGCGCCTCCCCGACCTCTGACCCCCCGTACCCCCTGACCCCCCCCCAGGTCCCCCGGACGCCCAGCCCACACCCTCTGACCCCCGCCCCAACTGCATCCCCAGCCCCTCACTGGGCACCTGGGCCTTCACCCCAGCTACAGGACCAGTCTTTTCAGAACACTGCCCCTGGACTTCCTGGTGGCCCAGTGGTTAAGACTCTGCCTTTCCAACGCAGGGGGCACAGGTTTGATCCCTGGTCAGGGAAGTTCCACATACCACAGGATGTGGCTGAAAATAAATACACAGAAAAAAAGAACAGTGCCCCTCACCTCGGGGCAGTCAGGCCCACCTCACCCACTCCTACCCCACCGCTGCTGTCATGCTGGGCCAGAGGCCAGTCCTCAGCTGACCCCACAGCCTCCCCCAGCTCCACAGCCAAGTCCCCCTGGCCCCTATCTGTTCTTGTTGCCCTCACTGCCAGCCCCTCCTCATGTGCCAGGCAAGGCCAGTCAGTCCCCAAGGGACCCTGAGAGACAAGCGCAGCCCAGAATGACCCAGCTGGCCCCCAGTCGGGCAGCCAGGAGGTGACCAAGCCTGGGTGGGAACCCACTCGTCCCCTGGAAGCCCAGGCCAGGTCAGACAGGCTTCTAGCACATCTGCTTTCCTGCCAGAACCAGTCAGGGCTGGCTTTCCGTCGAGGCCAGGGTAATTTCCTCTCCCCTCGGCCCATGTGAGGAGCAGCTTGCCACCTCACATCCATAGTGAATGCCCAGGTGGTTGTCACTGTCCTGAGACCCCGGGACAGGCAGCCGCGGGACCCCGAGTCCCTGAGGCACTGCTGGTGACCGCCCCTCTCCCGCCACCCCCGCCATGACCTCGTAGTGTGCAAGACCACCTGCCACAAGAAGTGTGTGCACAAGATCCAGACCTGCTCCTTCAAGTGCGGGAGGAAGGTGAGCCCGCCAAGGCTGGGGACTTGGCAGAACACCCGAGGGAGGCCGTCCTGAGAGATGTGGAGGAAAGGGTGTGCCGGGTGCAAGGCCAAGGCTGGTCACCAGGCCGGAGCGCAGAGCTGGTGGCGGGGGGTGGTTCTGCAGCAGAGCACACCCTGGTCCTGTCAGCCCCCGGGGCCCCCCCAAAGCTGGGGTCGGGCTTGTGTATGCATCTCAGACCCCGGCCCCACTCTCCCCACCACCAGCGGGAGGGAGACCCCTACCCTGCACCAGGGGAGGTGGGGTCCTCGGTACTGGGCCGCGGCACTTCACTTAGAGACCCTTTGCCAGTGGCCTTTGAGGGACCCCCACCGCCCAGCACCTCTGGCAGGTCTGCAAGGGAGGATGAGGGGCAGGGAGGGACGGAGGCCACAGAGGCGGCCCAGGTCTGACCCATCCCCACTCCCCATCACAGATGGAACCAGGCGCGGAGTCGGGCCACTTCGGCGTGTGCGTGGACAGCCTGACCAGCGACAAGGTCTCAGTGCCCCTCGTGCTGGAGAAGCTTCTGGAACACGTGGAGATGCACGGCTTGTACACCGAGGGCCTCTACCGCAAGTCGGGTGCCGCCAACCGCACACGGGAGCTCCGGCAGGCACTGCAGACAGGCAGGTGCTGGGGGAGACGGGTGGGCTTCCGCGGTGGCTCCGACAGTAAAGAACCCACCTGCCGTGCAGGAGACCCGGGTTCACGCCCTGGGTCAGGAAAATGCCCTGGGTCAGGAAATGACATGTATGCTTGCCTGGGAAACCCCATGGACAGAGGAGCCTGGTGGGCTACAGTCCACGGGGTCGCAAAGAGTCAGGCATGACTGAGCCACTGGGCACGCGTGTGGGAGGTGGGTGCTGGGGGAGGAAGGGGGTGTAGACGGGTAAGCATCAAGGGCAGGAGGGCGCCACCTGGGGCTCCAGGCACAGCCCGCCCGCCTTCCTCACGCTCACCAGCCCATGCGCCCACCCTGCAGACCCCATGGCAGTCAAACTGGAGAACTTCCCCATCCACGCCATCACCGGGGTGCTCAAGCAGTGGCTGCGGGAGCTGCCCGAACCCCTCATGACCTTCGCCCAGTATGGCGACTTCCTCCGTGCCGTGGGTGAGTCCCCGCCACTATGGTGAGGGCGGCAGTTGGTCGAGGGCAGGGGTCAGAGGCTTGAGCCTCTGCTATGGCCAGTCAGGGAGGAGGGACCCCCAGCTCCCCAGCTGGGAAAACAAGGCCTTGGCCGGGCCCAGGACTGCACTGTGGCCCTGCCTCCTTGCCACACACACTGCCCTGGGCCCTACACGGCGGGAGGTTCCAGGCACCCTGGGGCCCATCGGGTGGGGGCCGCGGGCCGCTGACACCCGGGACCCTCCTAGAGCTCCCAGAGAAGCAGGAGCAGCTGGCTGCCATCTACGCCGTCCTGGAGCACCTGCCAGAAGCCAACCACACCTCCCTGGAGCGGCTCATCTTCCACTTGGTCAAGCAAGTGCCCGTGCCCTAAGTGCCTGCTGTCTGGGGGGTGGGTCCCGGCGAGAGCCCCGCCGTAGCATTCTCTGGGCTGGCGTGCCCTGGTGGCTCCATGCCAAGGTGTGAGCCTGTTTCGGGCAGTCCAGCTTTTTCGTGGACCTTTTTCTCCACCCTGCAGAAGCCAATGTTTCTCACCTCCCACCTGCGGCGGCACTTTCCCCACAGTGACCCCTGAGCCTCTGGACTCTGGTTTTGGGTCTCCCCGCAGCCACCCCCTAACTGCCGCTTGCCACATAGGGTGGCCCTGCTCGAGGATGTGAACCGCATGTCACCCAGCGCGCTGGCCATCATCTTCGCGCCCTGCCTCCTGCGATGCCCCGACAACTCAGACCCCCTCATCAGCATGAAGGATGTCCTCAAAATCACCACGTGAGTGCCAGTACTGGCCAGTCCTCGCCCCCAACACACACCCAGAGCAACCCAGCCAGGGACCCTACAACTAAACAGGACAGCCTGCTCCAGAATCCTAGGATGGCCTAGCCTCGGTAGCATGTAAATGTGGTCGCAGAGAAAAACCCAGAAGAACATACCCCAGGGGACTTCGCACTCACAATTGCAGGGGGCCGGGGTTCGATCCCTGGTCAAAGAACTAGATCCCATGTACTGCACCTAAGACACACTGCAACCACACACACACACACACACACACCCAGGAGGACTTAGAGAACTAGATCCCATGTACTGCACCTAAGACACAGTGCAACCACACACACACACACACACCCAGGAGGACTTAGAGAACTAGATCCCATGTACTGCACCTAAGACACAGTGCAACCACACACACACACACACACACACCCAGGAGGACTTAGAGAACTAGATCCCATGTACTGCACCTAAGACACAGTGCAACCACACACACACACACACACCCAGGAGGACTTAGAGAACTAGATCCCATGTACTGCACCTGACAGTGCAACCACACACACACACACACACAGAGAACTAGATCCCATGTACTGCACCTGACAGTGCAACCACACACACACACACACACACACAGAACTAGATCCCATGTACTGCACCTAAGACACAGTGCAACCACACACACACACACACACACACACACACACACACAGGAGGACTTCCCTGCACACACACACACACACACCCAGGAGGACTTCCCTGATGGATCAATGGATAAAAAATCCACCTGCAATGCAGGAGACACAGGTTCAGTCCCTGGGTAGGGAAGGTCCCCTGGAGAAGGAAATGGCAACCCATTCCAGTGTTCTTGCCTGGGAAATCCCATGGACAGAGGAACCAGGCGGGCTACAGTCCATGGGGTCACAAAGGGTCAGACACGACTTAGCAACTAAACTACTGCCACCCACCAGGAGGTGTCCTGAGCACTGGGGTCCTGCATGGACTCCATTTGGTCTCTCTACCCTTCCTTCTTTTCTTCTGACGTCATGGAGAAAGTCATGACTTTCTACAGTCACACTAAACCCAAACTCCTGACAAAGTCCAGATGTGCGCTGGCTGCTGTGATCGGCGAACAGGGCTCTTGTGACAGACAAGGGACAAGAAGCAGCCGGGCCTTGTTGGGGCATCCTGAGGCTGACACACGTCCAGACCCAGGAGGAGACCTGGCGGCATCTCCCCTCCAGCAGCAAGAGCATCACTCCTGAGTTCTTTTGAGGGTGAAAACCCAAAAACAGGGGAGAAATCCCTCATCCCCAGTCCAGGGTGAGAGACAGATGGTGTTCCCAGCCTCTGGGAGCAGTGGGAACCGGCAGTAAAAAGGAACAATTGTCTTAAGGTTCCTTCTTCCCACCAAATGGTCTTCAAAATTCTCAGAAAGTTCTTTAGAAGGATGGATTTCCCTGGCAGTCCAGTGGTTAAGACTCCAAGCTTCCAACACAAGGGGCTCAGGTTTGATCCCTGGTCAAGGAACTAGGATCTCACATGCTGCACAGTATGGCCAAAAAAATTAAAATGAATGAAAGATAAAGGACTCAAGGGCGTCAGCAGACATCCATCACTAAGAGGACACTGTTTAGGTGGTGAGTTGTAAAGTAAGAACTTGTCACCCAGGGTGGTGTCATGAGGCAGGCCTGAGGGCTATGCCTGACCGTGAGTTCCCCCAGGCATAAACAGCAGCTGGCAGGCAGAGAGGAGAGCCCACTGAGGCCCAACACTACGTGGGCAGCCATGTGGCGTTGACAGATTTTCCTCCAGCCTGTTCCAGCACATTCCTTGGTATTGTTTTTTTTTTAATATGTGATCATGACAACAGGAGGCCTGAGTCATGACTGCCTCTTCATCCAGACTAAGTCCATCCCATCCCACCATGCCCTCCCTGCCCTGGTATTGACCATTCCACTGACCAGCAACCATTCCAGGCTGGCCCTGACTACTGAGCAGATGTGTCTTGGGTCACAACTGACTTCTAGAGCCCTTGGGGCCAGCTGCCTACAGCCCATGGGGTAAATGGCCCAGCCTCCATGGTACTCTACCTCCTCCTTCAAAGGAGGCGGCATGTTAAGGCAGGGATTCAGGCTCAGAGAGGTGGGGTGAGCTGCACGAGATCACACAGTGAGTGAACCAGGGCCACGATGGGAGCCACAGCCTTGCCTGTGGCCCTGCCTGCTCTCTAGGTCTATATCTCAGCCACCATGCCCCTGTCCTGGGCCAGCATCTCCCTAAACGTGGGGCCCTCACGTTGGCCATCCCTGGCCCCCATCCCAAGCGGTAGCTGAGTAGCCTTCTCCACAGGTGCGTGGAGATGCTGATCAAAGAACAGATGAGGAAGTACAAAGTGAAGATGGAGGAGATCACCCAGCTGGAGGCTGCTGAGAGCATGGCCTTCCGAAGGCTTTCTCTGCTGCGCCAGAATGCTGTGAGCTATACTTGGCGGGGCTTTGGTGGGGCAGAGCTGGTAGGGGCGGGGTTTGGGTGGTGGGCGGGGTCTCACCTGTCTGCCCAGTGCACACTTCCAGCACACATCCTTGGCCACAATCAGCCTGACCTGGGGCCTCGTGGCAGCATGGTTAGGGGCCAATTCCTCACCTTGGCCAGAAGACCCCCGTCCTAGCCCAGCCTCAAGGTCGGCTGTTCCTCTCAGCAGTGGGGGAGAAGCCTGTCACCTACTTGGGAGGGCTCTTGGTCATTCTCCAGCCACAACCCTGGCTGACTGAGGCCCTGCCCACAGGGAAACACCCACAGCAGAAGAGGCTTGGGGTGGGGGGTGGATAGGGGGATAAGGGGCCAGTCGCGGGCTCCTGTGGGAGGACCCTATCCTCGTCCCCACAGTCAGACAGACATGGCTGTATGCCATGTAGCACTTAGGCCCTGGTCGTGGCCCTGTGTGGTCAACCTCTCTTCATCTCTCCCCCAGCCATGGCCTCTCAAACTGGGGTTTTCGTCTCCCTATGAGGGGGTCCTGGTATGTACACGTACGGTCCGTCCTCACATGTCTTCCGGCGCGGTGCATGCTGGGGTTCCTTTTGGCCCCTAGGGTCCTGTAGAATAGGCGGAGCATGTCCTAACCTCCGGAAGTGCATGCTGGGGGAACCTCGTTGCCTGCTGATCACCTGTGCTGAAGACAGCTAATCAGCCAAGTACTGGCCATTGGGTCCCCGCATGATCCCCAGAGAAGCCTCGCTAAGCCTAGACTTCCATGTCAGAACTAACCTCCCCCGGAACTACTCATACCACCCCCTCCCCATCTGCAAGCACTGATCTCCCACCCACTCAGAGGGGCTGGCCAGACATGCTGCATCCCTTTGCAGATTAAGAACCCCAAGACCCGGGGGAGCAGCAGTGGTGGCCCGGAGGAGCTGGGGGTGCTGCAGGAGGAGGAAGCAGCCGGCGGTGATGAGGATCGGGAGAAGGAGATCCTAATCGAGCGGATCCAGTCCATCAAAGAGGAGAAGCAAGTGTCTCTCTGATCCCTCACCACCCTCAGCTGCCCTGTCTGGTCTCCATCCACTGGCCCCTCCACTAGAGAGGTCTGGCTGTTAGGAGGTTGATGGGCTAGACTTAGCCCTGTGGTCCAGGGTCCATCTCATGGGGCACTGCTGTCCTATAACACAGCTTAGGGCTGTTTAAACCCCCCACTTGGCCATCATGGTCCACAGGGAGACAAGAGGCCACAGGGATGATGCCTGAACCAAAGTTGGCCTCAGCTAGGGTGATCCACCAATTTATTGTCCTGTCAGGGTGGAAGTATGAACAGAGATGCAGTTGACAAATTACGCCAGGAGGTTGGGTGTAGTCCAGGCTACCTGGGCATCCTGTTCTTAGGAATAGGCTGGGGCACTCCAGACAGAAGAAACAGCATGTGCTAAGGTCCTGAGACAGAAACTCCTCACTAGCTGAGCCACAGATGCCTGGTTTCCCTCCAGTCTGACCCTTTGCTCACATGAACTTCACTGAGCCAGGGGCATCTGGGGTGAGGTGTGCTTTGGGAGTTGGGTTGGGGATGCTAGGGGGCAGAGAGTCCCATCTAGGAGCAGAATAACCTACTCTGTCCCCTACTGGCCTGGCACTTTTCCATGGGGCAGTCCTTCACCATGGAGCAGCCTTGGACACTGTGACCCCCTTCATCCCCAGGGAGGACATCACGTACCGGCTGCCAGAGCTGGACCCTCGGGGCTCCGACGAGGAGAACCTGGACTCAGAGACATCTGCCAGCACCGAGAGCCTGTTGGAAGAGCGGGCCGGGCGGGGGGCCTCGGAAGGTCAGTATTAAGGTAGCGTCTGCTTTTTTCCTTCCCATGTCCATACCCAGCAGGCCCCCGGGCAAGGGTCCATCTGCCGGTCATGAAGCTGCAGTAACCCTGCCATCTGTCTCTCAAAAGGGCCCCCCGCGCCTGCTCTCCCCTGCCCCGGCGCGCCCACCCCGAGCCCCCTCCCCGAGGCGGCCGCCCCTCCTCGACGAAGGCCGTCGTCCTTCATGACGGTCAGAGTGAAGACCCCCCGGCGGACCCCGATCATGCCCACGGCCAACATCAAGCTTCCGCCTGGCCTGCCCTCCTATCTCCCTGGCCGGGCGCCTGGTACACAGGAAGTTGCTGCCACAGTGAGGCGCCGAGAGCCGCCGGCCCGCCGCCCAGACCAGGTACACTCTGTGTATATCACGCCAGGCACTCACCTGCCCACTCAGGGCCCTCAGGAGCCCCTGGACAAGGATGACCGGCCACCTGGGGCCAAGCGGAGGTATTCGGACCCCCCAACCTACTGCCTGCCCTCTTCCTCGGGCCAGGCCAATGGCTGAGGGCCCTCAGCTGCCAGCATCCGCACGTCCAAGGACAGCCCAGTCCCCGAGCTGGGCACCGGAGCTCCAGAGCCAGCATTCAGCTGCCTGAGAAGGATCCAGAGTGGAAAGCTCCGAGAGTGATGTGAGGCGGGCACTGACTCCAAGTGAGTTCAGGCGGGGAGAGGCCAGCTGAGGCCTGGCCGCCCTTGCTGAGCCGCCAGGTCACACGGAGGCGCCCGATCACAGCACTGAATCATAGCGGGCAGCCCGGCATCTCCCAACTCCCCTTTTGTACGTTTTCAAGGTCACTGTTTCTTTGTGCGTGGTTTACATAAGTTTAAACTGTAACAGCCTTAACAGAAGACCAAATTGTTTTTTTATATGTGTATGTACAAACTTTTATATTAACGCCCTGCATCTCCCTTATAACCTGGATGTGAGTCTTCAGAGCAAGTCAACACAGCCGCCAAGCTTCGGAGGCTCAGACCCACGCTGAGGGACAGCTGAGGGGGCTGAGGGCTGGGACTCTGCATGAGGGGTTTGGACACTTGTGGCCCCTGACTGCCCCGTACTGCGGCCCGGCTGGTGGCTATCCGGCCCATTCAAGGGAACAGTGGAGCCTTCCGTGGTGATCAAGACTGTTGGCTAGAGCCAGGACACAAGGTGGTAGGCGGCCTCCACTCCAGGCACCACAGACCTCACATTATTCCAGGGATACTCGAATGTGGCCATCACTGCTCGGTCTGTTGTGCCCCGGACAGAGAAGCCCATCTTGGCCCTGCCTGCCCCATGTGGCAGGACAGGAGCCCACAGCTCAGGACCGTTCACGGTGGAGAGGTCAAGGCCTGGAGTTGTATGTCTCTGCAAATCTACAGTGACAGGCTGGGCATCTGGCATCTACAGAGGTGGGGATTCCCCTCTTAGGCTCAGCCCACTCTCGCAACACACAGACACACGGAGCTAGGTCTGGGACAAGAGACACTCACAGGCCATGTGAAATAAAGAAAAAGTGCCTAAGAGGTGTGTGCGTGCAGTTCCTACTCAGACAGGCTCCAGGTTGGCAGGTGGGGGTCAGACATGCAGCCTCAGCCAAAAATGGTGATGGTGCAGGGCAAGGATTGAGCCCCTTTGTCTGGGAGGACTTCCATTGTTCCTCCAGCCAACTCCTTTTGGAATTTCACACAAGCGAGGTAGGCTTATTTTTTGGCTGTGCCATGCAGCTTATAGGATCCTAGTTCCCGGACTAGGGATCAAACCCTCACCCCCTGCAGTGGAAGCTCCACCGGACCACCAGGGGGATCCCTGGAAGTGCTTTTTATTGATCCAGAAAGCTGAGGAAGCAGGCAGCTCATGGCAGAGCCACATTAAGTGAGGAGAGCCTGCTGTCCTAGGAGCTGCCTCCTGTCACACCTAGCCTCTCCCCAGCAGGGGCTTAAATGTCAGCTGAAGGGGCCATCTGCCTTGGGTGGGGAGTCAGTCCTGGTGGACCCACTAGAGCCTGAAGCAACAGCACCACCACCATTACCTAGGGGAAGCTGGAAGCTCCCAGGTTGCAACCAGATCGGCAGTTGTGGGAACTGGTTGGCAGATGGGGTTTGTAGGAGTGGGGTAGTTAGAGACCATGACAAACCTGAGTTTAGGTGGCACATGCTGAAGAGGTGGCAGTCTAGTCCAAGGCCACACAGCTGGGATGGGGCGGCCTGGGATTCAGACCCGGCCCTGTCTGACTCATGCATGTGTGTTTGTGTGTTCAGTCATGTCTGACTCTTTGCCACCCCATGGACTGTAGCCTACCAGGCTCCTCTGTCCATGGAATTTCCCAGGCAAGCATACTGGAGTGGGTTGCCATTTCCTTCCCCAGGGGAATCTTCCTGACCCGGGGGTCGAACCCGCGTCTCCTGTGTCTCCAGCACTGACAGGTGGATTCTTTATCATTGAGCCACTTGGGAAGCCCTGTCTGGCTCTAGAGCCAACCCCCCCCCCCGCCCCCCGGCCAACCCCATCAATAACCTGGGTTTGAGTTTGGACTCATCCACGGCACTTATAGGGCACCAAGGCCACTCGATGTGGCCTGAACACAGGTAACCTGAAGGGCGGGGAGATAGTTGAGGGATGTGCACCAGGCTTCAGCCCCTGTTATGTCTCCATCCTCACTCGGAGGGCCCACAGAGGGAGACTCGAACAAGGTGCCTTGACTTCTTGAGGACGCGGATGGGGTTCTGTCCACGGGGTTCTGGGCGTTGAGGGTGACCCAGCCACACCGCATGCTCCCAGGTTTAGCTCATGTCACTGCCAGACTAACCGTTTCCCAAGAGCAGAAACAGGTCCAGAAAAAGTTAAACACAGGGCTACGACCGGAGGTGGAGTCAGGTCAGGGCTGGGACCGGAAATAATAGCCCCTAAGAATCCCAAGTCTTGGATTCCGAAGTCCCGCGTCAGGGCCTCTCCTCGTGAATCCAGAGAAGCCTGCCTGGATGCAGAAGGGCTCCGAGTGGGAGAAACTCACGAAGGAGTGGAGAGGCGGGTAGAGATTCTGAGGCGGGGAGAGTAATGAGCACTTCACGCTTTGCATGTGGGTCTTCTGGCACCGAATGACTTGATCCTTCCAACCTTTCCGGAAGGGTCAAGATGCTCGCAAGAATTAGCGAGCGATTCATACCGGAGTAAACGCAGACGGGATGGTGTCTCGCATTGAAACAAGACATTACTTCCGCCACCCTAAACAAGAATGGGACAGCAAACAAACAGGGCACTTTCGACCGGAAGAAGGCCACGGAAGGCACTTCCGCCATCTCTTAAGATGGCGCCGGCGGAAGGGGCGGAGTACCACTGGGTGATGATGGCAGCGTCGAGGCTGGAGCTGAACCTGGTGCGGCTGCTGTGCCGCTGCGAGGCGATGGCAGCGGAGAAACGGGACCCGGACGAGTGGCGTCTAGAAAAGGTAGGGAATCCCGTGTTTCCTCGTAAACCCCGAATCCAGGAGAGTGGTACCCGCAGCTAGAGGCCACCGGGCCCGACTCCCCCGCCCCGCCAGCCAGCCTGGCCACGCCCCTTCCGGTTGGTTCCGGCCACGTCCACCTGCTGCTCTCCCGCCTTCTCCCTGGGGCTCAGCTGGTACCTCCTCCTGATACTTGGCTCCTCCTGTTTCAACCCCGCCCCCATCCTGTCCTCTCCCCTTGTTGGCTCTGATCTCTCTGAGCAGGATGTAGAGGTTGGGGGAGGACTGGGCTGACACCCCACTTTTTGTCCCCAGTATGTGGGAGCTCTCGAGGACATGCTGCAGGCCCTGAAAGCACAGGCGAGGTGAGTGCAGACGGCCACAGTGGTTCAAAATTGTTCTCCTATTGGAGACAAGGTCTCCAGTTCCCGCTAAGAACCTCCCCTCAACTGGGCAAAATAGGCTTTCCTTTTCCTCTTCTCCCCTTCCAGCAAACCGGCTTCCGAGCTGCTCAATGAATATTCTCGGAAGGTAGATTTTCTGAAAGGGATGCTGCAGGCAGAGAAACTGGTAAGCAGGGGCACCTCTGCCTGGTCAGCCTTCATGCTCACCTGGGGCCTGCCCCTCTGGTGACTGCTCTCTTCCTGCTTCTGCAGACCTCCTCCTCAGAGAAGGCACTAGCCAACCAGTTCCTGGCCCCTGGCCGAGTACCAACTACAGCCAGGGAACGGGTACCTGCTACAAAGACAGTGCACCTACAGTCACGGGCTCGGTACACCAGTGAGATGCGGAGTGAGCTGCTAGGCATGGTAGGGCTCCCTCCATAGTCCCCGGGAAGCTTTAGTTGGGGACAAGAATTTGTGCATGGAGGTGGCCAGAACAACAAATACTGTCCAGTGCAGGGACTAGGATACCCAACAGACAGGACCTGAACCATCAGACAAGGCTTCCCAAGAGACAGGCATCGTGGCCAGAGCTTTACTAAATGAATAAGAGTTTCGTTACAAGGCAAAAGTGGCACATCTACACTTAAAAGCCCCAGAGTTGGCTCAGAGCAAGGTTTGGCCCCTGCCTCACCACACATCAGTGAGTTTTTTTCATCTGTGAAATAGGATGACAGATACCTCTATGAGCACTTTCTGTGGATCTGAAAAATACCCTTCAAAATATGAACCCTTGTTTTCAGTTTATAGATGAGGAAACTGAGCCTCAGAGGTCTTGTCCAGGGCCCTGATTGAGGGTGGGGAGTTTCTGAAAGCAGAAAGGACAGGTCTGGGGGATGGCCTGGTTGGTGATTCTGTGCCTCTCCTTTTTTCCCACAGGACTCTAGTGAAGGTGAGACAGCATGAGGAGAACAGGACTCAAGGCCTGGGACAGACATGTGTCCTTAGTGCCCCACATCCCTCGTGCCTAGCCTGGCTCCCACAGGGTGTTCACAGCCCAGGGAAACTGTGCCCAGGGGCCTTACCAAGTTATACTGGAAGGGGGTGCCAGGACAGAGGAAGGGGCCCCAGAGGAAACAGAGTTGGACACTCCCAGCCCAAGGGACTAAGGCTGGCTAGAGGGAAGGACCTGGGGCCTGGGGGAGCCCGGATGAGGAACACTTCCTAGCAGGGAATGCTCTGAAGCCTGACCTAGAGCCCACCTGCTGTGCAGCAGACAGAATGGGAAATGGCGTTGTGAGTAGCAGACACATCCCGGGCAATGGTCAGGAAACTGGAAAACAGCAAACCAATTCTTCCTTGTTGCCTGCTTGGCTTGTTTTGCTTTCAGAGCCCGAACTGGATGTGAGGAAGAGAACGTGAGTATCTTCAGCCCTTGGGGAGGGAGCACTGCGGGGAGAGGGGAGTTGGGCAAACCTTGGACCACTAAAGCACAACCATGAGCATCTAAACCACCAATCAGGGGGTTCCCAGTGGTCCAGTAGTTAGGACTGTGTGCTTTCATTGCCAAGGGCCCGGATTCAATCCCTGGTTGGAGAAAAAGATCCTACAAGCTGAGCGGTGCAGCCAATAATAATAATAAAATTTAAATTAAAAAAAAAAAAAACCACTAACCAACAGCCACTTCTGAGGATGCTTTTTCCCAGAAGCCAAAGCGAAAAAGGAGAAACAGCCCCAAGCAGGGCAGTAGCTGGAACTGTAACCTCTAGGGCCCTTGAAAACATGTTGGTCTCTTCCCTCCTTCCCCCACCCCCCGATCTCATACCCACTGGTCTACCCATCAGTGGGGTATCAGGGCCCACTCCAAGGGATGAGAAGCAGTCAGCAGCCGAGCTAGACCTCGTCCTGCAGCGACACCAGAACCTCCAGGAGAAGCTGGCAGAGGAGATGCTCGGCCTGGCCCGGAGCCTCAAGACCAACACACTGGCTGCCCAGAGTGTCATCAAGAAGGACAACCAGGTATGAGGACTCTGGGAATCCTAGAGCCTCTGGTTTGGGGCATCAAAGAACGCTTCCCAGAAGAAGGTCCCTATTGCTGGGGCTTAGCTGGATGACTAGGAGTTTGGCAGAAGTAAAAAATGGCATTCCCAGAAGAGGAAACAGCACTAGCAAGGGCCAAGAGGTATAGATTTACTCCAATACAGTAGAAAGAGGCGACACTTGGACCCAGTCCTGCTGACACTCTCCCTCCCTCACCCACAGACCCTGTCACACTCACTCAAGATGGCCGACCAGAACCTGGAAAAGCTGAAGACAGAATCCGAGCGGCTGGAGCAGCACACGCAGAAGTCCGTCAACTGGCTGCTCTGGGCCATGCTTATCGTCGTCTGCTTCATCTTCATCAGCATGATCCTCTTCATCCGTATCATGCCCAAACTCAAATAAAGACTTGGCCTGGCCTGTGTCACCTGTCCACTCTGCCCTTCACCCTGTCCAGGGATGATACCCTTTGGGGTTGGCAACATGATGGGAAGGCCCTTGGAGCCCCCTGAGAGCTACAGAGAGTACATGACCAGGGAAGGAAGGAGGGCAGGCAGCTGGGGGAGGTGAGTCAACAAGCCTGCCTCCCATTTCCGCCCCACCCCCACCCCCACCCCAGGTACCTGCTTCACGCTGGACAAGGCAAGGCCCATAGAGGCCCCAAGAACTCCCAATCTGATGAAGTCAGAGCCAAACACATTCCTGTGGAGCCAAGGTAAGGTCTAGAGGGTGGGGGAGGAGTGGGGCCATGCCTGGAGGTCAGCCCGTAGGAACGGTTGAAAAGTTGTCTCTCTGAGCTGTGAACAACGCCTGGATTCTTGGCCTCCAGAGGAGATGAATTCGATCCAGAGCCAGTGACAAGGCTTGATCGCTCACACCTTTTGTGTAATAAAGTTTTATTAAAGTATAAAAGAGAAAAAGCTTCTGACATAGACATCAGAAGGGGGCAGAAAGAGTGCCCCCTTGCTAGTTTTTAGCAAGAAGTTATATACCCATTAGCAAGCTGCTAATTAGAGAAAAGGAAATGTCTGAAAACTCAGAGTGGCACCAGGCCTCTCACCCACAACATGCGTTTTAAGATAACACTGGCACGAGGTGAGTCATCCCGGGCCATAAAACAATTGACATGGGGACTTCCCTGGTGGTCCAGTAGTTAACATTCTGTGCTTCCAATGCAGGGGGCCAGGTTCAGTCCCTGGTCAGGGAACTAGATTCCACATGCCTCAACTAAGACATGGTGTGACCAAATAAATTCTTTAAAAAAAAAAATTTGACATGAATATTGTAGAAAGGCAGATTTCCAAGCAAATACATAAGTTGCACTAACATAGCTGAAGAGAACATTTCCATGAGTAAAGCATACTGGTTTGTTGAACCATTAAGGGTTCTGAGTCTTAGGCAGAACCTACTTACTGAAAGAGTCTAAGGTAAGTACATAGTTCATTAACATAGCTTAAGAAAAACATTTCCATAAGAAAAACGCATTTGTTAGCTAAAGGTTTGAGAAAAGTTCATTTCAGGTGGAACCAGGTGTCATCATGGCCACACAAAATTTTAAAAGAAACCTTTTAATTTTGTATAGAGAAGGGGGAAAAGTCTGACACTTGTAGTTTGTTTCTTCCTGCCACTTGAGAGAGAGAGAGAAAAATGTCTGACACTTGCAACCTATTTCCTCCATCTGGGGACCCCTAGCCTTCCTGCCTGTTACTCTCTCAGGGTGTCAGTGCTGGGCTTTCCTTGGGATTCAAAGTGATAATTCAGAGACAAGGCTTAGCCCAGCCACAGCCTAAGCTCTCAGGACATTGCAGGTGCTTCACACAGTCACTCAGCGAACCAAAGAAAATCAGTGGAGACCCTGCCCTGCCCAGGTCATAGTCTGGGTGGGCATCGGAGTCGGGACCCTGGAAGGGGGCATGGAGTGTGAGTCCAGAGGAATTCTGGGTCCTGGGTTCTGCTTACCCCTGCTCCGGATGTCAAGAGCAAAGCCTGTGAGGGGTGACTGAAGAAGCTTGGTAAGGAAGGGTGGACAGAAGGTGCCTGTCCCAGACCATCAAAGCATGAGCACTGTGAAACACGCATGGAGTTGTCCACGTGGGCCCCACCCCCACTCACCAGCATAGGCGTGAAACCACCACTAGTAGCTTTTAAAATTCTGGTGGCAGTTTTTTAAAGCTTTATGAAAGCTCCAGTGGCAATTTTTAAAAAAAAGACCATAAGGAGGCTCATGCTTCTGACTCAGAGATGGTTCAGTGTTAGGAAGCATGTTAATAGCCATATTAATGCATCAGGAATCAAAATCATAGGGTGAAATGGTACCTTGTACTGTTCACAGCATCCATTATGCAAAGTCTCAATTAAAAATAATGAGCATTTCCTCACTGAACGGAAAAATCTCAAGTCAAAGGCAGTGTTGAGTTTAATGGGCAAATACTAGAAGTTTTACCATCAAAGTGAAGAAACTAAACCGAGGTGGAATGGAGGGATACTCAACAGTCCACCCATCTCCTCCAATGATTTAATATTGTCTGGAGGTGCTAGTCAATGCAACTAGACCACAAAAAGAAATTGAAAGAAAAGAATAAAATTATTCATAGATGATAAAATTATTTGTCTATATAAAAAGATCCAAGCAAACTAACTAAAACAGCTATTTCAGTAAGAGAATTTAGTAAACCAGCAAGAGGGTTAATGAATAGTTAAATTTTCTATATGCAAAAAACAAAGTTGCAAAACATTGGAAGATCCCACTTATAATAGTAACAGCAAAGATACATTATCTGGTCAAATTAACACACTTAGTATATAAAAAGCCCCTAAAAGCCAACAAGAAAAAAAAAAAGACTTGCAGGAAATAAACAGGAAAACAAATACAAATGGTTTCTGAATTTTCTCACTCACCAAATTAGGCAAGATTTAAAACTTTGAAAGTACACGTCCAGAAAACTCTGATGCCATTGAGGTTGCAAGGGTTGTGGGAAAACCGGTTGATTAGAGCATTATTGGCACAAGCTCACTGGAAAACAACTTGACAGTTGATGCTGTTCAGTCGCTAAGTTGTGTTCGGCTCTTTGAGACCCTACGGACTTCAGCACACCAGGCTCCTCTGTTCTCCACTCTCTACCAGAAGTGAAGTGAAGCGGCTCAGTGGTGTCCAACTCTGCGACCCCATGGACTGAGGCCTATAGGCTCCTCTGTCCATGGGATTTTCCAGGCAAGAATGTTGGAGTGGGTTGCCATTTCCTTCTCCAGGAGATCTTCCCAACCCAGGGATTGAACCTGGGTCTCCCGCATTGTAGGCAGACGCTTTACCATCTGAGCCACCAGGGAAGTCAGAACTATCCACCAGTTTGTTCAAATTTATGTCCATTGAGTCGGTGATGTAATGTAACCATCTCATCCTCTGCTACCCTCTTCTTTTGCCTTCAAACTTTCCCAGCTTCAGAGTCTTTTTCAAGTCAGTTCAATCTTTTCGACAGTATCTTTCAAAATTAAAATACACAGATCTCTTTCCCCCGTGGATTCCGGGAAGTTTCACTTCTAGGAATTTATCCTACATAATCCTCCACAATTTGCCAAAGAAATGTGCACTTGAATATTTTTTCTATAGTATTGTCCGTAGTGAGGAGAATTTGTCATTGACTTAGAATCTCTCCGAAAGAAGACAGAATTAACTGTGGCCTCTGGGAATAAGGGTGGGTGAGAAATTCACTCTGCGCTACGCTTCTTTTCTATTTGAATTATCTAAACATGCCTCCAGTGCTTATTTAAAGAACTATTTTAAACATACAGCTGCTGAGTAAATAAGTTGGTGCTGTCGTTCAGTCGCTGTCTTGTCGGTCTCTCTGCGACCCCATGGACTGCACCACGCCAGGATCCCCTGTCCTCCACTGTCTTCCGGAGTTTGCTCAGACTTCTGTCCACTGAGTCGGTGATGCTGTCTAGCCATCTCATCCTCTGCCGAAAGTTCTCCAAATAAACTGAGGGTCAGAAAGGGTGAGTCACCGGCCCCAAACACAGAAGCTAGCTGTCTCCGTCAGTCTCACCGCCAGGGAGTGGGTCCACTTCCCGGTTCCCCAGGCCCGCCCCCTCACCGCCAGCCCCGCCCTATATACCGAGGCCCCTCCCTGACCCGCGGAGCGACCCAGCCAGTAGACTCCAGCCTGTAGTTGATGCCCCACACGGACTTCGGGAGCGGACCTAGAGTCGGAGCCCCAAACGCTGGGACAGGTGACCCAAGGCAGGAGTGGTTCGTGCGGCCCGCCACCGGACCGGAGATCCCAAGGGTCTTCTCGGGGGCGCTGTCCGTGGGCTCCGCCTAGCCCTGAGGGAGAGATTGAGGGTCGCGCCGGGGTTAACGCGAGCCAATCCTGGGCTGCGCGGTACGTAACGGATTATTTGCATAGCGATCTTCCGGGTTACGCACTCGGCGGCGGGCTCTGGGGCTCTCTGAGGCCAATGGCGTGCGTCTATGCAAATGAGGGCGGAGATGGAGTAAGTGCAGCGGGTGAAGGAGTTGGCCGCTCCGGGCGCCGCCTCCCAGTGAGTCCTCCCACCGTCCCACCTCCAATCATGTCGCCCTGCTGTGTCCACAGTCCGCCCGCCGACCATCCCCGCCACGCGCGGGTCGCGACCCTCCCCGGAGGACCCGCACACCGGCTCGGGGACGCCGGAGCGGCGCCGCCCCCAAGCCGATGCCCGCCCGAGAGCCCCCCCAGACCCATGGCTCCCGGGGGAATCTGCAGACCCGTCCGCCTGGCCCTGGTCCTCCGGTGAGTCTGAAAGGGAGGAGGGTTCCCAGGCCGAGCCCAGGCATAGAATTCATTTCCCCCTTTTTATGGGATGACGGCTAACCCTCGTTAACTCCAAACCATGATTCCTGCGCCTGCTGCAGCGACTGGTGTCTAGAGGCCCCAAACCCAGCGCTCCCCCAACTGTGTGCCAGCCCCATCCCGGAGCCCACAGGACAAAGCCCAAGAAGATTGTATTTGAGGATGAACTCCCCTCCCGGGCCCTCCTGGGCACCAAGAAGTCTACCAGAGCCGTCTGCGAGAGACATATGCTTAGGCCCCACCCCGTGCCTGACTATGAGCTGTGAGTGATTCCTAATTTCTTGGAACAGGGAAGGGGCACTGAGACTGGTGCTTTGACAAGTGAATGAGTTTGGTGGTTTAGTCGCCAAGTCGTGTCCAACTCTTAGGACCCCATGGACTGTAGCCTGCCAGGCTCCCCTGTCCATGGTATTCTCCAGGCAAGAATAATGGAGTGGGTTGCCATTTCCTTCTCCAGGGGATCTTCCTGACCCAGAAATCGAACCTGGGTCTCCTGCATTGTAGGCAGATTCTTTACCAACTGAGCTACAAGGGAAGAGTAAGAGTTTACCAAATAGTAAAAAGAGAAGAAGGGCATTTGGGGCAGGGAGCCCAAAAGAGACAAAGAAAAGCAAATTACACTGATTGTGGAAGAGTTCTTTGCACTCATACTCTGACCCCCTTTCAACCTGGTAGTAAGTACCCACCAGTGAGCACTGAGAAGGACCGGAACCGCTATGCTGCAGTGTTTCAGGACCAGTACCCAGAGTTCTTGGAGCTCCAGCAGGAGGTGGGATCAGCACAGGCAAAGCTCCAGCAGCTGGAGGCCCTGCTGAACTCACTGCCCCAACCCCGAAGCCAGGTCAGCACCCAGGTGGAAACCCTCACCCTACATCCCTTGCAAGTGGCCTAAGCCTGGCCTCTGTTAGCCCAGTGGGTTCAGATCTCTGGGCCTCTTCCTCCTCCAGGCTGGGCGGGCACCACATCACATGGGCCAAGGTCAGCCCTTGACAAGGTCCACCTTGTCTGAACCTCAGTTTCCCCATCCCTCCTTGGGTCCTGTGCTCCCTGAGCACCCGCTTCCTTCTCCCCTGGCAGAAGGAGGCCCATGTTGCTGCCCGTGTCTGGAGGGAATTTGAGAAGAAGCAGATGGTGAGTCGTGCCTCTTGAGTCCTACAGCCTAGCCTTTGCACCACCCCCTCCACATACTCACACTCCCATGAGGCTGGGCACTTGTGCCCAGTTTCATGGAAAGAAAACTGAGGTTCAGAGAGGAAAAGACAAAAGCTCAAGCAGCTTGAGAGGCATAGGCCAGACTGCCACAAAGACTTCCCTGGATCTCGCCCTGCTCAGGACCCCAGCTTCTTGGACAAGCAGGCTCGCTGCCAATACCTGAAGGGCAAACTAAGGCACCTCAAGTCACAGATCCAGAAATTCGACGACCAAGGAGACAGCGAGGGCTCTGTGTACTTCTGAGCGTCCTGGCAAACAGATAAGAGGGAACCATCAGAGTGGGGGGCCCTACCCTGCCCTTCCTTCTCTTCTTCCCTCCTGATCTTTGCTGTTACTGCTGCCCCGCCTGGGGTAGCCATAGCCATGCCTGATTTTAAATGCCTTCACCTTTGAGGCCTAGATCTGATGGTCCCTCTTCCAGCAAGGCTTCCCAGAACCTGCAGGACCTCCATGGAGACCCCACATCCCAGTCCATCCCCTAGAAGCAGGTCCCGCTCTCCATCCCAGTGGAATAAACATTTATTAAATACCTACTGCCACTTAAAACTCCTGATTTCACTATTTGTCACCAAAAAATTGTTCTTCCATTTTCCCAAGGAAAAAAAAATTAAGGATCTGAGAAAGGGACTTGGAGCACAGGTACGACCAGGCTCCATGTGAAGCCCAGTGATGGTAGCCCAGCTTTCTTTGAGCCTTGGCCTCCCAGAGGACACGGACAGTTAGGCAGGCTGCAGGCAAGGAAGGCAAGGCCAGCCACTGGGTCACAGAGAGGCCTCAGCCCCAGGATCGGTCCTCAGGGAACACGTGTCCTCAGGAAGAAAGCCCAGTGTGATAGAGCAAGGACAGAGGGCTGGACCCGGACGGGTGTCCTGACAACCAGGGAGGTTCAAGATGTCTTCTCCCTGCAGAAGAGGATTGGGTTTTGTAGGAGCTCAGCAATCAGGCCTGGACAAGCATCCAAGTCTCTGACCGACTGGAAGCAGGACAAACACCACGGTCTTGGTCAGTCCACAGATGTCCTGTGAATCTGAGAAACAGCACATTGCTACCCAGCCTGGCTGGAGTGGACAGACATTCACTTATGCACAGGACCTCTCAGAAAACAGCTTCCCAGGGCAGAAACCAGCCCAGCTGCCAGTGGGAGAGCTTCATCCCATTCCAGCCTCAGTCCACTTCTGGGGACAGGGCACACCCAAGAGACTTTCATTCATTTGTTCTCGTCTTCCCAGATGTCCTCCGAGGTGGATGGGGAAATGTCCATCAAAATGTTCTGATGGGGAACATTTTGGAGGGCTGAGGCTGCTTTATGGCTAAGCCCTGGCCCAACCTACAGGGTGAGACCCAGGTTCTTCCCTGTTTTCAAAGGAGCATGTTTGATAAATTTGTCTTCACTTGACAAGCCTTCAGTCAGGGCCAAAAGGTGCCACCCACCACCACCATCTGGGCCCTTTCTACCCATCCCCTAGAGCCACGGTCCTGCCATAAATTCCATAGATGCCTTTCCCACTACAGAACTGGGCCACAGCCTTCTGAGGCCAGGATGGCAAGCCCCCTAGTGCCCTGCCTCACCCCATATCACCTCAATTAAGTCCACATTTCAAGGTCTGACCTTAGAGGTCTCCATCTTCTAAATGCCAGTTTCTAAAAGTTTTTTTAATTACATGTGACAAAATTTTAAACTGGCTCGGGCACAAAACGGGACGTCTCATGGAACTGAAACACCCAAGGGTTTCAGATATGGCTTGATCCAGGGGCTCCAAAAGTATCCTGGGAAATTGGTCTCCTTTTTGGCTCTGCTTTATCCTCCTAACTTCCAATCCTGCCGTTGAATCTCACTGGCCAGCTCTGGGCCACAGGCCCTCCCTAAACCAGTCGCTGTGGCCGGCGAAAATCAAGGGCTCTATCTAGGCTGAGATCATGTGACAGAACTAGCCCCAAACATTTCTCCCAAGGACACTGGGGCCCAGACACCATGATTAAGGGTTGACCAAAGAAAACAAAGGGAGTTCCCTGCCAGTCCAGAGGTTAGGCCTTGGCATGGTTGGGGAACTAACATCTCATAAGCTGTGTGGTGCAGCTAAAAAAAGTAAAACAATCAAGTGCTTAGTCCAGGGTTTGTGTGAATGTATGAGGCTCACTTTCATAGGCCAGAATCTAAATTCAAACCTGAGCCATCTGCTCAGCCCAACTCCTACAGACTCACTGGCTGACCTCTGGCCTCTCCTTCCAGCCTGTTTCTCCACAAAACTATCCCACACAAACAAAGCCCACAAGTAGGGCTGTTGTTAGGTTGTAGGTGTTCCAGCTGGGCTGGGAGTGGGTCCCCATGGTAGGATGCCTTCTGTGTCACCCCTCCCAGCACTAAGACGATGGAGACTGTGCAGGTAGGAAACTTCTTTATTATTGGCCTTGATTCATCCATCATGTAGTGTCCAACGTGGATTATGTGTCCAGAGGATCAGTCTGGCACTCATTACCCCTGCCTGGCTGCAGCTGCCCCTCCAGTCCAGACGCCAGGACTTTGTCCATCACACCAGAGAAGCCACACCCCCACGAGTTCAATCTAGGGGCACCAAGGGACAAGGCTGTCCTGGGATTGGACCCTCTGTCTCGCCCCTCATCTTGATCAGGGTTTCTGGGGAAGACTTGACTGGAGTCTAGACAAATCAGTCTCTTTTTGGTTTCATTGATCATTTAGAAAACAGAAAAGACAAACATTTCACAGTCTTTAAAAAATAGGAGTCTGAGGAGGGAAGCCAGGGTCCTCTGTCCGGGGGAAGCTCCCCACCAGAGGCCCGAGCATCCGTGTCCCTTGAGGTCTGCAGACCTGGCCCTGTCTGGTCACTGGCCTGAGCCGTAGGGCCAGTTGAAGGTACTTCCTGACAGCAGCATGTCTCGGATCAGCGTCTCGATGGGCGTCTTGCCCACCAGGCGCATGAAGAATAGCTGGGAGATGAGGGAGGCGGGGACCGCACGCAAGGCAGGGAGCCGCAGCAGCAGGCGCCCAAAGCGCTGGGGCTGCGATGGGTACTGGGCCCGCACGTACTCGGTGAGGGCCACCTGCGCCTTCTCCTGCAGGCTCTCCACGTGCGCTGGGTCTGAGAGGCCGCAGGCATCTAAGGGACAAGGGAAAGGTCAGAAGTGGTGGCAAGAGGACACAGGACCCCAGGGCTGACCTGGGCTGGGGGACACCACTCAGTGCAGTTGCTACAGAGGAGGGCACTCAAGGGATGAGACATGGGGCCCAGGGCACAAATGGGGGTGTCTAATATCTAAGACGGTGTTGGTCCCCAAGAGATATTAAGGTGGCCTCATCTGAGGATGATGACACAGAGTGCAAGTAGTGATGTCTCAAGGGTGGATGGGCCCTGACTAAAGCATTTAACAGGGAGACAAGTTCTAATCAAACTTAAAGAGGAAGGAATTCCCTGGTGGTCTAGTGGTTAAGGCTGCACTTCCACTGCAGGAGCTGCAGGTTCAGTCTCTGGTTGGGGAAGTTCTGCATGCCAGGAGGTGAGGCTGAAAACACCCCAAATAAAAAGCTCAAGGGGAAGAGGGGGCTAGCAAGGGGACTTGGGAAGAAAAGCAAACCTAAAGAGGGTATTCAGACACACTAAATAGACCTGCCTTGTGAGTGAAGGTGACAGGTGAGAGCCCTATGAATGTCCTGGGTAAATAAAGAGGGGCAAAACCATATTATTGGATAAAAGCCACCTCCCAGAGTAGCCTGGGTCTGGCTCCCGCATCCTTGGTTCCAGGAGACACCTAGTGGGACCTCCTTGCAAAGTGCATAGTCTGCTATGCCACCACTCCCTGGAATAAAGTAGGGCTTCGGCGGTGGGAGGGTTACTGAAGACTAGGAAGGAACTAAGATGCCTCCGCCCCTAGGTGGGAGGGGCTTCAAGCCACACCCCCTACCCGATCCAGCTCAGCTGGGGGTGGCCCCTGGAGCGGGGCAGGTTGGGAGCCCTGGGTCAGTGGTCTAGGGTCCTAGGAATTAGGCAGCGAAGGGCCCAGGAGCCCAGAACCAGGTGTCAGAGCACCCCTGCCTTTCATAAGTGGAAGGCAGGCCTCCTTAAGTGGTCAGTAACAAGAGGAGCATCCTGATTTGGCAGGTGAGGGTCAGAGAGTTTAGGGAGAACAGAAACCAGTAAGTGACGGACAGAGCCAAGTGGGCAGACCTCGCCTCCCGCAGCCCCCACCTGTCATTCTCCGTCAGTGCCCACTGACCACGATGGACACCTTGATGAGGGGGTGAAGGGTGGGGGGTCTCGGGGAGCCTGAGAATCAAGGAGGGAGGCTGTGGGGCCTTAAGACGTGGAGCTGTGGGGGATCAAAATTCTTAGGAAGGCCTGGAATCAGGGGGTGGGGCCATCACCGTGTCAGACCGCCTGCATTGCCTCCCCCACTGCCCCCCAACAGCGCTAAAGGCGCATGCAGGGACGCAAGTCTGGCTAGCTGTAGATCAGGAAGTGGAGAACTAAGGGGGTCAGGGTCAGGAGCGAGGTCTCTGCCCTCCCCCACCCGGCCCCTCCCACGGCCAGAGCCCCCCCCCCCCCGCCCCATTTCAGGGCGTCTCACCAGGTGTGAAGAGCGCGATGGCTTTGAGGCAGCCATACTCCGCGGAGTCGACCTGCAAACGGCCCAGTTTGTCCACCTGTTCCTGGAAGGCGCGCACCTGGTCCATGAAGGCCACGGCACGCTCGGCGGCCATGGGCGCGGCATGCAGGCCGGCAGCGGCCAGCAGCGGCGCCGTGTGCAGGGGCAGCGCCGCCTGCGCCGCGTTCAGCACGAAGAGCTCGCTCCAGCTGAGGCGCAGCAGCGCCACCTGGTCGGCCACCGGCAGCTCGGGGAAGAAGGGTGCGTGGCGCGCCCACTCCACGGTGCTGAAGAGCAGCCGCGCCGCCAGCTCGCACACGTTGTCGATGCCCAGCACAGCGCCCGCCGCGCCGCTCCCGGCTCCAAACGCGCCCGCGGCTCCGGCACCGAAGCGCCCGGCCGCCGCGGGGTAGGGCTCGGCACGCAGCAGCTGCGCGATCAGCTCCGACACTGGCTGCCCCGGGAAGAGGTCTCCGCCGGCCACGGCCAGCGCAGAGCCAGGAGGGCTGCCCGAGGAGGCTGCCACGGTGCCGGGTAGCGAGTGTGGGATTCGGCCGCGCTGCACCGCTGTGAAGCGGAGACAGAGATGGGGGGGGGGGAGAGAGAAGCGGGAGGGAGATTGCCAGCCCCGAAAGAAATGCGGAAGGTACAGGAGAGGGAGGAGGGGAGAGGGGACGGGGGAGGGGGGCAGGAATCAGGAGATGGGGAGTGAGGACACGGGAAACCAGAGAGGGGAGAGTGGGGTGTGAGGAAGGGGAGAGGAATTAGGGGGAAAGTGGGTACCCCGAGTCACGGGGTGGGGCAAGTAGGGAGGAAGAAAGGTTGGAGATAAAATGATCAGAGGGTTACTCATTCCCTCCACTCCAAGCCCCCCAACTCAACCTTTCCCTGAACCCCCAATCCCTACCTCATGGGCACAGTGCTTGTTGGGAGGACAGAGGCCAAGGTCTTGCACGCCCCACCTTGCTCCACCCTGTGCCCTCAACCTGAGGGCACCATCAGACTACTACTTTCAGAGGAGGAAGTGGGTGGGAGGGGCGGTGGGGGGAACCATCTCAAGTGGAAATGGGACCACTGGGTGAGGGCTAATTTAATTCACACATATCCCCCTCCCCATCTTCTGGACTGTGAGCTCCCCTCTGCAGCTAGAGAAGCCAGATCTGTCAATCATATCCTCATCTGTCAATCATAGGAGTCTAAGAGCTGATAATGGGTCTGAGGGGGCAAGCATCTTCCTAGGACATGGGCACATAGCCAGCCTACCCCTCAAACAAGTGATCAGCAGGGGCTGGCACTGATCTCTCCTATGGAATTAGGATATTTCTCTACCTCCCAGCCCCACCCTCCAGGTCATGGTCCCCTAGAGCAGCTCTCATCTGCCTGGGCCTCTGCAGTAACCTCAGTGTTAAGGATGAAATCCTGGTCAGTAGCAAAAAGTCGCTGTTAGCGAAAAGTAGTGTTAGTCACTCAATCGTGTCTGACTCCTTGCAATCCCATGGACTACAGACCGTAGGGCTTCTCTGTCCATGGGATTCTCCATACAAGAATCCTGGAGTGGGTAGCCATTCCCTTCTCCAGGGGATCCTGACCCAGGGATTGAACCCAGTCAGCAGCAGGTGCTCAGTAAACATGAGATTCCATCAGTAGCTTTGCCTGTGATGGGGAGGACTAATTGCTGGCCTTGGCCAGTGCCCCCAGGGATCAGGTAGGTGAGAAGAGGAAAGCTGAGGTGCAAGGAAGAAGGATGGCTGCATGCCAGCCTGGCCTGTGCCACAGTGGGCGGGATGGAGGGGCTGACTGGGCTGGGTGCCCGGCAGAGACTAATTAATGAGCTTTAATGAGGTGGCATGCCTGGTCGCATCACCTCCATGAACTTCTGGTCAACCCACCATGGAGCAGAGCGGGAGAAGGACGAAAGTGGAGCTGAGGGCTAGCAGAGCTAATCAGGGAAGCAGGGTTCAAGCCTTATCCCATGTGATTTGAAGTCTCAGGAACATCTAGTCTGTCAAATGGGTGTAGCCGGGTTGAGGGCCAACAATGAATCTCAATCAACCTCTGGCTCACTTGGTTCTAAAGCCCCACTGCCATCATTCATCCATCACCTGGCCACCTCAGGGTCTGTGCATTAGCTGTTCCTGCTTCCTGAGAACCCCTTCCCCAGCTCTTCCTCCCCATTAGCCCAGACTGTGTGGGTTCAAATCCCAACCACAATTAGATTGCTCTCTGTACTCTTTCCCCACCCATAAAAGTATGCAGTTGATAATAATCATGACGATGGTAACACCAATCACTGAATTAAGTGAGAATGTATCTAACTGGCTTGGAATAGCTTTTGGCACATGAAAGTAAAAGTGAAAGTCGCTCAGTCGTGTCCGACTCTTTGGGACCCCATGGACTACACAGTCCATGGACTTCTCCAGGCCAGACTACTGGAGTCGGTAGCCTTTCCCTTCTCCAGGGGATCTTCCCAACTCAGGGATCGAACCCAGGTCTCCCACATTGCAGGCAGATTCTCTACCAGGTGAGTCACAAGGGAAGCCCAAGAATAGTGGAGTGGATAGCCTATCCCTTCTCCAGCAGATATTCCCAACCCAGGAATCAAACCAGGGTCTCATAATAAGAGCTAAATGGATAGTAACTCAAGCCAAGAAACATTAAGCACCTTCTATGTTTTAGAACCTGGTGTAGGCCCTGGGAATGTGTCAGAAAACAAGACAGACAAAAGTTTCTGACCTTGAGGAGCAGACATTCTGATGGAGGAGCAAGCAAATTATAAAGCAAAATAGATGGCCCGAATAAAGGGGTTGCAAAGGGTAATCAGGAGGGGCTCTCGGAGGAGGTGGTGTTTCAGTAAATCTTAAAAGAAGGTGAGGGAGGAAGCCATGTAGGTGTCTGGGGGAGGTGTTCCAGACAGAGGGAACCACCTGTGTAAAGGCCAAGAGACAGGGCTGTGTTCGGGTCATGATCTGAGATTATTACTTCCACCTCGAGACTTTGAAGATCTGAAGCCTGGATTTGATGTGGATTTTAGGTCAAATTCACAAGTGGAGACAAAATCCAGGTTGCGGGGGTGGGGGTATGGGCAGTCACCCCCAACTTCACATGACCAAAGAGAGTGATCAGATGATCTTAAGAGAAAGACTCTGGCAGCTGTTCCCAGCTTCTTTCACCGAGGCTCAGCAGAGAAGAAACCAACAGTAGAGCAGGAGAGACTCAGCTTTTAGACACAGAAAAGAACTGCCAGCCTGGCTCATAAGAGTCCACGCAGTGGGAATTCCCTGGTGGTCCAGTGGCTAAGACTCTGCGCTCCTGATACAGGGGGGCTGGGTTCGATCCCTGGTTAGGGAACTAGATCCCACATGCTACAACTAAGACTCTATGTAGCCAAATAAATAAAAATAAATGTTTAAAAAAAAAAAAAAGAGTCCAGGCAGTGACACAAAGTCCAGCCTTGGGGCCGTCATTGAAATGGGCCGGATTCTGCTCCCTAGCGCAGTGCTTCATGTAGAGGTCTACATGTTCCACCTGAATTCTAACAGTGATAGGTGGAGTTCTAGACCTAGCTGCCCTGCGCTGCGCAGATCCACCCAAGTCCCCAGGGCAAGGACAAGAGGCTGGGCCTCCCTCTGGCTCCCAGCACCCCCGGTCAGGCGGAAGGGTGAGCTGCCCTTTGCCTTAGTCGGGTGAGTTCCTGCCTTGGGCAAACACAAGGCAGAGGGTGGAGGGAAAGCAAATCAAAAAAAAAAAAAAAAAGTTAACATCATTGTTCAGAAAGTGGTGGCCAGACTAGAGGGCAGAGGATTACTGGGGTTAACTTCAGGTTCTCTGCCCCTGAGGCCGGGTTGGGAGAGGTGGTCGGGAGAAAGGTTCTAACATGGGCCGGAGTGGGGGAGCCCCTTGCAGCCCAGTTCTGCCTCAGCCACCAGGCGGCCACAGATAATTGGATTCCTCCAGCCCAGGGCCAGATCCAGGCCCATGGGATCTCAGGATCGGTGGTAACAAGGTTAGCAGGCGCCAGACCCCGCCCTCCATGGCTCCCAGACCCCAAGAGAGGGAGCAAAGGGCAGGCCGCTTGTTCACCCCCTGCCTGCCCCACCCCAGTGGGGACTCACCTTCCTTCCTCATGCCCACCCGGAAGCACTTCTTGAGGCGGCAGTATTGGCACTGGTTCCGGTGATGCTGGTCGATCTGGCAGTCACGGTTGGACCTGTGGGCACGCAGAGGTCACCAAGGAGATCACCATGACACCTACATTCTGGCCTGGGAGCCACCAGGACCACCCCCCATCCCTACCAACAACCTGGGCTGGGCAGGTGACTCCAAAGTGGCACAGAGGTGTGCAAAGAGGAAAGGACAATTTGGGGGAGTAGAGACAGATGAAGAGCAGTCTGTGGCAAAGTGGATTAGCATGCCAGGGAGGGTTATGTTGGAACTGGGTTTTGAAGGATGAATACAAGTTCCCCAAGTGACCAGAGGCAGTTCCTGGCAGAATGACAATGATAGCCAAAAGTTTTCCAGTTTCATTTTACTTGGTCCTTGTGGGCCAGGGGACAGGGTCTTTGTCCCCAGGGCACTGTGAGAACAGAGAAGGAACATGGTCACTGAGCAAGACTTTGTGAGTTGACTTAAGAGACTAGAACCCAGGCCAGTCCTCTACGGGGTCACAGCACCACGGGGCCCCAACATTACTGCCTGACACAAGCCCACCATCAATGTATGAACAAACAGAAGAGTGAATGAATGAACTCCTGTACCCCTCCAAGATGTCAAACCCCTCCTCTAGAAAGACCATCCAACACCTAACAGAGCCCAAGAAGCTTCCTCCAGGAAGTCCTCTGGGATTGCTGGTGCCTCTTCCAGGGATGGGACATGTGGCCCCGCCCTCTGAAACAATGAGTTCCGTCCAAGGTCAGTTGCAAGTTGGAAGGTTCAAGCCTTTGTTCTTTCAATGTCCCCAATACCCTTTTTCCCCTTGCCCCCTGCTCTATGTTCCCTCCATATCTCTCTCTGAGCCTTTTGAGGCCTAGGCTGAGGGCTGGAGTCCCAGCGGGGCACCAATAGGGTACTCAGAGCCAGTCACAAAGGAAGACAAATACTTAACGAAGTTGAAAAGTCAACACATCCTAGCTGCGGACACCCAAGGCCCAACCCTTAGGCAGCGACTTCTCCACTGAGCCTTGGTTTCCCCATCTGGAATCGGGGAGCCAGAGGCCAATTCTATACGGGATGCACTCATTCTGGAGAAAACTGGGAGTAGGGGTAGGGGAGGGTGTCAAGACCTGGGCCCACCTGGGAGTCCCAGTGGCCAAGTTTGGAGAGGTGCGGCTCCAGAGAGCCTCTGCGTTCTGCAGCACCAGCCTCCGAGCCCCAGGAAGAGGCCCTACTCGGGCAAAGGGAGCTCAGGCAGAACCAGAACAAAGCCCAGCAGGCAGGCAGTGGGAGGGTCCTGGGCAGCCGGGTGGAAACAGCCAGGCCTGGGGCAGGCAGGCAGGCAGGGGCCTGGCTCAGGTCCCCCAGGCTTCAGGGGTGCCCTGAACCTTCTGCCTCAACTTCCCCACGTGTAGAGTCAGGACAGATCTTCTGTCCCTCCAGATGGGGAAACAGGAAGTTCTACCTGTTATCCCACCTAGACAGCACATGCTTTGCCAGACCCCACAGTCCAACTCTGCCTTCTCCCTGGGCTTCTGGCTTTCAGTCCAATTTGATCATTGCCCTCTTTTGCTCACACACCTTCTTCCATGGTTCCCCATTACTTTCACTCCAGAATTTCTGACCCACTCGGCTCTACCTTCTCCCATGCCTGGGTGGTCTCACCTTACATCACCCTTATATCACTGATGCCCAATCCTGCCCACTGCGTGTTTGCTGGAGCCACACCCTCTGCAGGAGTGCCCTTCGCTTCTACCTGCTAAACCCCTCATGTTTCAAGGTCCACCTCCCGTGGCCTTCCTCTGTGACCCTCAGGCAGAGCTCCTTGTTCCTCCTGGGACCCCAGACCATCCCTCCCTCTGGCCCAACCCAGACCCCCCAGACTAGGACGCCTGTGTCTCACTGTGTCTCCCTCAAACTGGGAGAAGGCTGGGCTTGGAACTGGGGTCTTTTCTAGGGTGCTGGTATCAAACCACCCACGTCAGGCCCTGAGGGGTCTTGGTTGATTCAACCTGAGGCTCAGAGAGAAGCAGTGACTTCTCCCGGTCACACAACACAGACCTTCTGAAGAACCTGCCGGTGCCAAACCCCCCCTTCCCTGGCCTTGGTGCTCCCACTCTAAGGGAGCATCTAGGACCCCCAAACCACCTGAGCCCCTCCCCTGCCCTCCCTAAAGACCCGGCCAGAGAGCATACAGTTATTCCAGCAGCAAGAATGAGGCCACAGTCTGGTGGCCCAGTTAGCATTGGAGGAGGGAGTAAGCCAGCTCCGCGCCATATAAAGCCGCCCCCAACAGACCAGATCTGGGGCCAAATTCCTGCTTCAGGTACCCAGGACCCCACCCAGTGGCCCTGCCAACAAGCCCTCCATCAGCAGCTCCCCCTGGGGAGGTCCTGACCCAGACTTGCCTGGCCCCCCTCACCTTCCCAACCCCACAGCTCCCTTACTAAGCCCCAAGTGGGCAGGGTCTCTCCCTGGGTGACCCAGGGCAGGTGCCAAGAGCTTTCTGGGCCTTAGTTTTGCCCATGTGGAAAATGGGACCCTCCAAACTGGCTCTGCAGAGCCCAAATATGTTCCTGGAGGATGCAGAGTAGGGGTTTGTCAACAGAGCAAAAGGGGACTCAGCAAAAAGTGGTGGGAAAGGGGGGGTCCTGGACTGGACACCCAGTGCCAGCAGCTTCTCCCCTAGACCTAATTCCCCGGGGCAGGAACCAGAAAAGCTAGCGAGGTCACACCCGGCCAGTGGGGACTCCAACCTAGGATAGCCCAGGGCTGCTTCTTGGAAACATTCATCCCCACCCAGTCTCAGAACCGACAAAAGTTTCAGGGATTTTCCAGGATTCCAGTTCTGCACCTACTCCTAGCTATGGGGTTGGGGGGGGGGGAGGGGGGCGTAGTAGAGCCGGGTGCAGGGCTGGAGCAGCCAAGATGCGGTCAAATCCAGCCGCCACCTCGGACCTCTCGCAGCAGTTTCCGGTGACCCAGGGCCCAGAGAGCGCCCAGGGGGATTCCCCCTGAGGCGCAGGCCAACCCCCAAGGCAGAAGCACCCCCCTGCCCCATGCGAAGGAAGCCGCCCTGTGCCACCTAGTTTCTCTCCAGCCGCCGCCTCAGTAGTCAGGGCGACTTTGGAAGTGATATTTGACCCCAAGGGCGCGCCGTATCGATCCGCGCGGCCGCAGACAATGGCCCCCGGACGCTGTGAGCTCCACAGTCCAAGTTCCACGTTCGATCCCCACCAGGTCCCCGGCGCGCCGAGATTCCCAAGGGAAGGGATGCCCTGGGATTAGGGACCCACCCCTGACAGCACCCCAACCCCTCGCCGCGCAGATCTGACCCCTGTCCGGAGAAAAGGAAGAGAGGAAGGAGGAGCGAGTAACTGGGGCGGAAGCCGCCAGGGACCACCTGATGGGGGGGACCTGCACCGATACAGCGCCGACTGTATACACAATCCCAGGAATGTGATGGAGAGGGGGCGAGGGACCTGTGCCCCGGTCTCAGACGGGGAGTAGAGACCCAGGGAAGGTCAGCGCCAGGCCCAAGGTGACCGAGCAGGTCAGAGGCCCGGCCCGGGCGCCGGAGGCGGTGCGCAGAGGGGGCTCACCGGCAGGTGTAGCTGAGGTTGCGGCGGATGCTCCGCTTGAAGAAGCTCTTGCAGCCCTCGCAGGTGAAGACGCCGTAGTGCTTGCCGCTCGACTTGTCGCCGCACACCACGCAGTCCACCTGCAGCCCCGGCCGCTCCTCGTCGCCCGGCTCAGCGTCGCTGGCGGCACCGGGGGGTGAGGCCGAGTCTTCCTCCGCCGCGCGCGGGTAGCCGCCCGCCTTGTCCACGCCATTCGTGTCGCCGCCGCCCCCGGGGCCGCCCCAGCCGCCGGTCACCATGGCCATAGCCCCCGGGCAGCGGGGCCGGGGCGCCCCCTCCGCGTTTCTCCCTCGGGGCACCCCTCTAGGCCCGGGGGACCCTAACCGGCGCGCATCCGGTCCCGGTGCGCGGGGGTCACCCGGTTGCACCCCCCAAAAAAGTTTTGCAGCAACTTCCTGCGGCCGGTCCGCGCGCCCGGGCGGAACTGGTCGGGCCGGTTCCAGGTCAACTTTCCCACGCGTGCGCGGGGCCGGGCCCCGGACCGGGGGGGCGCGCTAGAGGTGCTGGCCGGGGGCCCCGGGGACTCGCTCCCCGCCGCCCTGGGGCCCCGGCGGGGGAGCTCGGGCCATGGCCCGGCCCAGGCAGCGCAGGGGGTGCCCTCCGGCCTGGCCGCCGCTCGGCCAAGGGCTGCGGCCAACTTAGCGGGCTGCCATCAGCGCGCGGGAGGCCGGGGGGAAAGTTTGGCCGCAAGTTGCGCGGCCGCCCGCGGCGGGGGGGAGGGGCGGCGGGCGTGCGCCGGGGCCGGTCACCGCACCCCCTGAGTCCCCCAGGGCCCCCGGCGGCCGCTCGGGGCCTGCAGGACCGCGGGCCGGCGCTTCCCGAGCTGCCGCCCCCGCTGCGGCCGCGCCCGCCCGGCCTGGGCCTGTGCCTGAGCCCGAGCCTCGCTCTCGCCGCCGACCCCGCGCGCCGGCCTCGCGCTGCGGCCGGTTTGACACACAACGTTCCATTCGCGGGGCGGGCGGGGGGCGGGGGCGGGGGCAGGGGCGCGCGCCGCGGGCTGGGGGCGGGCGCTCGTTGCCCGGGCGACGGCCGCCCTTATAAGGACATGGGTGGCCGTGCGCGGCGCCCGGCGCCCGGGCCGGCGGGAGGGGCTAGGGCGGAGCGCGGGGCCGCAAGGCCTGACCCTCCTCCCTCCTCCTCCCTCGCTCACCCCACTCCCACCCCCGTCCTCGCCCGGCTCCAGCCTTAACCCCTGCCGGGCCGCGGCGGGAGCCTGGGCCACTGCTGCCCTCTGCCCTTCCGCAGCCTCGCCAAGATGTCTCTCTAAGGCCCTCCCCTCCACCTCCGGCCTTGGAAGTTGTGTAGCTCAACCGCCCTCGAGGCGCCCCTTGGCACCACCCCCTTGCATTCCCGGCAGAAGCAATAATGGGGGGCCGGTTGCACCGGGGGGCACGCCCCTGCGCAATACACACACACACACACACACACACACACACACACACACAAAACCACACACACCCCCCTGGGGCATTTCTTTGCACAGTTGCATGATGGATTGTGTTTGCTTCCTCTTCCAGAAAGTCGCGGCGTCCGACCCCCACCCCACCCTTTCTCCGCTTGGGCTAACACCTGGTGTTCGGAATCTCCGGGGGGGAAGGGATGTTGTGGTCTGCGGCCGGCAGGGGCGCGAGGTCAGGGGGCCCCTCTCCAGAATTTCAGGCTTCTGGGGGCAGGGCGCCCACCCGCCCAGCGAGGCTGGAGGCGACAGGAATGCCCACCACCCCTGCCGGGGGCCTGCCCCCTTCCCCCTTTAATTTCCTTTTCTTTCTGTGCTTCACAGAAAGAGCTTGACCAGGGGCCGACTGGACTACAGATGTCTCTTCCAGGCTCCCCAGAGTCTCCCAGCTGCTGCTCAGCCTCCGTGTCACTGCCCCCAAGACCCTGGGTTGGGACAGCTAGCGTGCATTAAACACCCTTTGTATGCTCAGGAGAGCAGGCTGCCCTGGGCAAAGAAGCCTGAGCCTCTGCTTCTGAGCCTGTTAACCTTTAACCGGCTGGAAAAGCCCTTCCTGCAGTGACCTTTCACCTTGGAGTCCTGAAGGTCCATGCCTTATCTCCCGCCCTGCCCTGGGCTAAGCTGGACACTCGGACACGTGGCTGGGCCTCTGAAGGCTGCAGGCAGGAGAAAAGGGTCCTCTGCCCCCACAGGTTCCTACACCCTCCTCTCTCAGGAAGGGTCCTTGAGAAAAGCCATTCCCCTCTCCAGTTGACGTCTGAGGGACATCCTCCCTGGCAAGGGCTGGAGATGTTTGGAGATCTTGCAGCAGTTAAGAGGATACCAAGATTCTGGAGAAGCCAGGCAATGGATGCCCAGCCCTGGGCCTCTGGGCCTCCTGGGAGGGTGTGGCTGGGTGTGAGGGGGGAGGGAGGTTTTAGCAAGTACAGAAAGCAAGAAGCACTAGGGTTAGACACGAGGAAGGACTTTCCAAGGGTCTGACTGGAGTGGAGTTCTCTGACCCATAACCTGAGTTGGGCTTGAATGGTTAAAGAGGACCCTTTAGGTCCTGGCAGTGCAGTGGTTAGGGCTCCGTGCTTCCACTGCAGGGGACATGGGGTCGATCCCTGGCCAGGGAATTAAGATCTCAAATGTCCCAAGTAAAGATATCGCCTGCAGCAACCAAGACCCGGGTCAGCCAAATATTTTTTTTTAAAAAAGAGAGAGGACCCTTTGGTTCTATGGCCTGGGAATGGGGGGCACTAGCTGGGTATTTGGGGTGACGATGGGTGTCTAGGTCCCTGGTCTAAACTTTCTAGGATCCTTGATGGGGGGGAGACAGAGGTGGGTGTCTCAGAGATGAGAGCCAGAGACTTGTAAGGAAGAGAAGGCTCAAGGAGTCAGAGAGGGCCCGGAGAAGGGAAGGGACAGGGAACTGGAGTTTGAGGGACACAAGCCTAGGGGAGGGGTCCGGTGGAAGACTGGAAGAAGGTCTGCCACAGATCCCGGAACTTCGAGGTAATCCAACCTTTGGGGGGCCACCCGCCTCAGCCCAGGAGCTCTATCGCCCCTGCAGTCCCTGGAGGCCTGGGTGGGGGGGTAGTGCTGAGGTCCGGCTCCGCCCCACCTGACCCCTGCCCGCGGCCCCGCGGTGACATTTGACCTTGCAGAGGCCGCGACCACGGACAAAGAGGCCTGGGCCCATCTGCTGCGGGGCACCCGTGGGAACAGCAAGACCCGGCTCCCGGTGGCCTGGGAACCTGCCCCCGCCCCCCAACGGCGACCTCAGCTCTTGCCCCCACCGCCGGCGTGAACTCCTTCCCCACCTTCCAACAGGTGACCTTGTCTCCTCTCGGCCCCACCCCCGCACGGGCAACCTAGTGAGACTCGGGGCTAAGGTCACTCTTAGACTCTTAGGGAGGGAGACGGACGAGAGGGTCGTACAGTCGGGTCCTCTGCCGGGATAAGGGCGACCTTGCCCGCCTGAGTTTCCCTGCTTTCTGCAAAGCCTGCCTCGGTCCGGAGATTGTGTTTATGGTTCGAAGGTCACCAGCCCCCAGCGCTGGCCCGAGGCTCCTGTGGATCCGGAGGACCAGGTTAAGTCTCGGCGGCTGACTAGCGCCGATCTCAGGTCAGCATTGCCCTGCCGGCGAGAGGCAGCCGCGCCGCGCACACACCTGCACAGGTGCTGCCTGAAACCCCCCCGAACCTCACCCCCACCAGGCTGGGAATGAAAATCTATCTAATCCGAGTCTTGAATTTCAGCTGCCACCCAGGAGGGGACAGCTGGTCACTAATCCGAGGCGTCTGGGTCGAGCCTAACCCCCACTTTCCCAACTCTGCCAGACTCCACTGGAAAGGCAAGGGGCGTGGGCTATGTAAATAAGATGCTAATCACTTGCCCGCTATTAATCTGACACTGGCACCTCCCAGAGTTCCCATCTCCTGCAGGTAAAACTGGCAACTTCTCAGACTAGCCAGGAGCCATCCAGACGCTCTAGGGCAGTGTACTTCTTTGCCCACCGTTACCAAACCTGATTTCCTCAACAACAGCTGTATGACCCCCCTGAGATCTCTCTTGCAGAGTTTCTTCCCTTTGCCCACCACCCTAAAGCCCTTTACCTTAGGTCCACATTCTTTGAATGCAAGTTCTAAGGCCACTTCTGATTCCCCCTTCCCCCTTCCTCCACTCGGGGCAATGCTCTTCCAGCTAATGTTCCACGTGCTGAACTGTTAAGGCCTCAGTCTTCTTTCTGGGTTATGGGTATCTTCTTGGGAACATCCTTCAGACCAAGCTTAGCATTTCCTTGGGAAGTGGGTGGGCAGGGGAAAGTGTGCCCTGCCCCAGTGGACACCCTGCTGGGCTTCTGGAGACAGATAGGAAAGAAAGGAAAGGAAAGTGAAGTCGCTTGGTTGTGTCCCACGCTTTGCGACCTCATGTACTGCAGCCTCCCAGGCTCCTCCATCCATGGGATTTTCTAGGCAAGAGTACTGGAGTGGGTTGCCGTTTCCTTCTCCAGGGGATCTTCCCGACTCAGGGATTGAACCCAGGTCTTCCACATTGCAGGCAGACACACTTTACCATCTAAGACACAAGGGAAGCCCTGGAGACAGATAAGGGTTGGAATTTCAGCTCTGGCTATGTAACCTCACTGAACCCTGAATGCCCCCAGCCAGTCATGGGAATCCTGTCTCCACAGCCCAAGTTGCTTCTTCCATGACCCTTCTGACATGTCTCTTCGCATGCCATATGGTGTCAGACCAAATATACTGAGTCTTTCTCAAGTGCCAGCCCCTTCCCCATCAAACCCCAGACACTCAGGTATATCAGCCCTCATCACACAGAACATGCCTCAACATGCAAAGTCATGCCACATGACACAGTATCTCTCCAGAAGAGTTTATGATGTGACCTGTCACAAGTATCTGGCACGTCCAGACATGGCCAGGTTCGGGCCTAGAGAAAGGTCTCCCCAGGCCGGGAAGGCGGGCAGGGAAGTCTGGACCTCCCCAGGGCCCTTTCGGTGGCTTCTAGCACGGCCAGCTCCTCTGCCTGTCGGGCTTCCATCAGTGTCATCTGCTGCTCCAGCTTCCGCCGTTGCTCTTCCTGCTTCCGGTGGGCACCTCGGAAGGCCATGACCAAGGTGCTGGAGGGAGAAGGAGGCTGAGCCAGGAAACAGCCCCCCATTCCACCCGGGACAGGGGCTATGTACTCCCAGCCCCGGACAGGAAGTCTTTGAGATTGGGTCTTCCGGGGGTCCTGGCATCACTCAGCAGGGGCTGACACACATCAGGCACGAGAGGAGGTGTGGAATGGGTTGAACTTGCCACCCACCTTAGGGGGGGAAGCTGTGGCCTAGAGAGAGCCAGGGATGCCTCTGAGGTTACACAGAGAGACCCACCTGTGAGCTTTGCATAAATCACTGTTCAGCTCAGTACTCTGAGCACGTCTGGCTCGTCCCTTCCGAGCCACCTCTTCTAGCTCTTCCCGCAGAGACTGCAGCTGCTCCCGCAGGCCCAGAGCCCTGGTACAAGGGTGGGGAGAGAGGAACTCACAGACATAGCCACTCCTGTCTGCCTTCCCCATCCCACCCACCTGCCCACATATTTCCATGTGAATACAACGGTACACCCAGTCCTCCACTGTACGCATCACCCCAGTGGGCTCTCACATATTACCCCCAGCCAGGCCACACACACCCCAGCACCGTATCCAGACACACACCGAGTGAGTGATGCTGACAGTTCCTGGGTCAGTTCTTCTGGGTCCTGCACTTTGCTCACTTGGCCTCCATCAGTACCCCTGCTGCCACCAGGGGCGGCAGGAGGACCCTGAGGGAGACAGAAGGGGGGGTAGTGACACTGACCTCGGCTGAGAGTGTGTTCAGCCCAAGCTAGACACTGAAGTCATCACAGACTGCGGTGGCTACAGTGCCTGCTCTCACAGAGCCCCCAGTCTTATGAGACACCCCAATAAGGATACAGTTGTTCCCTAACGAGGGAAATAAATAACAAGAAATCTCATTTTCAGGCAGTTCAGGAGGACTTCCTAGAGGAGGTGATGTCTGAGCTCAGACCTATAGGATGTCAAGGACTCAGTTAGATAAAGAGGAAAGTGACTGGTGTTCCTGGCAGGGGTGTAGCACTTAGAAAGGCATGGAGGTAGAAGAGATGATTCAAAGGAGGGTTCCAGAAGCCTCTAAGGCTTTAAACAGAGGATAGATATGATTAGAGAGTAGGGGCAAGAAGGAAAGCCTCAGGGAGTAAGCTGGAGCCAAAATTTAGGAAAATATGAAGCATGGAGTGGAGTTGCTGGAGTGGGGAACGGGAAGTATGAATAGCCTGGGGGTGGGAAGTAGAAGGGACAGGTGTGAGTGGGAGACACTAAATCCCTTGGGGCTTATTGGGCTCAATACACTCAAAGAAAGAAACTCTGAAGTACAAGTGTGAACTTTCACATGCATTTTTACCATTCAACTCCTTTTTTGGTGCAGAAATGGAAACTGAGGCTCAAAGGAGGCTAGGATTAACCAGGACCACATATCCAGTAGTATACTGCTATCCCTACCAGGCCAAGGCAGGGTAACTCACCTGGGACCACTCCTCCTCCTCTCCGCTGCTCCCACCTCCACTGCTGTCTCCACCACTGCTGTTGGCCCCGCCAGTCCGAAGCTGTGCCCGCTCCCAGCGCAGCTGCTCCAGCAGGAGCACATGGGCTGGGCCCTGGGCTCGGAGGGCAGCCTCCCGCAGTTCCAGAGCCCACTTTTCCCGCCGCACCAGCTGTAGCCGCAGCATCAGGTCCGCCAGAGTCTCCTGAGAGACCAAGGAGAGGGTAGAAAATTTGTGCCTTGAAGGTCAACTGTTGAGAAAACCAAGCCTCCAGGAGGTGCCCACTGAGGGCTGCTCAGGCAAGAATCCTAACCCTTACCTTGATCTTGCATGATGGGAAATATCCTTCCATAAAAACTACAGCTGTAGAAATAGACATTCAGAGAGAGCAAGTGTCTTAGACAAAGTCAAGTAGCAACTCAATGGTAGTGTCTGGAGTTTCTCCAAATTCTGAACCTCAGCTCTTTCATGTGTGTGATAGCTGCTCAGTCGTGTCTGACTCTTTTGCCACCCCATGAACTGGAGCCCGCCAGGCTCCTCTGTCCATGGAATTCTCCAGGCAAGACTACTGGAGTGGGGTCCCATTCCCTTCTCCAGGGGATCTTCCTGACCCATGGATCAAACTCGTGTCTCCTGCATTGGCAGGCAGATTCTTTACCACCTCAGTCACCAGAGAAGCCCCCAGCTCTTTCATGCCAGGTTACAAATTTCAAACAATATCCAGGAAAACTCTCCCTTACTACCTGGTCCCCTCATCACATCTCACTCAGACTCAGCAACAGATTTGGTCCCACCAGGAAAGACTGACACAGTGACCACAGCCCATGTGTACCCGTGTGGCCGCCAGGTCCTGCTGGATCTGCATCTTCTCCAGCCGGGGCAGGGCTGGGCCAGGCTGGGTCCCCAGAATGGCCTGCACCATGGCTTCTGCATGGGGCACGGTAGATATGGGCACCCAGGTGGAGCCAGGTTCGGGGGGAATCTTGACCAGAGCACGGCGTTCCTGGAGACGCTGAACATAGCCCAGGAGCTGGGTAGCCACCTCCTGTGATGTGGGCCTATCCACACTGCTGCCTTCGGGACTGCAGAAAACAGAAGAGACCTCTGTCAACACTGGCCAGCATGGCTGTACTAACTTCATAGCAATCCTGGGGGGCTTTGTCATCTTCCATCTTACTGACAATGATGGTTCCTTCCTATGCCATCTGTGGTAGGCATGGTCAAACTAACACAGTGGGCACCATAATGTAAACCCATATGGGCAACACCAGTCCACTGATGATCATTCATCATTGATGAATGATGAATGAATGCCACCATGCCAATGGACACAGTCACTCACACCATCATGGGGAAGCCATCACACCAACTCAATGAGCACCATTGCTTACCTGCCAACCCTGTTATGCAGCATTATGACAACCCCTATGGGTACCAGCATCATGCCAACCCCATTAAGCACCATAATGCCACCTAGTCACTGGGCACCACCATCCATCTTCATGCCACCCTGGTGGGTCCTATACCAACCCCAATGGCTGTCACCACCATGTCAACTTTGCTGAGTAGAAACCAGCCAACTCCAGCAGGCCTAATGACAAGCATAGGAGCCATGCCAACCCCCAATATAGGGCCAGTGCTGGGAGCCCCATTCTGCAACCAGAGCCCCACTCACTGGCCCACCCAGTCCCCAGGGCTCCCAAGGGTACCTTGGATATGGATCCTGCAGTGTCACTCCATCCATGGCAGCCTTCTCCTGGGCTAGGAGCCTCTGAGCTTCCTTCTCAGCTGCCTCCAAGTCATCCATGAAGGCTTCTTTTCCAACTCCTGAGTCTGCCTCCCGGAGAGTGAGTAAGGCTCCATATGCCTCCTCACAGTGTTCACTGTGGGACAGCAGTTCTGAGCACTCCAGCACACCCACCTTGCTATGTAGGTGACATCCCCACTTGCTCCTGGATCCCTCACTGCTCCTCCTAACCGCAACCCTGGGAGTTTGTAAATGCCTTCAGCACTCTTGGACGAAAATTGCCTTAAGTTAATTTCCACGGCAAGGGCAAATACTTTTCTGAGAAGGCTCTGTCTCTCTCTGGGGATTAAGACTATCCTCTGAGGATGTCCATTTCTTTCCCAGGCAGTGAATCACGGGTGGGGTGCACTGACCTATACTGCAAGGCCAGACGCAGTGCAGTGGCCTCAGCCTCCCGCTGACCCAGCTGCATGCTGAGGCCCTCACACCGGCCCTTGTACTCCTGGAGCACAGCTGACAGCAGGCGGTTGAAGCATTTGAGCTTCTCAGTTTTCCTGCCTCCAGAGGTGGGGAAAAGGGAAAAGTGAGTGACTTTGAAGGGCACTTAGGACACCACTGATCTCCACCCTTCCCCATCCCTCCCCCACTCCAGCTCCAGACTGCTGGCTTTATATCCCAGCTGGGAGGCAGCAGTGCCCTTATGAGCTCAGCATTTGTGACTCTTACCCTCGGAGTTGCTCCATCTGGGCTTCCATGATGTGCATCTCAGGAGCAAGGGGCTGGGTTGGGAGAGACCCAAGCATCTTGGTGCTGGAATCACTCTGCAGGCGCCGGAGCAGGGGGTGAGCCCGGGAGAAGGGATCCTGTCAAAAAGAGGTGACTTGATTCACCCAGAATTGTCATTGAGAGCCCAGCATCATGGGTTTAGGCTTGAGTCTCATGGCCCCAGACCCTAAGGATCTAATACAGACCACGGTTTTTAGCTTCACACACTCACCTGTGAGCCCCAGGTCTCTCCATCAGCCCCAGAGCTGCTGGAACCACTACCTGAGCCACCTGCTTGGTCACAGGAAGGAGGTGGAAAGGGCTCCAGCCTCAGCAGGGAATCCTGCAGCTCCTGGACCTTGGGGGAAATGGGGAACGTAAGGCCGGGGTGGCTCCAACCACCTGCCATTCTTCCCTAAGACCTGTTCTTGGAGCAGTGGCAAGAGCACCGGCTGAAAGGTAGGACCCCCCCCCCCCGAGATTCTCATCCTGTACAACCTTCTTGTACAACCTTGGGCAAGTCGTTCAGCCATGACTTGTTGGTCAGGCATTCAGTCATGCAGTCCCTGAATCAAGACTTCTCTTTCCAGATGTCCAATGGGTACATGAAAAGATGCTCATCATCACTAATCTTTGCATGCGTGCATGCTCAGTCACTTCAGCCGTGTCTGACTCTTTGTGACCCTATGGACTGTAGCCCTGCCAGGCTCCTCTGGCATGAGAGTCCATGGGATTCTCCAGGCAAAAAAAAGAAGAAAAGGTACTGGAGTGGGTTGCCACGCTCTCCTCCAGGGGATCTTCCCGGCCCAGAGGTCGAACCCGTGTCTCCTGTGGCTCCTGCATTGCAGGTGGATTCTTTACTGCTGAGCCACTGGGGAAACCTCACTAATCCTCAGGAAAATGCAAATCAAAGCCACAATGAGATACCACCTTACATCAGATAGAATGGCAAGCATCAAAAAGACAAGAAAGGGACTTCCCTGGCCGTCCAGGGGTTAGGACTCCGCACTTCCACTGCAGGAGGCACGGGTTCAATCACTGGTTGGGGGAACTAAGATCCTGCATGCCTTGCCAAGTGGTGCGACCAAAAGAAAAAAGAATGCAAGAGATAAGTGCAGGCGAGGATGTGGAGAAAAGAGAACCTTCATGCACTGTTGTTGAGAATGTAAATGGGTGCAATCACTATGGAAAAAAGTATGGCAGTTCCTCAAAAAAGTAAAAATAGAATGACTATATGATACAGCAATTCCATTTCTGGGTATTTCTCTGAAGGAAACCAAAATGCTAACTCGAAAAGACATCTGCACCCCCATGTTCGTTGCAGCATTATTTACAAGAACCAAGACACAGAAGCAACCTAAGTGTCCACCGATGGATGAATGGATAAGATGTGGTAAATATATTTAGAGAATGAAATATTATTCATCTGTAAAAAAGGAATCTTGCCATTTGGAACAATATAGAAGGACCTCAGGGTTTCCCCGGTGGCTCAACAGTAAAGAATCTGCCTGCAGTGCAGGAGCCGCAGGAGACGTGGGTCGATCCCTGGGTTGGGAAGATCCCCTGGAGGAGGAAATGGCAACCTACTCCAGTGTTCTTGCCTGGAGAATCCCATGGACAGAGGAACCCAGTGGGCTACACAGTCCATGGGGTCACAAAGAGTTGGACACAACTGAAGTGACTTAGCACACACACAGAAGGACCTTAAAGGTACTATGCTAAGTGAAACAAGTGAAACAAGTCAGCCAGATAAAGACAAATAGTACATGATCTCACTTATATGTGGAGTCTAAAATAAAACAAGGGAGTTCCCTGGTGATCCAGTGGTTAGGACCTAGTGCTTTCACTGCTGTGGCCTGGAGTTCAACCCCCGGTCGGGACCAGGTCCACCAAGCCATGCAGCAGGGCACAGATAGATAGATAGACAGATGATAGGTTAGAATTTTTAAAAAATGAACTCACAGATACAGGGAACACATTGGTGGTTGCCAGGGTTGGGGGGAGGGGTCAGGGGGGTAAAACTTTTTTAAAAAGACTTCTCTTTCCCAGCTGAGAAATGGGCTCCGCTCCTTGTGCTGGGCTTCCGCAGCCCAGGTCTCACCATCTGTGTCCCTCCTGCCCTGACATCACCTGGGCTCTGGACCCAGACATAAAACTGTCCCTTTAATAGCCCCATGTGGGTGGTTCATGGCATCTTGAGCTGATTAAGGCCTAAGGGCTCTCGTCTCCCTTCCTCCAAACCTGCCCCTCCCACAGGCTCCCTATGTCTCACTTCCAGTCTCTAAGGCTCCCAATCCAGGTCTCATCCTCAGCCCCTCTCTAGCTTTCACATCCCACCTGCCAGCTCCATCTTCAGCATCCCCGCTGAATCTGCCCAGTTCTCACCGTCTCCACCTCCTGGATCTTCCAAGATTCCACCTTCTCCCTCCACAAGCTGTTCCTCACAAAGTCGCCAGAGGGCGCCTGTGAGCACCTGCATCAGGTCTCCACCCTTGTTTGCTCAGAGCCCTCTGTGCCTCCCACCTCACTCAGAGCAAAAGTTCAAATCCTCTTGAGGCCCACAAGGCCCTCCGGGATCTGCTCCCATCACCTCGGTACCCTTGTCTCCTCCTGCTCAGCCCCATACTGGCCTCCTCACTGTTTCTTGAACACACGAATCGCACTCCAACCTCCAGCCTTTGCATATACTGTTCCTTTTGCCTAAAATGCTCTTCCCCAGTTCCTTACATGGTTCCTCCCTTGCCTCCTTGTGGCCTTTATTCAAGTGTCATTTCTTCGGTGGGCCTCTCTGATCCTCTCAACTAAAGTTGCGAGGGACCTTTGTCTCTTTGGGGTTGGCCGACAAAGGTCCAAACAGTCAAAGCTATGGTTTTTCCAGTAGTCAATTATGGATATGAGTGTTGGACCATAAAGAAAGCTGAGCGTCAAAGAACTGATGCTTCTGAATTGTGGTGTTGGAGAAGACTCTTGAGAATTCCTTGGACAGCAAGGAGATCAAACCAGTCAATCCTAAAAGAAATCAGCCCTGAATACTCATTGGAAGGACAGATGCCGAAGCTGAAGCTCCAATACTTTGGCCATCTGATACAAAGAGCTGACTCATTGGAAACGACCCTGATGCTGGGAAAGATTGAAGGCAGGAGGAGAAGAGGGTGACAGAGGATAAGATGGTTAGATAGCATCACCAACTCAATGGACATAAGTTTGAGCAAACTCTGGGAGATGGCAGAGAAGACAGAGAAGCCTGGCGTGCTGCAGTCCATGGGGTTGCAAAGAGTTGGACACAACCGAGCGACTGAACAACAGCAAGGCAAGTCAAGGCTCCAAGAAGTCTTCACAAATGAACAAATGATTCAATGTGTCTTATGCCAGGCCTGCCTCCCTCCCACCAGGCATGCCTGGGTGGCAGGCCTGCCCTGCTCACCTCTCTCTGCAGCATCTCCTTCTCAGCCTGGAAGGCCTTCAGGGAGTTCTGTGTGCGGATCAGCTCATCCTCCCGGCTGCCCAGGGCCAAACGCAGCCAGGCGTTCCTTTCAGCCAATCTGGCTGCCTCCCGCTGGCAGCTCCCAGCCCCCTCCTGCTCCAAACAGGGCTTTGGTGCCCCCTGGCTTCTGTCCTTTGCCTCCACTGGCCCAGGACAGTTTGGGGGACGGTGGCGCCAGGCAGCAGCAGCTGCTTCCAGAGAGCTCAGCGCTTGCTGGAGAGTCTGAAATACATCAGGTCCAGAGGGGACGCTCTCCCCATCCTGTGGGGCTGCCTCTGGGGCCTGGTGGGTTTCCTCATGGGGCCGCCCCTCGGGGTCTGGGGCTGGTCCCCTGCTAGTGTCCCCATCAACTTCTTTGTCAGTCCTGCGAAGAGGTGAAGGATGGAAATTTCTGGAAATGGGGTCACCTGGGATAGCTAACACACAAAGGGTTTGTTACAAGGCTAGCACTGCATCATACAGGGCCTTGAAAGTCAGGCCAAGGGCAATGGGAGCCATGGCATGTGTGTGAGTCGGGGAGGGACATAAAAACCACCTATGGGTGGGAAAGATGTGCCAGGCCTGCAGACCAAGTGAGCCTTACCTGCTCTCCAAGCCCTGCCCTTTGGCCTCCACCTCAGGGCCCAGCAGTTCCAGCTTGGCGCTGTCTTGAGATGCCACAGGGCCTGGCTCAGAGCTCCCACTGGCTGCCTCAGCCTCCTCTGAACTCTCTGCCACAGGGTCCAGCTCACCCTGCAAATGATCCCCAGGGCTGAGCTCTGAGCCAGGCAGATCTGGGTGCTGGGGTCTTGCAGGGTTGGGTGTGGCAGGGAGGGGGAACACTTACGGGCAGAGCGTGTCTCCCTCGCCGGCTTCGGGGCCGTGTGGCCCTGGCACTCATTGTTATCCAGAAATCAGTGTCTTCTGAATCCTCCTTTATCCTCACCCACTAAAACTACAACCTGATTTCAGCTCAAAGCAAATGACAACCTTAATTTCCTCTTCTGTGAAATGGGCATTGATTTCACTTCTCCAAAAGGATCTTGAGTTATCAATGTGGATTTGGCTCATTTGAATGCCTCCCTTGATGGTCAGCTCACTACCTCTCAAGGTTGCCCTGACCTCTTCCTTCGTTTCTGTCTCCTGTATTTTCCTCTCTCTCTTTGATCCCTTGCCTCCCCTATCTGGGCTTGGGAGGAGGAGTTCAACTGTCCTCTCTTCTCCCCAAGGCTCTCCTGAACCAGAGATTCTAATCCTGGGATTTGGTTCCCTCAGCCCGCTCTACTTCCCTGTTCTCCTGGGGGGTACCTTGGTCAGAAAACCAAAGTCCCTGGACATTCTTGGGGTCACTCTGACCACTGCCCGCTCAAGCTTGGGCTGGCCAAGGCCAGCCTGGGAGGGGCCGGGAAACAGGAAGCCTCCTTCCCTGGCCATGTGACTTGCTATTGTGTAGTTTCCTCTTCAAGGACAGCGGCTTCCTCCAGCCCTAGCAACAGGACACATGTCCAGCTCCCAAGATGCCCGTCCCTCCTCGCCTCTGCTTCCAAGGCCACGGCTCCCCCAACTCTGACCCTGAGATTTTATTTCTTGGAAGCTAGAGTGCTCCTCTGGGCTGATGCTCTTCACTTGGCCTCTGACTGTCCCTTAAGCGTCAGCGTTCTCGTTCCACTTCAAGTCACAGACAGATCTGGGGTTGGTCCCCCTGAGCAAGCGATGGTCCCTTCTGAGCCCCAGTTTCTTTGTCTTCCTTCAGTGTCACGGGAGGTTTTTGTTTTGTTTTTTCAAAACAAAAAAATTTCTTTTGAAATATAGCTGATTTACAATGTTGTATTAATTTCAGGTATGCAGCCATTATTCTTTCTTTTAGAATATTGCAAATTCTTTTTTATTCCCTCTCAGGTCCTTTCCATTATAGGATTACAAAATACTGAATATAATTCCCTGTGCCTTTTGTAGGTCCTCGTTGTTTATTGTATATAGTGTGTACCTCTTAATCTCAAACTCCTAATTTATCTCTCCCCCCCGCTTCCCCTTTGATAACTATAAATTTGCTTTCTTATGTCTGTGAGTCTATTTCTGTTTTGTAAATAAGATCATTTGTATCATTTTCCCCCAAATTTAACTGCACATCTTGTATTTTATTTTTAAAATAAAAAAGTTTATTTATTTATGGCTATGCTGGGTCTTCATTGCTGCGTCAACTTTTTTCTCGAGTTGTGGTGAGCGGGGATACTCTCTTTTTGGGGTATGCAGGCTTCTCATTGCCATGGCTTCTCTTGTTGTGGAGCAGTTTCGAGGCACACAGGCTTCAGTAGTTGCAGCACATGAATTCAGTAGTTGTGGCTCCTGGGCTCCAGAGCACAGGCTCCGTAGCTGTGGAGCATGGGCTTAGTTGCTCCACAGCATGTGGATCTTCCTGGACCAGAGATCGAACCAATGTCCCCTGCATTGACAGGCAGATTCTTTACCACTGAGCCACCAGGGAAGCCATGTATCATTTTTTAAGATTCCACATATAAGTAATATCCCTGGAGAAGGACATGGCAACCGACTCCAGTATTCTTGTCTGGAAAATCCCATGGACAGAGGAGCCTGGCGGGTTACAATCCATGGGGTCACAAAGAGTCAGACACAACTGAGCAACTAAACAGCAGTATAAGTGATGTCATATATTTGTCTTTGTCTGACTCGCTTCATGCAGTATGATCATCTCTAGGCCCGTCTCTGTTGCTGCAAATTTCTTTCTGTTTTGTGGCTCAGTAATATGCCAGTATATATATATATATAGTATATTGTATATATTGTACACATTGTATATAGATACATGTATATGTATATATACCTCTATGTGCTTAGTCACTCAGTCGTGTCTGACTCTTTGTGACCACTTGGACTGTAGCCCGTCAGGCTCCTCTGTCCATGGGCATTCTCCAGGCAAGAATACTGGAGTGGGTTGCCATACCCTCCTCATATACACACATATACACACATATATGTGTATTTATATATATATATATATAAAATGTGTGTATATATATGTGTGTATGTGTATACATATATATGTATATGTATACATATATATGCATATATGTTTGCATATATATACATTTGCACATGGTCAGGCACCAATCAGAGAACTGAATCGTAAGGCGCCCTCCTTGTTCCCTGCTGCCTCTCTGACCTCCCCATCTCTGGTTCCTCTGTTTCTCCTCCATAAATGCTGAATTCCTCAGATCCCAGATGATTCCTGCATCCTGTTCATTTTCCCTGCATCCACCTCTAAAGGGCCTCTTCCGCATCTCCATCCACAGTCAGAGCTCAAGCCTCCCTCCTCAATGTGGACGCCAGCCCAGCTCCCTCCCAGGGCTCCCAGGACCCAGAGACAGATCTCACTGTTCACCTCCCTGGCTCACACACCCTCCGTGGCTCCCCACTGCCCTTGGGGAACATTTCATGCTCTCCAGCCTGGCATTCAAGGTCTTCAATAAAATCATGCATGCGGGTGGCACCAGTGTGTACTCCCGTCTCTAGCCACGATAACCTCTTCCACGAACAGCTGAAGCTTCTCAATTCCCTCACACCCTGGTGCCTTTGGCCATGCCTTAACCTTTGCCTGAAACACACCTTCCTTGTGCATTTGACGTAAACTGTGCATAGCCTGGGGTAGTCTGAATCTTTCTGGTTCCACTGACAGACTCTACGAGGCTGAATCTTCCTACCTCCGTTCCCCCAAAGGTCGTAGCGAGAGAAGTTCGCAATTTTCTGACTTGAGGGTGAACTTTAAAATTCTCACTCTTAGCCTCTGTTCCAGCCACATTAACCGATGAGAGACAGCTCCAAAGCTCCTCAAAACCTACAATCTGTTGCCCAGGCGGTTCCTTCTGCCTGGAATGACCTTACCCCTCTTGTTTTTTCAGCAAATTCTCCCTCCTTCAAAGTTCATTTTACACAGCCCCTCCGGACTCTCTTTGAACCGGAGTTTAGCTGATGTGGGCAGGTTTAACAGATTTTAACAAGAAACTGAGGCTCAGTTTTTAGGTGGTTATGGAGCTGAGGGGAGAAGTGTGCATGAAGAAAGGAAGGGTGGCTTGAAATAGTTCTGGCTTGGTATTTTTTTAATTTTTGCAAATATCTGTAAAATAAGGAGCTGATTTAAATAATTGGGAGGGGCCTTGGGATCTGGACCACGCCCACATCTGCCGCAAAATCCCTCACTGAGGTTCGGTCAAGTCCATCAATCACCAATCAGCCCCTCCTCTTCTAAATTCCGCCCAATTCAGCCACACTTTGTTTAATCACACGGTAAACTAGGTCTTCTCCATCTTTCTGAGCCTTTCCCATTGTAAGTCTCACTCCACTCTGCCTCGATTCACCCTATCACGTCAGAAGGGCTGACCACCGTAATCTGAATCGGCCAGAAACAAAAACTCCTCCTTGTCTCACTTTAGCCAATCGCATCCCAGATCCCGCCCCACTCGACTCCCGCTCCAGCCTATCACAATCCAAACCCCGCCTCCTAGAACAGTCTCACCCTATCAGCTTCCAAGGCTCTCCAGCCTCGTCCCATTCATCTCTCCGCTCGGCTTTCGGCCGCTGAACTACAGTTCCCAGTAGGCGTGACGCCCGCACCGAACTACTTCCGGCTGCTAAAGATGGCGGCTTCCTAGCGGGTCAGCGGATGAGTAGGAAGGAGGCTCAGGCAACGGTGAGCAGAAGTTGGGTGGTGAAAGCGTGCGGGATCCGTCCTTAAAGGCCCACCTTCCTTAGCTCCAGAAATTCAGCCTCTCATTTGCTCTGAGGCTTCCGCCTTCAGCTCTAGTTTCTCCTGCAGTCTAGCCTCCATCTCTCTTGCTGCAGCTATGCTTTCCTTAGAGATTATGGGGGCTGCAAGGCGCTCAGAGATCATCCCCAGCAGCCCTCACCAATTGCCTAGACAGACAAACTGTTCCACTGGCGCCCCGTTTTTCCGCAAAGGAATTGCACACCTCTCCAGTGTGCAGACACCGCCTAAGCAGTCACTACGGAGGGGAGAACCCTAGAAGTTTATATCCTTTATTCCCCAAGACATTTTCAGTTTCAGGTGGCAGAACCCCCAACTCAGTCTGGCTTAAGCAAAAAAGGGAATTTAGGCATAGCTGGATCCGGGCGCTGAGAAGTCTTTCATTTTCTGGGTGAGCATCACTTCAGGCAAGCTCTTTCCCCTCTTGGAAGCAAGAGAGGCTCCTAGCTGCTTTGGACTTGTATCCTTCCAGTACTGCAATTCGGAGCTGCCCCTCTCTGGCGTGTTCTGGGTCACGTCCTCATCTCTGAGCCATTCACAGTGGCCAGATGAGCACCCTAGCCAAAAGGGGGAGAGGAGGGGTTAGCTCTACGAAAAAAAAAAGGGGAGGCTGTTATCTCAAGTCAGAGTGGATGCTGGGTTGATAAGTGTAAAAGGCACCCATCCTACAGATGAGGAAACTGAGTCCCTGAGCAGAGTGACTGTTATTGTTAGTAAGAGACTTATGACCTGTTCTGCTCAGTAACCAAATGCTTTTAAAAGCCCTAAGGAAAGGATCCTGGCTTCCCTCATCCCTGCTGCATCCAGCCACTCCAGAGCCATGGAGGTGGCAGAGCCCAGCTGTCCCACGGAAGAGGAGGAAGAAGAGGAGGAGGAAGAGGAGCAGTCAGCTGAGCCCAGGCCCCGCACTCGCTCCAACCCTGAGGGGGCTGAGGACCGGGCGCTAGGGGCCCAGACCAGTGTGGGCAGCCGCAGTGAGGGTGAGGGCGAGGCGGCCAGTGCTGACGACGGGGCCACCAACCCTCCAGGAGCCGGTCCCAAGCCGTGGCAGGTGCCTCCACCAGCCCCAGAGATCCAGGTGCGGACCCCAAGGGTCAACTGTCCAGAGAAAGTGGTAAGTGAGAGGCTTGGCCTGTGGCTTTGAGATGTTAGGGAACCTTGGGTTAAATGTCATTCTTTAGGATTCACTCTGGAAAACAGTCTCTTTCTATTAGTGTCCTAGGGCAGCTGGGCTTCCCAAGTGGCTCAGTGGTAAAGAATCCACCTGCCAATGCAGGAGATGCTGGTTCAATCCTTGGGTTTGGAAGATCCCTTGGAAAAGGGCACAGCAACTCACTCCAGTGTTCTTACGTGGAGAATCCAATGGACAGAGGAGCTTGGAGGGCTACAGTCCATGGGGTCGTAAAGAGCTGGACACAGCTGAAGTGGATTCAGTAGCCCTGCGGCATGTGGGATCTTAGTTCCTTGACCAGGGGTCAAACCTTTGTCTGCTGTGCTGGAAGGCGGATTCTTAACCACTGGACCCCCAGGGAGGTCCCTCAGCTGCCTCCTTCTGGAGTGGACGGCTTGGCTGGGAACTGGGGCTCATCATACAGCCTTCTCCCATGGGGCTTCTTGGAGAGGGCCAGCAGAGTGGCATGGGGGCCTGCAGTGACATCCAGTTGCCAAGTACTGCTGGTCACAGCCCTCATTAGCCTCCAAATTTGTTGCAGATCATCTGCCTGGACCTGTCAGAGGAAATGGCGCTGCCAAAGCTTGAGTCATTCAATGGGTGAGAGGGGTTATTTGGGGGCTGGAGTTTGCCACCATGGCTGGGAGGAGCCCAGCCCCCAAAATGCAGGGTTGTCTCTCTAAGACTGACTCCTGGGTCCTGGAGGGATTGGAGAGTAGCCGTGATAACTGGTAATGTTACAGCTGCAGCCCACTGGGGTTCTGTTCTCAGCACTTGAGAGCTGTCACACTCCACCCATGTCACAGCCATGACTTGGAAACTCCGAGAAGCAAGGTGACTTGCTCAAGGCCTCTTGGCAAATGGGCAGAGCCAGATTCAGAGCGAGGCCTGGCTGACTCCAAAGTCCTGGCCTGTGAGCAGCTGAGTCTCACTGGGGTCAGGCAGCAGGGCCTGATCACAAGCCTACCTCCCCTTCCCTGGCATTCCTGATGATCCATGACTGAGCCAAGGTGGGATGCCTTCTCTGGATCAGCTGTGAAGCTCAGGCTGGCCAGAGGGACCCATTCAGTGAGGACAAAAGCTGGAGAGTCAGCTGGGCTGGGTTTGCGGCTGGGCTCTACCACCTGCCTGGCTGCGTGACCTGGGCCTTAACCACCGCCTCACTCTCACCCCAGCTCCAAAACCAACGCCCTCAATGTCTCCCAGAAAATGATCGAGATGTTCGTGCGGACAAAACACAAAATCGACAAGAGCCACGAGTTTGCGCTGGTGGTGGTGAACGATGACACGGCCTGGGTGAGGCTGGGGGCAAGCCTGGCTCCCCTGGGGCCCCCCAGGGCTGAGAGAGCACCTTGCTGAGTTTCAGTCTTCCCTGCAGCTGTCTGGCCTGACCTCTGACCCCCGTGAACTCTGCAGCTGCCTCTACGACCTGGAAACAGCTTCCTGTTCCACCTTCAGTATCCTTTCTATGCAGGGAAGAGAACGGCCCCAGTCCTGAGGGAAAGGGAGCTTTGAGTCACTGAGGGCCTTCAGGTCATCTGATGCCAGCCCTCTCTTTTATGATCTGTGCTGAGGGAAAACTAGCTCAGAGAGGGCAAGTGACTGGAACAGGGCCACATAGCATGCCTCCTGGCACCCGGCTCAGAGGCACCTGTACTCTCCCAGCCTCTGGAGGAGGGAAGTTACCCACCTCTGTCTACCCATGCACTGCTCTGCTCTCCTTAGCATTCTCACCAGATCTGGAGGGTCTCTTCAGCCTCATGTAAGTCCCCCATGGGGAAATTATTACTCACCTTTGAAGAGAAGAACCCCTTCTGGGTAAAAGCTCCAAACAGCCCAGAAATAGTCCTTTCAGGAGGCCGAAAGGCTTCCTTTCTCAGCCATACCCCCTGGAACAATTGCTTACTTACCTGTCTGAAAGCATTTTTGCAAAAGAGGTTCTTTTTCACATCTTGCCCTCTGTGTTACTTTCTTTTTTTTCCTTCTAATTTATTTATGTATGTATTTCTTTTTGGCTGTGCTGGGTCTTGGCTTTCTCTAGTTGCAGTGAGTGGGCTTCTCATTCCGGTGGCTTCTCTTGTTCCAGAGCACAGGCTGTAGGTGCAGAGGCTTTAGTAGTTGCAACTTGTGGGCTCTGGAACACGGGCTCTGTAGTTGTGGCACTTGGCTATAGTTGCTCTGTGGCACGTGGGATCTTCCCAGACCAGGGATCCAACCAGTGTCCCTTGTAATGCAAGGCAGATTCTTAACATCTGGGCCACCAAGGAAGTTCCTCTGGGTTATATTCTGACAGCCCAGTGACCCGCCACTACTTTAACTGCAGGGCAGCAAACTTTTTCTTTAAAGGGCCAGATAGTACATTTTTGGCTCTGTAGGTCTTGTGGTCACTGTTGTGTTGATCAGACTCTGCCGTTGTAATCCGAGCAAGCTCTGGCTTTGGGGTCGGCAAAACCTCTGATGGAGCAGGAGAGGTCAGGGAGAAAGGTGAAGCTGGGAAGGTGCCGGGGCAGAGGGAACAGCATGGGGAAAGGCTCAGAGGCAACAGTGAACTTGGGAGGGGTCAGGTGGGACCTCACATACCCAGTGAGGAGCTGGGCTCTCCTGGGGGGACGAGAAGTTTGGGCCACCAAGGTGTACTCTGTCCATCCCCACTTCGTGCTGCACAGCCAGCAGAAGACTGAGCTGCCAGTCACGGAGAACGTGCAGACGATCCCACCACCGTATGTGGTCCGAACCATCCTGGTCTATAGCCGTCCACCCTGCCAGCCCCAGTTCTCCCTGACAGAGCCCATGAAGGTGAGTGAGACCTGGGAGAAGGATGCCTGCAGCCAGCATGATGGTGGTTAGATACTAGGAGGGACTTCCTGACCATAGGTGCTGGGGTACCTAGAATCAGCTTCCCAGGATCTAGAGATTTGGGGTCATGGGGCCATAGGGTGACCCTAGTCTCAAAGACTACCTTTCTTCCCCTGCAGAAAATGTTCCAGTGCCCGTATTTCTTCTTTGATGTTGTTTACATCCACAACGGCGCTGACGAGAAGGAGGAGGAAATGAGCTGGAAGGTGAGAGGCCACCAGAGTGTGGGCGGAGGTCTCTGAACCGCCCTGCCCCAGCCCTAAGGGAAAGGAAGCCCTTTTCACTGAGGGCCGTCAGGGCATCTGATGCTCATCCCCTAGATTATGATCTGTGCTGAGGAAAAGCAGCCTCAGAGAGGGCAAGAAACCAGGCCAGGGTCACACAGCATGTCTCAGGCACAGTGGTACCTGGCAACAGGCTCAGAAGCACCTGTACTCCTATGGGGTCGGGAGGAGGGAAGCCACCTGCCCCTGCCCACTCACACACTGCTCTGCCATTAGCCTTCTCCTTACCATTCCTGGCCCTTCTAATTCATGGTCAGTCAGATTCCAACATTTCCCACTTGTCTGCAGGGAACTAATGGGGCTGTTGGGACAGTGGCCCAGGAGCATGTAAGGTCCTATCCACCTTATCCCCAACATCCCCTGCTTCTCTCTCTTCCTGCTTGTTCTGTCTCTATGCCCTCTGCCTGGAGCACACTTCCCTCCATGCCTCCCCAGGCTCTGCTGGTCCTTTACATTCCAGCCCTGAACTCGTCATGGCATCTCGAGTTGGCCACTTACCTATCTCTCTGAGCCTCACTTGACCCAACCGTGAGCAGAGGGGGTTGAGCCCAGCTCCTACTTATATGTCAGTACACAAACTGGAAGACCCTACTCTGAGAAGCCTTCCCTGCTCCTCTGGATAGATCAGCGTCAGGGGGCTGGGGGTCATGTGCTTCTCCAGACTAGGGGCTCCAGCTCTGAGACCCTTGGGGTGGGTGGGTGGCAGGAAATGTTTGCTGAATGTGGGAATCGTTTCTGCCTGGCAAACTCCTCTTCACCCTTCAGAACCCATCCCTGAGATCCCTCCTGGGAGGCCCTCCAAGACAGGGAGGGCTTGTCAGCAGAACATCTGCATGAACAGCCCTTCCTTGGCCCCACAGGACATGTTTGCCTTCATGGGAAGCCTGGATACCAAAGGTACCAGTTATAAGTACGAAGTGGCGCTGGCTGGGCCAGCCCTTGAGCTTCACAACTGTATGGCCAAGCTGCTGGCTCATCCACTGCAGCGGCCTTGCCAAAGCCATGCCTCCTATAGCCTGCTGGAGGAGGATGATGAAGCCACTGAGGTTGAGGCCACTGTCTGAACCATCCCTGTACATCCAGCCTTCTTGTACAATGAAACCCTTGGCATAGAACGCTGGTTCTCAAACTGGGCTCCCTAGGACCCCCAGAGGGGGTTCTAGGAAGTATCTGAGGCACCTGGGCCTCCCTGAAGGAACCCTAAGATTCCAGGAAGCATCCCAGGGACTCTAGACACCCAGTCCCCATGTTTCCCAGCTCATATCCCACTCCTAAGTTTTTCAGTTGTAATTTTTGTTGTGCTTTGTGTGATTTTTGTCATCAGAATAAAAATCTGAGACTCTCTAACCCAAGTCCACTGTTCATTGAAATCTTTTCGGTTGCAAGTGACAGAAAACCCACCCACTGAACTGAAAGGAGAATGGCTAGGTTCTTTTTTTTTTTTTTTTTTTTATTTATTTATTAGAATGGCTAGGTTCTTGTAGATAAGAAGCTAAGATGGAGCTTTAGGCTTGGCTGTATCCAGGCGCCCTGACATTGCTCTGGGAAGAGCTGAAACACCCTGCCTGGTTGGTTTTTAGTATGCCCTGCTTTCCTCCCAACCTGTGGAAAGGGGTAACATGGCTGACCACTCTGCAAATCCCAACCCAGGTGAAGTGAGGGCTCTCACAGCACCCCTTATGACAGGTCTTGCTTGGGTCAGTCATGGGCCAGAACTGTGGTCGGGTCTCTCTCAAGCCTCTCTGGGAAGAGAGGTTTATAGTTCCGTCAGGAAATAGCGTGGGTGCTCTCCAGAGGAAGGGAAAGAGATATAACAGGTCCATCACTCAACTTGATCTTCCTGGATAATGAGCAGTTGTGGGGAAAAAAAAAAAAAAAAACCACCTTACCAGCTAGATTTTCTCAGTTCCATATAAAACAAAAATAGCTTTATCAAGAAACAGCTTTACTTTCCCAGGAGCCTTTACTGGGCACCCGTGTGCCAGGTCCCTCTTTCAACTTAACACCAGCCTGGAAGGGATTATTCTCCCATTCTGCATATGAGGAAACTAACACCCTAAGAGGCCCAGGGCTCCAAAGTAATGGACTTCAGACTCCGTAGGACTGAAAACGGGCGGCGCAGAGCCTCCGCAGGTGGTAGCTATTAACTGAAACCTTAAATACTGTGAGCGCTGCGTGCGCCTCGGCAGAGGGTTCGGGAAGACTCGGTGCCCTGTGGCACCACCGGGTCCCGGGATCGAAGCTCCATCCCCTCCAACAGGGTGTGTTCTTGTTTACACCGTTGTGAGAGATAAAGGCACACATGGCGACCTCCACCCTTCCGGGCCCTTATCAGAGGCCCCAGACATCATTTGGCCCTGAGCAAACATCACTTGGCCCTGGGCACTACTTGGTGTCGCGGGCTCGGGCCAGCACTAAAGCTGCGACCCTCGATGTGGGCGACGATGCGGCGCCGCTCAGCCTGGCTTGGGTCACTGCACTGCACCAGGGCGCGGAGAAGACAGCCGAGGGGCGGAGCGGCGCGTGCGCACAAGGGCGCCGCGGGAAGTTGGAAACCGGCAGGCGGCGCGACCAGGTGGCTGCCCCAAGGAGACAGCCGGGGCATGGGCCCGGCTGTCGGTTTGGCGCGGCGGCTGCGGACGGCGCTGCAGGAGGAGGAGTTGCGGTGAGGGCAGGGCCTGGGGTGGGGAGGCCAGGGCTGGGGGTAGGGGGCGAGTGCCACGGTCCACTGTGACCCTCTATCCCTAGGACTGTGGAGGACTTGCTGCGCCGTGGTGCCGACCCCAATCTGGTACTCGAGGATGGCGCGGCGGCCATGCACCTGGCGGCCAGAGCCCAGCACCTGCGGAGTCTGTGTTGCCTCGAGGCCCTGCTGCGCCGAGGCGGGGACCCCAACGCTCGGTGAGGCCGGGTGTGGGCTCGGGGTAGGTCTTCCGTGAACGAGAGCTGTCTCCCGAGGACCTGGGAGTCCTGAAGACGGCGTCCAAAGATGCGGACTCAATCCCCGGGGGCGGACCTTAGGGAATCTGGGGAGGGATCTTGAGGGTCCAAGACAGAGGCAGGGTACCAGACCGAGGATAGGATATGAGAATGCGCCGGGGTCAAAATGGGAATCAAAGTTTCAGATCCGGCGGTAGAAGCTCTAGAGTCAGAGAGCAGAGGTTTGGGTCCCAGCCCGAGAGCGCAGGTTCGAAGGGTGGCATCTCGGAGGGCTGATAGCCAGGGCTCCCGGACCCGGAGATGGAGTTGCTTCACTGACCCCCTCCTTCGCTCATGCCCTAGATCGGCCGAGGCACTGACACCGCTGCATGTGGCCGCTGCCTGGGGCTGTCGCCGGGGCCTGGAGCTGCTGCTGAGCCAGGGAGCGGACCCCGCGCTCCGCGACCAGGTGGGGGGCCCCATCGCAGTCTGTAGCGAGGCAAACCCGGAGGGAGGGAAAGAGGAAGGAAAGGAGGAAGAGAGGGAGGGAAGAGGGCGCCCGCTACTGACGGCACCCTTGCAGGACGGACTCCTGCCTCTGGACTTGGCGGAGCAGCAAGGGCACCAGAACTGTGCCCGTGTGCTTCGGGAGCTGGAGACTCGGACCAGGGCCCCAACCCGGACCTGGAAAGGCTCCCGGAAGCCAGAACCTGAGCCAGAGCCTGGAGGTGAGTGGTATCTGGGCGGCTGGGAGTGGTTAGCCTCTGATATAACTTTGCAGATCTCTGTGTCTAATGCCCAGGGCTTCACCACCAGGGTCTCTGGTCAGGCTCTCTGCCTCTGCCTCGCTCCTTCCTCTTTGTGATTGCAGCTGCCTGTTTCTGTCCGATCTGACGTTGCTCTTTCTCTCTCACTTCCTCTTCCCCTCCTTACTGACTCTCCCTCTTACCCCCTGCTCCAGGCCGAGGCCCTTGTGAAAAGGGGCTGGATACCAGCCTCTCTGGTCCTCCTAATGTGATCCTGAACTCTACAACACTGGGCACAGGTAACGGCAAGGACGTGAGCCTGGAGGCTGGCCCTGGACCCCCCGGCCTGTTTGCCCACCCGGAGACTGCTGACACAGATGGTGGATTGGAGTCCCCACTGGGGCGCTGGGACTGCAGCTCGGTGACCTCCTTTGTCACTGCTGTTGAGGCTTCGGGAGCTGAGGATCTAACTGGACACATCTCCCCCTGGGCTGGTGTCCGACTCTCCCAGAGGGTGCCAAGATCTTTGGGCACCCTACAGCTGGCACATCAACCCCTCATGGAGGACAGGGAGGCAGAACTAAATGCCCATCTGCAGGCCCTGACTCTGACCTTGCCGGATGATCCCCCCTCCCCTAAGTTCTTCCCAGACAGAAGCTCAACCCATAGTCCCCCTTGGGAACTGCTGCCTGGACCTTCTGACACCCACATCCCAAGAGAGGACCAGCTATCCCCCGACAGTGATTTGGCTGCCCTCTGGCTGACAGAGGATGAGGCAAGCGCCACAGGGGGCAGGAACCCTAGCCCCTGTGACCAGTGTCCACCGGACCCTACCATATCTGACCTGGAACTACTGCAAGGGCTCCGGGCGCTTGGCAAGAGCCCAGGTCCCATCACGTCCTTCACCCGGCCACACTACCTCCGACGTCTGAAAGAAGCCCAGGCTGCTCCTGGTGAGTATCCAGAGTTCAAGGAGTCTCCGGGAATCTTCCGAGATGCCTTGGCTCAGAGTGCAACCTACTTCTCCCTTCGTCTCTGGGAACCACCCTTTCCTTTGTCTTTCTTGACCCAGTTTCCCTTCCCAGGCCCAGATTTTTCAGGGCACAGCCCAGAGCTGGCTGAAGCCCTGCGGACAGGCCGTATCCCAGATGCCCAAGCCGATGAAGATGCACTTGTCCAACAGTTTGAGCGGCCAGACCCCACCAGACGGTGGCGGGAGGGGGTCGTGAAGTCCAGCTTCACATATCTGCTGCTGGACCCCAGGTACTTGGAGCAGGAATGACTCAGAAGTGGGAGCTGGAAAGTTCTGAGATTGGTTCTTACCTGCTCTGTGTCTTTTTTTGTTTTTTAATGTATTTTTGGCTGCACTGGGTCTTCTTTGCTGCAGGCAGCTTTCTCTAGTGGCGAGCCAGGGCTACTCTCCACTGCTGCTCCTCATGGCAGTGAATTCTCTTCTTGTAGAGCACAGGCTCTAGGCCCAAGGGCTTCAGTAGTTGAAGCACGCAGGCTCAACAGTTGGGGGCGTGTGGGCTCTAGGGCATGCGGCGTCAGTAGTTGCGGCACACAAACTGTGGCTCACAGGCCCTAGAGCTTGTAGGCTTCAGTAGCTGTGGTCCCCAGGATCAGTTGCTTCGTGGCATGTGGAATCTTCTCAGATCAGGAATCAAACCTGTGTTCACGTCCCCTGCACCGGCAAGTGGATTCTTATCCGCTGTATTACCAGGGAAGTCCTGCTGTGTGTCTTTAGGAAGGGAACTGGCCCTCTCTGATCATCAGCTTCTTTATCAATAAAAGGCAGTTGGATCCGCTTCAAGCTGCAGAGTGTCCTTGGGGATCAGCTGCCCACCCTGCCTTTTATAAAACGGGTCACTGGACATGGGTTCAGTTTGCTCTGTGATTTAAGGACTATCTCTGGGGCAGCTCTCGTCGCGTTTCCCTCTCTGAGCCATCTACTTCATCTAGGAAGACTCAGGACCTGCCAGCCCGAGCCTTCTCACTGACCCTAGCTGAATGCCTTCGGATTTTTGTCCAGGCCATCTTCTACGTGGGCAAGGGAACACGGGCCCGGCCGGACATTCATCTCTGGGAGGCCCTTAACCACCGAAGACGGCCAGGAAAACAGGTATGAGGATAAGTAGCAGGTTTGTGGCAGGGGTGGCCCGGCTGGGGCAGGTAGATGGAATTGTGGGGTAAACTCTGACCCTGCCCTGGCCCCCCCCAGGCCTGTCCCAAGGTACGCCGGATCCTGGACATTTGGGCCACTGGTCGTGGCGTTGTTTCCCTGCATTGCTTCCAGCATGTGGTCCCTGCAGAGGCTTACACTCGAGAAGCATGTCTTGTGGATGCTCTAGGTAGGTGTCTGGCTTGTGGGGTAGGAGTGGGGTCACATGAAGGGCACTTGATCTACTGATTCCCTCACCCCTTCCCCATCACAGCTGTCCATTCAGCCAATGAGCAATTACTGAGCACCAACTATGTACCTGCATGTACACATATTTTACTCCATTGGTTTATCCCTGTTTGAGGGCAATACCCAGTGGGTTCCCTGGCACAAACTTCTGCCAGCGGCTCCCAGAGGCTGCCTTCATGACCTTACTCCTAATCTCCCCAGGAATCCAGATGCTGACTAACCAGAAGCAAGGACACTGCTATGGAGTGGTGGCTGACTGGCCCCCCACCCGGCGCCGCCGCTTGGGGGTACATCTGCTGCACCGTGCTCTCCTTGTCTTCCTGGCTGAGGGTGAGCGAGAGCTACGGCCCCAGGACATCTAGGCTTGTGCCTGAGCACTAGGGAATTGGCCATTTAACCTAAGTAGAGATCAGGGTGTTTGAATGTTTCAGTTGCCCCTGCATTGAGAGCAGCGCTGCACCCCCCCCCCCCGCCCCCGCCCTCCCATCTCCAACTCCAGAAGGCTGGTAAGGGAGCAGCAGGACAGCTCTCCTCCTTGGGGTAAGGGAGGACTTTATTACAGGTGGAACTGCTGGATAGGTAGTGAGCTCCCTGTCATGGGAGGAGAACAAGGGGATGTAGGAGGGAGAACAAGTCGGCCAGAAGGTTCTTTGGAACATGGTGCTTTGACAATGTCAGTGCTTTGGCAGTTTGGTCCTATCTGAGCAAACAAGTGACCATTTTTATCTCCCTGATACAGAGGACCCACAGTGTAAGTTGTGCTGGGGGTTCCTGAGCTACATGCAGGGAATCTGCCCAGCTCAAGAGTCAAGTTTTGCTGCTTCCCAGCTGTGGGACCTTGGACCAGTAATTTCTCTGTCTGAGCCTCAATTTCCTAAGTTGTACACAATGAGGAAAGTGCAAAATTCTACCTCAAGGGGATATTGAGGGAATCAGATTAAACCGTCATGGGGTAAAGTGTTTGGCTCTGAGCCCTACTGACCCAGAGATGGCCTTGCAGCCCAGGTGGAAAGTTTCTGGTGGAACGGGGTGGGGGGCATGCAGGATGTTCCTGAGGGGTGTGTTGTGTATTGAGGGGTGGGTAGAGCTGGAGATTCATTGGAAGGACTGATGCTGAAGCTAAATACTTTGGCCACCTGATGTGAAGAACTGACTCATTGGAAAAGACCCTGATGTTGGGAATGATTGAAGGCAGGAGAAGGGAATGACAGAGGATGAGATGGTTGGATGGCGTCACCGACTCTACAGACGTGAGTTTGAGCAAGCTCTGGGAGTTGGTGATGGACAGGGAAGCATGGAGTGCTGCAGTCCATGGGGTCACAAATAGTCGGACACGACTGAGCGACTGAACTGAACTGAACTGAGAGCTGGAGAAGTCATCGCAGCGTGGGTGTGAGACGCCAGCCCTCCTTGGGATCGCTGTGTGACTGGAACCTCCTGGTGCTGCTTCTCTGAATCTGTGTCTTCCATTGTAAAATGAGATTAACCTTGACTTTACACAAAGAGCGTCAGTAAATGCCAAGCTACTATCCTAGGGAGGTGTTGGCCGATCTTTTAAATTTTCCAGACGTGATCTGCTGCCTCATTGGGTTCATCACCTGCCTGTCACTGTGGCTCTGCCAACCAGGCCCTGCGGGGTGGGGGTGGGGGGCGGGCTAAGCAGCCATCTGCCTCCTGGCCTCCACTGCTGAGCCCGTGGCTGCTCTGGCTGCTGTAATAATTAAGAGTCCCTGCCTCTGGCATGAGCCTGGGCTCTACGTTTTCAACGGAGCTGATGACACCTCTCTCTGAGTGCCCCTTTCCTCATGTGTAATAATTAAAACAGCATGTCATGTCCCAAGAATACACATAAAGAATCCAAAGACATCCCTCCCCACCCTCCCCCCAAAAAGAGTTCCAGAAGAGATGGAATTTGTCTAACACAGTGTACCCTGACCTCAGCCCTACTGATTTTGAGGCCAAGTTGCTCTTTGCACTGGGGGCTTGTCCTGTGTTCTGTAGGGTGTCAGGTAGCATTTCTGGGATTAACACACAAGATGCCAGGAACATCTCCCCCCAAGTTGTGGTCATCAAACACGTCTCCAGAATTTACCAACTGCCAACAGTGCCCCTGTAAAGACCCCAGTTTAAACTAAAGGTGGGCTTGCAAACCAATGGGGAAAGGATCAAAGGTGCAGCAACTGAGGTGACAAATCTCTCCTCCCACCACCCACACAAATGACAGGTAAGCCTAGATATACATACATTATTAGAATAAAATATGGGGACTTCAGTGGTGGTCCAGTGGCTAAGAGTCCACCCTCCCAATGCAGGGGGCCTGGGTTCCACCCCAGGTCAAGGAACTAGGTCCCATACGCCTCAACTAAGACCCAGTGCAGCCAAATAAATAAATCAATCTTAAAAAAAAAAAAGAATAAAGTATAGATGGCCATGGAGCAGGGAAACCCAGAGAAATCTGGATTCAAAAAATAGATTCAAAATAACAATCGTCTTGGTGACAAGAGCAACCCAAAACCAAGTTCTAAGATGAAATGGGACAGTAAAGAGGTACTAACTTGCTGTGTGGTGTGGGGTAAAGAGGATTCAATGAACCCATGGGTGTCAGGCACTCATTACAGGGCTTGGCATACAGCTGCCACTCCATTATGGCTGCACTAATCAGGGCCACTGAGCCTCATCTCAACTTTATCATCAACCTCAGTTGGTTCTCCTCCTCCTCTCCAGGGACCAGAAGCTCACCCCTTACTGTCTTCTGCTCCAGGAATGCTGCCCAAGCAGGCCCTGTTTTGAGAAGGGAGGTGAACTCGGAAAGCAAGCCTGGACCACCTTCACCCTCAAGTCTTTGTGGGTCAGCCCTGAAGGGGAGGTACCTGAGTCAATTCCGTCTACACTTGGGGAGACTGAGGCTCAGGGTGGCCCTATGCTGTGGTCACCCAACACAAGTCTGGAGGCTCAGATTGTCACTTCTTTTTATTGAGTTACAATAAGAGATGTGCAGGTTCGGTGGCTCCAGCCCCCTCCCAAGCCCTCCCCACTTGGGCAACAATAGCTCCCAGCGCCAAGGAATGGGAGGGGGGGGGGTCAGGGGTCTCGGGCATGGTGGCGGGGGTCCCGATAGTCCCCGAGTCCCCGCGGGGCTCGTGGGTCCTAGAATCAAGCACGGCGGACACGGAAGACAGCGGGGTGGCGGCCTGCCTCGGCCCTGGCATTGTGGGGGAGGGGGCTTCTGTACAAGGTCACCCTCCGCGGGGGTCGCTGCTACGGCCCTGAAACAGTGATGGGCCCCTCAGGACGAGCAGAGCGCGGTGTGTCCATTTGGCTCCCACGAAGGCCGCGTCTCCCGGCCCAGCCGGCCAGGGGGCGTCTCCCTGACCTGACCCCGCCCACCGGAGCGAATGGCCCACCCACCTGGTCCGCACTGCAGACCCCTAGCCGGTTCGGGACTCTTCCTCCCGCTCCTCGGCTCACTAAGCGATACCCGGCCAGCTCCGTGGCTACTTCTTTTCCTCTGGCGGCACAGGCAGGGGCTCGGGCAGGGCCTTGGGCGAAGGCTCGGGTTCCCAGAGCAGGAATTCGTGGAGCAGCGTGTTGACGGTCTCCGGACACTCCAGCATCACCATGTGACTGCCTTCATCGATGAGCTTCAGGAAGGCCAGGAGCAGGATCTGCAGAGGAGGTGGGCTCAGAGCGGCCAGAGCCAGGACCCGGGAGCTCAGGGCCACTCAACCCCTATCTATGTATGGCCTGCAGCATCAGGAAGTCCTTCTTGCGATTCTATATTCCTTCATTTCCATTCAAGGGGGAGCTAGAGGATGGCCTGTCACCCTCCACGCGTGTTAAGTCGCTTCAGTTGTATCTGACTCTTGGCTACTCTATGGGCTATAGCCCACCAGGCTCGTCTGTTCATGCAATTCTCCAGGCAAGAATACTGGAACAGGTTGCCATACCCTCCTCCAAGGGATCTTCCTGACCCAGGGATCCAACTGGTGTCTCTTAAGTCTCATGACAGGCAAATTCTTTACCACTAGCACCACCTATGAAGCTTGGCCTGTCACCCTGCTGGGCCTAATTCTGTATTCATTCATTCTGCCATTTTTTTTTTTTTTTTCCATTCTGCCTTTCTTAAGTGCCTACAATATGTCCAGAGCAGGATTTTTCAACTTGGGCACTCATGGCATTTGGGGCGGGATCATTCTTTGGGATGGGGGCTATAGGATGTTGAATAGCATCCCTGGCTTCAATGCACTAGATGCCAGTTGTAGCATCCCACTCCCCCACCACAGTGTGACAAAAATCTCTCCAGGGAATTCCCTGGTGGTCCAGTGGTCAGGACTCTGCATTCTCACTACTGAGGGCTCAGGTTCAATCCCTGGTTGGGGAACTAACATCCCACAAGTTGCACAGCGTGGTCAAAACTAAAATTTAAAATAATAATAAAATTAAAATAAAATCAGACATGGCCAGATATCTCTAGGGAGCAAAGTCACCTCAGTGAGAACTCACTGAGAGTGACAGATGGACAGAGCCTCTCAAGCTAAGGCTGGGTTTATCAGTCCCCACGGGATGGACACTTGGCATCGGGTCATTTTCTGCTGTGGGCCAGTCTTGCTCACTGTAGGTAACTGAACAGTACCCCTGGCCTCCACCCACCAGGTTCCAGAAGCACCTCCCTCACCCACAGTCATGACATGTCTGCAGACAGTTTCAAGTGTCCCCTGTGGGGCGGAATCATCCCTGGTTAAGAACTGATGGTGCAGAGCTATTCTAAGCACTAAGGATCCCAAGACTGGGGAATCTGATCTAAAGACCCCCATTTGCCCTCTTGCAGGATTAGCTTGCCCATCACAAATCCCAGCTGTGAAGAGTGCCCTTTTTTTTGGGGGGGGGGAGCCACACCACATGGCACGTGGGATTCTAGTTCCCCAACGAAGGATCAAACCTGTGCCCCCTGCAGTGGAAGTGTGAAGTGCTAACCACTGGACCGCCAGGGAAGTCTGGCAAAGAGTGCCTTTTAGCAGGCAGAGGGGACAGCACATAATCCGACCCCCCTGTCCCAGGCAGCCCCACTTTCTGGATTCCACCTTTGACCCTCAATCTAAGCTCTGATGTCCCTGGGGCTGGAGCACAGAGTCCCCCGGGGCTGTGCAGGGGGGATTTGAGGGGTATGGTGACTGGAGTGCCATACCTCAGCCATGCGCTGGTCTTCCTCCACTGGCACAAACTTGTCGTGCATGCCGTGGACGAGCAAAACCGGCACGGTGAGCTCAGCGTGGTAGACCTCGTCGCCCTCGGGCCAGTACTGGCCGCTCATCATGGCCCGAAGCACAAAGGAAGACACATTGAATGCATTGCCCTCCTTCAGCAGCTGCTTTTCTTTGGCCCCTTGGCGGGCGAAGCCGGCCCTGGGGGTAGGGGGTAGGGTGGGGAGCACCACTGGAGCCCTCAGGCCATCTCAGCCACCGGCGGTGCTCCCCATGCCAGCCCCAGCCATACAGCCTCCCCTCCCATCCACCTTGGGGAGATGCTGGGGCAGGGCCAGGCCACTCACTTGAGGAAACTCCACGCCAGACAGGGAGACAAACAGTGCAGGACGCACGTGGGCATGTTGAAGATGGAGCAGAAGCTGGGCTCCAGAGCCGTGGGCCCGCCGCCGTTGATCATGATCACCTTGTGCACCAGGTCTGGGTACTCGTGTGCCAGGAACGTGCAGAAGGAGACTCTGCCCCGCGGGCGGATGGTGGGGAGGGTCGAAAGGCAGTGGTCAGCAGGATGCAAGCAGTGAGAGGATGAATGCCCTCCCCTCACCCAGAGGCAGGTCCTTGAAGGCCAAGATTCTTCCCATGGGGTCCATGAGTACCAAAAGCGGGTGAGGGATGGGAGAGGCAACCCAAACACCCTGAAATTGTGAGACTCTGTATGTGTGTGTGTGTGTGTGTGTTGAAGGTGGACTTTTTTTTTTTTTCTTTTGGAGAAAGGATCCAAATATAGAAATTTTATCAGATCTTCAAAGTCATCATAACCCCCAAAGAGGTAAGAATTACTTATTATCAAGTGCTGGGAAAGCTATTTGATTCAACAAAACCTTTGGCTTCTCAGAGAACGTCACTGTTTCCAGTGTATCCCTTCCCTTTAAATCTGCCTGCAATGCAGGAGACCCCAGTTTAATTGCCGGGTCAGAAAGATCTTCTGGAGAAGGGATAGGCTACCCACTCCAGTACTCTTGGGCTTTCCTGCTGGCTCAGCTGGTGAAGAACCTGCCTGCAATGAGGGAGACCTGGGTTCGATCCCTGAGTTGGGAAGATCCCCTGGAGAAGGGAAAGGCTACCCACTCCAGTATTCTGGCCTGGAGAATTCCATGGACTATATAGTCACTAAGAGTTGGACACGACTGAACGACTTTCATTTTCACTTCACCTTCCCTTTAAGGATCTTCTCTTACTGGTCTCTGGGTTTGTCACATCTGCCTGCTTTATGCAAGGTAGAAGGGTGCAGGTACCTCTCCTCATTACCCCGAAAGCAGGGTTTAGGCAAATGATGGCCTGAGGGCTAGCTGCTTGTTTCCGTGGTTAAACTTCACTTTAAAATACTGTAAGTGTGTAAAATAGCTTATAAATAAAGATTTATTGGAATAAAGCCACACTGAAACAATTATAAATTTGTTTACAATTATGCCTGCTTTCCTTCTATAGTGGTAGGCTTGTGAAGTTTCAACAGAGACCAATCATAAGACCTGCAAACCTAAAGTATTTACTCTTTGCCCTTTGAGGAAAAGTTTGCCAACGTCTGCTAAAGAGGAACAGGATACAAGCAGGAGTCAAATGGACTTGACTGTGCCAGTGACTCACTGTGTGTCCTTGGGCAAACTCCTTAGCCCCTCTGAGATATCATCTCCACATTTGTGACACAGAAACCATGCTGACCTCATAGGATTGTTATGGGGTCACAGGAGTTTCCACACATGGTGCTCATTTAATGGAGGAATCATTATTGTAAGCATCCACTTTGGGGTATGTTTTTATATAAACAAATAGGAGCTATGCTACTTCCTAGTCTGGCCTTTCTTTCTTTTATGTAACATTTCTTTTTCTTGTCTAATTGCATGCACTACAACTGCGAAAACAATGGCTCTCAACCTGGTTGCCTGATCAGGCCCTGCCCTTCATCCTGGGTAAAGGACAGAATGGTACCACTTGGCAGTGATCAGGCACCAAGACCCAGAGCCTTCCATGATGTGGGCTCTCATCTAAATGCCAAGGTGGCATTATCTATCACCCCTTTAAGAGAGAGTACATGCATAGTAAGTCACTTCAGTCATGTCTGATTCTTTGCACCCCTATAGACTGTAGCCCTCCAGGCTCCTCTGTCTGGGAGGATTCTCTAGGCAAGAATACTGGAGTGGGTTGCCATGCCCTCATCCAGGGGATCTTCCCCACCCAGGGATTGAACCTGAGTCTCTTACATCTCCTGCATTGGCAGCCAGGTTCTTTACCACTAGTGCTACCTGGGAAGCTCTTAAGGGGGAGTGAATTAAAGTAAACTGTACCCTTTTAAACAAAAATTATGAAATACCAAGTAGTCTTTGCTTAGAGCCCTTGGGGTCTCCAGAGCAACCAATTCTTGAATTTAATAGAAGACAGTAGTTTTCAGCTAGGGGTGATTCTGCCCACCAGAGGACCTTGGCACTATCTGCAGGCATTTTTGATTGTCACAATCATCAGTAGACCATCGAGCTAGTGGCGTCTAATGGGCAGAGGTCAGGGATGATCCTAAACATCCTACAGTGCCCAAGAAAGCCACTCACAGGAAAGAATTACCTGACCCAAAATATCAGTAGTTCAGGGATTGAGACACTGCTTTAAAACAACGTGAAAACAACAGTATTGGTGGCAGGAGTTCATGTGTTGTTGTAGATGCTAGTGGGATTTTTCAAGAAGGGAAATCAATATTTTGTGAGTGGGTGTGGTTCCCGCCCCTCACCCTCATCCCCACCAAAGCATTGGCTCACCCATAGGAATGCCCAATGAGCACGTTGCGCTTCTTCGCATAGCGCTTGAAGATGGCACGCATGTCCTCCGCCAGCGCATAGAAGGTGTAGGCGGCGGCCACTTGGGGCGCTGAACTGGCCCCGTGGCCGGCCAGGTCGGGCGCCACCACCTCGTAACCCAGGCGCACGAAGAAGTCCAGCTGCTCCTTCCAGATGGCCAGGGAGCCGCCGACCCCGTGAATGAAAAAGAGCACCACGTCAGCCTGGGCGCCCTTGCAGCTGGTGATGCGCTTCTCACAGTCAATGTGGATGGTCCGCTTGGGGCGGCGGGCTCGCCGCCGCCGCCCACCACTGCCGCTCCCAGCACTGCCTGGGACCGAGCGGCCATCGCTGCCCGCTGGGTCCGCCAGCTCGACCTCAAGGGCGGCTGGTGGCTCCCCGGAGCCATTCTGCCCGTGCAGGAGGTCAGCTCGTGGTGCCCGGCCCAGGTTCTCCACCAGTAACCGCCCGTTGCGGTACACGGTGATTCTGCGCTGGCAACGGACCAAGCCGGACTGGTCCCCCTGGGCGGCGTCCGACAGTGGTGGAGGTGGAGTCGGGGCCGGAGCGGGTCCCGCATGCTTTACCCGCAGCACGCGGCCAGGTTTGACCTCCACAAATGTGTAGCCATCGCTGGACTCCACGCTCTCCAGTGGCCCTACTGCATTGGGTGGTGCGCCCAGCAGGCAGCAAAAGATCCCATCGGTCACGCCGGTCAGCATGGTGTGTCCTGTGAGTGGGGGTGACAGCCAGGTCAGAGGCTGTCTGCACAGGAAGCCCTTCATGCCCACACTACCCACTCTCTATACCTGGGGTGCGTGAGCTGCACTGGGAGGCCCTGTCTAGGCCCCAGTTTAGGGGTGGTCAGAACCAGGCACGGACTGAGATGTTTTGTCTGGTCAGAGCCTGTGTGGTGGTTAGCCAGCCTAGGCTACCTCAAAGAGAAGGCTGCGGCTATGGCTGACACCAAGAGGCATCCATGGGGAAGGTGGTGGAATTGGGGGTTGCAGGGCTTCCTGGAGGAGGGGACTTTGTGGCAAATGTGACCCATCCCTGAGGACCCTCCAGCTCAGGTCTATAACTTATGCCTTCCTAAATCCATTCATTCATTTGTCCATTCATTCACTCATGCACTCTTTTGTTAACTCACTTTCACTAAACCAGCATAAACTGAGGGCTCCACAGATGTCTTAAAAATATGCAGATCCCAACAATGAGCCCCCATCCCAGGCCTCTAAACGTGGTTTCTGAAAGTTGAGGCCCTGGAAGAGGAGTTTCAGGACTGAGCTCCAGAAGGCCTTACCCAGTTCCCCAAGATCATGGATGAAATGGGTCTGTTTCACAGACCAACAAGCTGAGGCCCAGACACTCTGGGAAGAAGCAGCTCTGTCCCCACTGGTCAGAACCCTGGGTTCTAAGGAACCTGATACACAGCCTCCAGTGGTGGAGATGAGGATGGAGCCCTGGCTGGGGGCCTCCAGGCCTCCATCCCCGCTCCCTGGGCCACCCCCACCCCCACCCCCACCCCCGCCGTGGCCATGGCAACTGCAGGCAGTTACATAACTCGAGGGGGATACCCGTGCAGCGCACCCCCATTGTTTAGGCCCTGGTGATGGGACCAACCCCTCCCCGTCCCCATCCTGGGCTCCTCGGGGATAATGAACGCCGAAAATCCAGCCTGCGGTAGCCCATACTTGCTGGTGGAGGGGGAGCAGGCCGCGCCCCCCGCCTCCGGCCGGGTTCCAACCCGGGATTGCGGAGGGGGGCGCAAATGCGCCATGCCAGCCCCCCTCCACAGAGCCAGGCCCTCAGCTCCTGGGTGCCCGTGAGCCCTGTGGCGGGATCGAGGCCATTGGGGCACCGCGGCTTTCTAAGAGCCCGAGGGCGGGCTCTGTGGACACCCCGTCCAAAGTGAAAGATCCAGGGATCCAGGGGCCTCAATGTCCCTTTCCCACGGCCCTCTCTCTGCTCACCTCATCGAGGGCCCTGGGACCCGGGGCAGGGCAGAGGGGTCCCGGGCAGAGAAGCCAGCGTCCGCCTGCAGGCGCCGTTTACATGGTGGCGCGGGATCTGGCCGGGCACCTCTAAGCGGGCGGGCACGGGCCCGGGGCGGTCAGCGCGGGGACATCCCGCTACCTCCGAGCAAGCCGGCCCTTTAAGCGTCTCCCCGGGCGGGACCGCGAGTCGACTGACTGGCTTCTCGGCCAATCGCAGCTGCGTAGTGACCTGGCCTAGTTAGACTGCCAATCAGACTCGGAAACTCCGGGATTAGGGCGGGCTCTTGGGGCAACGGCCCCGCCCCCCTCAGGGGTTTACTGAGGTGGAAGGAGAGATTGGGCCTGGTCCAAGGCCGAGAAGGGGTCGGAACCTGAGGACTTCTGGGCCCCTGGGAGGTAGCAACCGGAGCCCTCCTCGCTGCGAAGAGGATTTCCTCGGCTAGCCTCAGCCTCCGTACTGGCCTGTCTCCTCTAAACGTCGCCCCAATGCCCCTTTCTCTGAGCTCACCTTTCCTTTCTACAATCTCGCAGATCTTTGCAATTTGCAAAGGAAATTGCAAAAGGCGAGGAAACAGGCTCATAAAAGGCACAAGGTCACAAAGTAAGCTGGGGGAGCAGAGATGGGACTTGGAACTACGGCTGTGTGACTCTAAGTCCTGCAAATAGTTATTCTTTAAAGCATTAAACAGGTATCTTGGAGCTGTTAGGAATTAGTTTCATGGATAGGCCATTTTAACTGCTGGTCAATTTAACTGGTGACTCTGGTCCCAGCTGGAGCCAGAGAGCCCACAGTTCAAATCCAGCTTCTGCCGTTTGCTGATATATGACCTTGGGCAAGTCCCTTCCCTGAGACTCCATTTATTTCTTTATTAAATTAATTCCCTCTCCCGCATGAGTTTGCTAGGCAGTAAAACACTTAGCGAGGAAAGTGCTCCATACATTATTGACATTATTATTGTACTACTGTCGTATTGTATTGGTTTGCTAAATGATGGTGCAGGTAGGATGTGCTTCAGATGACAAGGGGTTAACCATCCTTTGCCCACTCCTATCCCCTGGAATTTGCTGCCAGAGCTGAATTAGGTCCAGCCACCCACTCTTGTCCACTCAGGGTGCTCCTGGGAGACTACAGTTTTATCCATGCAGAAAAAAAATTCCCCGCCCCCTCCCCAAAGTGGGTGATGCTGCGGAGCGGGGCGGAGCGTTGGACCAGAGGGAGGGACTAGAGTCGGGGAAAGGAGAGTATCTGAAGAGGATTTTTAAGAGATGAACAGGAGAGCACCAAGCAAAGGAGGGAAGGTGTGTGTGTATGTCGAAGACAGGCTTCAAATGCCTGCCAAATATTTTCCCTGGGGCAATGGGACGCCATAGAGGGTACGTAAAAAGGGAAAGAGCTCAGGTACGAGAATTAGAAAAACAGAGACTGAACGGGGGCACCACCAAGGGCAAGCCTGCAATCCTGGAGTTCTGCAGATTGAGAAATTGAATGACCACCCCAAGGACATCCAGCCAACTCCAACTCAGACCTCCTGGGCTCCCCGCCAAGGGGTGGAGACTTGGCTGAGGCTAAAAGAAAGCTGCCAGCCAGCTGTGCGCCATCTGCCTTGCTCCCGCTGGGGGTGGGAGACTGAACCAGCCGTTTCCTGAGGCTGCCACCAGCTGCGCCACCGTCGCCCCCGGGCACCCTCTGCAGGGCTGCAAGAGAAGGAACTACAATTCCCAGCAGACCTAGGGAAATAATGCTTTGTAGGCATGCGCATGCGGAGAAGGCGCCGTTCGCCTGCCGCCTGCTGGTCGAGAAAAAGAACTACACTCGGGCGGGCACGGACGCTCACGCCAGAGGTGCGGCGCGTCTACGTAGAACTACAATGCCCAAGGAAATGTGGGCTCCGCTGTAGAAGAAACTACATTTCCCAGAATCCCTCGTTCCGCAGCTGCGGAGCCTATAGGTTGCGGAATAGCTGGAAACTGACGGCGTGCTGCGGCTGAACATGGCTTTCTCGGTCAGATCCGTGGGTTGCCTGTTGGGCCCAGTCAGTAGGTCAGCGGGGCTGCTGGGTGGCAGGTGAGTCTTCATGGGGACAGCTTCTCAAATCTGGGAGTAAGAGCGGCGCCGAGGGCTGCCTCCAGGTATTTACCAATCGCATGACCTTCGAGTGCCTTGCGAACTCCTCGAGTACCTTTTCCTCCCAGGCTCCCTCCCGGCATTGATCTGGAAGCCAAAGCTTGGAAAAGGTTGGGCTCCACGCAGAAGTCACACAGCGCCCCCTCTGACCTTTATCTCCGTCTCTCTGCTCCCTCAGGTGGCTCCAGGGTCCCCGGGCCTGGCTGGGGCTCCCCGACACCTGGAGACTCCCCGCCATGCAACAGACCAGGGGCAGGACGCGCGGGAACGAGTATCAGCCAAGCAACATCAAGCGCAAGAATAAGCATGGTTGGATCCGGCGCTTGAGCACGCCAAACGGCGTCCAGGTCATTCTTCGCCGCATGCACAAGGGTCGAAAATCGTTGAGCCATTGAGGAGCGCAACGTGGCGGCTGGATCTCCCCCATTAAAGCATTTCCCTCGCTTAGCTTGACGCTGTTTTTGTGGAGAGCTGGGGAGCGAGTGAACTGAACTGGGGAGCAGGGACTACTGGGACGGACATGAATCCTCTAGGTTTCTGGAAGAGAGAATGGGAAGTCAGACCTTGCCAGAGTGCCTTTTTACACTCTTGAATTAGGAAGACTTTAGAGCAAGAGTCCACAGATGGTACAGTGAACGCTTTTGTAACAGTACACAGCTGTATTCACAACTCGTCCTGCCCTCTCCTGTGAGGCAGATCTAAATATTTCAGAATGCACCTCTCTAAAATAAGGTTCCGTTAATACATATTAACAAAACTTTTCACAGCTTAAAAAAAAAAAATTCCTTTATGTTGTTAAAAGTCTAATAAATGTTCAAATTTTCACTTGTCTTATAAAATGTCATAATTCTCACAAATTCTAGGAAGGCTTGTGAGCGGTGGGAGGGGTTTGAACCCTCCACCTGCTCCTTGGGGATGGGCGCTGTGACCTGGAGCAAGACCTTAGCCCTAAGAGGTTATTTTGGTTCCGGTAAAAAAGGACTTTCCTGGCAGTCCGAGTGGTTAAGATTCTCCACTTTCCCAACTGCACGGAGGCAGGTTCAATCCTGTATGCTGCGTGGCGCGGCCAAAAATAAAAGTAGATTCATCCTTAAAATGATGCTCATTTCTCTTTTGCTGTGTTGTCGGTGGTGGTTTAGTTGCTAAGTCGTGTCTGACTCTTTGCAACCCCGTGGACTATAGCTTGCCAGGCTCCTCTGTCCATGGGATTTTCCAGGCAAGAATACTGAAGTGGGTTGTCATTTCCTTCTCCGTGTTGTTGGAGTAATAATATTCTGTAACTTATTGAGAACTTCCTCAAAAAGTCCTTGTCTCCAGGCTGTCAGGCTGGGGGTGGGGTTTTGTGGGGTTTAATTCATACCCAGGCAATTTGGACCCAGTGCACAGTGGAGTCAGGGCTAGGAGGATGAGCGTGAGGACTGTAGGAGCCCAGAGGAGGTACTGGACTTTGCCTTGGGAAGAAGGCAGTAAGACAAGGCTTCTTCGAGAAGGTGGTCCAAAAGGAGAGACTGGACGAGTCATGATAAAAGGTGGACGAAGGAGGCCGAAGAGGCCCAAAATTTCCGGGCAAGGAGGCGGGACTGGATCTTTTTGGGCTTCTGGGGAGCCACGGGAAGTGTTTCAGAGATAGTCTATTCCGTCAGTTGAAAGATAGTCAAACGACTAGTGTGGGGGAGGTTTAGATATGCTGAAACCTAAAGGTTGGAAATGGCAAGCCAGTGTTCTCGCCTGGAAAATCCCATGGACGGAGGAACCTGGGATCGCAAAGAGCTGGACACGACTGAGTGACTTCACTTTCACTTTCAAAGGTTGGAACCCTGGGGAGGAGGATGGGAGTGTTACGGCGGGTGCCCATCCCTCCAGGGCTGCTGTGAGAACCCCATGATCCACCATACGAAAAAACGTGGCAAATGTTAGAGAGAGGTGGGACCTCCGTTGTTGCGGACTACAAATCCCAAGGGGCTTTGAGGACCCGGCCTCCACCCATTTCCGATTTCACCGCTCACAGCTTGCAGGTCTCGGGCGGGGTTTTGCTCTCTCAATGTAACTTGACCACGAAGGAGGAGGCGTGACGACCAATGGGCGCGTGGTTTAGCTGGATCTGGCCAATGGCGGTACGCAAAGACCGCGTAACTTGGAGGCGGAGCCAGAGGGAAGACCAATGACGGGCGGGCGGTCGCACCATCAGTGTAGGCTGCGCAGTGGCTGGAAGTTACTGTGCGGCGGCGGCTAAGAAGGCGGCTGTGGTGGTGGCGGCGGCGGAGGAGGCGGTGGCTGAGGTGGTGACGGAGGAAACAGAAGATGGTGAGAGTGGCCGGCAGGGCCGTATTCCCCCTCCGCTCGACAAAATGGCGCCCCGGGCCCACCCACTTCCAGTAATCCCCGAGGCCCCTCACCGCCCTACCCAGCCCCCTCGGGCCTGGCCCCGCCCCTCCATCTGACCTGTGACCTTCGATCCCCCCGGACCCTGCTGTGAGCTTCCTGCTGACCCCACCCTGGCTCCGTCTTCGACCCCTGACCTTTTTTAGGCTTCCCGGCCCTGACAACTCATTCATTTCCGGGTCGCGGGTCCCCCGGAAATCGCCTGGTGGATGGGGATGGGGTCCCCCGGGCCCCCGAACTCAGGCCTAGTACTCCGCGCCCCGGGTCTGGGCCTTTTCAGTTCGGGAGGGTTTGGGAGGCCGGGCTGAGCGTCGGGGCGGGGAGGGGGCTTGGCATAGCGATCTGCGGGTCTTTGTCGCCGAAGGAAGTGCGACATCGTGAACTGCCCTGGTCCCTCAGAGCCCTAACCCCACCTCCGACATTCCGGCCCCGACCAGCTGGAAGAGGGAGCAACTTTATCTCTCCAATCGCCAGGCCCTTTCCCTGATAAATAGGGGTATCAGTAGTCCAGACCTCATCGGGTTGTGATAATTTAGGGAACTGACGTCTTAAAGGGCTTGGGACAGTAAACGCTCAGCAGATAAGCTGGGTGACTCGGAGATGGTGACTTTCTCTCCCAGCTGTCTCCTCATCTTGAAGTGGGGATGATGCCAGCATGTTGTTGGGAGGTTAAAATCCCCCTTGGGCCACTCAGTCATCCTGGGGTTTGTGTCTGGTAGTTCTGTGGGGTTCAGTCTTTTCACCTGTGAAATGGGACTCAGCCTTAGAGTTGGGCTGAAGTCCCCTCCATTCCCCCCACTATTTGGCATCCCCAGGGCTGACAGTGGTGATGGAAGCTTTTGTCAGGGCAAATCAAATAGCTCTGTTCCTAGACTCAGAGTCCCAGCCCACAAGGTGTCCTTAGGATGTCGTGGGGGATGGGCAAAAAAAGACTTCTTGTCAGGAAGAGTATGGGAAGGTGGTAAGTTGGTTCCTAGCAGGTGGGTCCCCAGGCCTGGGTATTGTCCTCAATTGCTCGCTGCAACCTCATTGCCTACGTTCAGCCCCTAAAGAGGATTCTGTTGGCTCAGCCTCCAGAACGATTTCTCAATCTGTCCACGGCTCCCCATCCTGGTCCAGGCACTGCCATCTCCCACCTGAACACCTGCTGCAGCCTCCTCCCTGGTCTCCTTGCCTCCATCCTGCCCCACTGGCAGTCTGTAATGCACCAAGAACCAGAGGGCGCTTTTAAAGCTGTCAGTCGGATAATACCACCATCTCGCTTACAAAACATTCTGGGGGCTTCCTGTTGTCACCCCAATGAAACCCACCTCCCCCCTCAGCCTCCAAGGTCCCCCCTGCCTACCTCTGTGACCTCATCTGTACCCACTTCACCCCTCTCCCCGTGAGCTCCAACCACTGTGGCCTTGTTTTCACATCTTCACATTCCAAGTCCCTGCCACCCCAGGGGCTTTGCATCTGTTACTCCTTCTGCCTGGAATGCTCATCCTCCCGGGAATATCGTCTGCCAGAGGGCCCCTTCCTGACTGCAGGAGACCCCCATGTCTCTCTTTTCTGCACACCATTTCTTTTCCTCATCTTGCTTTGGTTGGGTCACTGGCAGGCTGCCCGCACAGGGACTGGCACACAGATATTCAGTGAGTGTTTGCTGAAGCAGTGGACAGCTTCTGGGCCCAGCTGTAGCTGGGATTTGTCTGGCTGAGGTGAGGACTTCTCCCTGTGTCTGAGGCTTCATCTTCCTGCTCAGCTAACAGGAAGTACAGGCCATCCCCTGTCTGCATTAATTTATTCAGCACAGACGCACTGCTGCTAATAATACTCAGTTGATGCTTCCACTGCAGGGCAGCTCTGGGTAAAGCTGTTTCTCCATATTGTCTTCCTGGAACTCAGAACAACCCTGGTTCACAGCAGGGACAGCCGGGCTGGGAGTTCACGTGCCCCAGGTCACACAGCTGGGGAGAGGCATTCAGTGCCGGCCTGGGGCTCCGGAGCCTCTCACCGCTCTGCCACCTGGCCCATGTGAGCCCTGTCAGGGGCCCAGGGTTGAGCCAACCCTGCCCTCTGCCTCAGGGAGGGGACAGTCCATGAAGGAGCTGGACGTGTAAACAGATGACCTCGCTGGGGTGGGTGTGAGCGTGGCTCCCCGTGTGAGTGTGGGGAGAGGAAAGGGGGAGGGGGGGTTGAGCTGGCTGGAGAGGTTGGTCGGTGGAGAACGGAGGGGCGTCGTTGGAGGGTGGCTGAGGCTGGGGAGAGGTGTGGCAGCAGGCTGGCATGGGCCAAGCCCCGCCAGGGCTGTGGAGGGGGACCCCGTCCTCTCCTTCAGGGCTCAGGCCTGTGTCACTGCGTCTGGGCCGTGCCCCCCCAGACCAGCTGGCCTCCCCACCTCCTCCCCTCACGTGGCACCCCGTGGCGCCCTGTCCGCATGGCCACTCGGCTCTCACCATGCGCTCTTTGGTCCACACCCATGTCCCCATGCACCGGCTGTTCCCAGGGGCCGGGGGTAGGACTGCTGTGGCTCTCCGCAGTGCCCTAGTGCCTGGCGTGGGGCCCACCACATGGCTGGGTCCTGAGGAAAGCCTGCCAGATGGATGAAGCAGGTCCCATGGTCTGGAACTGAGCTGGGGCAGGGGTCCTAGGACAGGGGAGGCAGGCGTGAGGGGCTCTGAGCTGACTTCGGGGTAGTAGGTCACTCAGATATGAGGGCCACCTCCTGGGTGGGAACGGGAGGCCATCCCGCTGCCATCTTGCCTAGGCCCAGCAGAGGGAGCGGTTGGTCCCACGAGGGGTGATGGGGGAATCCCACGAGCAGCGGCTTGCCCGAGGGCGCAGCCCCCGGGGGTCAGGCTTGGCAGTGGGGCCCCCAAGGGGAGGCTCACACGGCCTGCAGGCGCTGAGCCTTGGCTTTTAGGCGGGGAGGGGGGCACTGGCGTCCCGGGAACAGGAGGGGCAAACCTGGACTCAGCCAGCTTCCTGTTTCCATCTGGGGCTGGGGGACCTCTGACGAGTGTCCCGTGAGCTTTCTGCCTCAGTTTCCTCGACCACACGAGGGGCGCCCCGGCCGGGGAAGGCCCTGGCCCTCCCCGCTGTCCGCCCCCAGGCCTGATGGCAGTGTTGCCCTCCTGCTCTGCGGGACGCCAGTCGCTGCCCCGGCTCTCAGCCATCACTCCTCGCCAAGGCTCTTGTGCCTCGGTTTTCTGAGGCGGACACAGCTCCCATTGGCCTTTATTCCTCACGTCTCGTGGCCAGAGACCTGAGCCCCACCCAGAATCAGGGTCTTCCCCTTCCAGAGCACCCAGCTGGTTCCAGCATGCCAGGGAAAAAGGACTTACCACGAGTCAGGGCCATGGATGAATGCCGTTGCCGGCTCCCTGGCACCTTGCAGACCTAGAGCTTCCGGCCCCAGGCAGTGGGGTGTGAGGGGGCAGGGGTGGCCAACCTGCTCCCTTTAGGCTTCTGCCCACTCTCCCCCACCCCCCGAGGCATTCTCCCCTCACAAAGAAGCCTTTGGGTGTGGGGACCCCAGAAGCAGCCCCCAAACTGACCCTTGTTCCCACAGTGTTTGACGAAGAGCTCAACCAAGTTTAAAAAGCTAGCACTGACAGACTGAAACTTAGGTTTCTGAGTTTTCACAAGACTTGGAAGCTTGGTTGACCCTGGGCTCTGTCCGGGTCCTGTGTGCAGGCAGCCCCTGAGTCCCAGCTGCCCTTTCCCCTTCACCCAGGCTCCTGCTCCCCCAACCTCCATGCACTGTCACGGGGTGACTTAGGGCGGACGAGTCTCTCTCCACCCCAGGACTCGTTCAGAGATGCCTAAATGGAGATGAGACCAGGAGTTTTATATTCAACAAGCACAGAAGGCAGGTCTGCAATCGGATGGCCTGGGACCAGTTCCCCACCCCGCTGCTCGCTCCTGACTTAAGTGTCTGTTCCTTTTTGAGCCTCAATTTCCCCACACCTCTTGGGCTTCCCTGATAGCTCAGTTCGTAAAGAATCCGCCTGCAATGCAGGAGACCCTGGTTCGATTCCTGGGTTGGGAAGATGTGCTGGAGAAGGGATAAGCTACCCAATGCAGTATTCTTGGGCTTCCCTTGTGGATCAGATAGTAAAGAATCCGCCTGCAGTGCTAGAGATCTGGGTTCGATTCCTGAGTTGGGAAGATTCCCTGGAGAAGGGGAAGGCCACCCACTCCAGTATTCTAGCCTGGAGAATTCTGTGGACTGTATAGTCCATGCGGTCGCAAAGTGATGGGGCTATTGTGAGGACTGGGCATTCCTAGTAACTCAGATGGTAAAGAATCTTCCTGCAATGCCAGAGACCTGGGTTCAACCCCTGGGCCGGTGATCACCTGGAGAAAGGAATGGCTACCAACTCCAGTATTCTTGTCTGGAGAATTCCATGGACAGAGGAGCCTGATAGGCTACAGTCCATGGTGTCGCGAAAGAGTCAGCTACGACTGAGCAGCTAACACTTTCACTTTCATGGGAAAATGTGCCCTAACCCCAGGGTTGTTTGCTCCTAAGAGTAGACACAGGTGGCCAGCCCAAGGATGAGTTCTGGAAAACTTGAATGATGGAACAGAAAGAAGGAAACTGGAAGTTGTTTGGTAGCCCGTCTTGCCACAGGTGCTCTGGGGGAGGCCCAGCCTGCTGCCTGGTTTCTCACTTACCATCTTCCCTGTCTTCCAGGCAGATTTTCTGAAAGGACTGCCTGTCTACAACAAAAGCAATTTTAGTAGATTTCATGCCGACTCTGTGTGCAAAGCCTCGGTGAGTACATAGGCCATAAACTGCCTTGAGGGAAAGGGTCAGGGGTGATGTGCAGCCCGAGGGTCTGAGTCTTGTCTGGAACAGAGGCTGAGCTTCAGGCCCAGCCCCACTCGAATTCCTTGCATGGCTTTTATTTATTTATTTTTTTCTTTGCATGGCTTTTAATCCACCTGGGAGTGAGGGTGCCAAATTGAGGTGTGTGGGGACCGCAGAATTGCCCACTCTCCTAACCCATGCCTTCCCACCCCTCTTGCAGAACCGACGTCCCTCAGTCTACCTGCCCACTAGGGAGTACCCGTCTGAACAGAGTAAGTGGCCGCTGTCCTTCGGTGCTATCCCGGCTGGCGAGGGGAAAGGCCATGGGGTGGTACAAGAGGGGACCTGTGGGAAGCTGGGCCACTCCCAGCCCTTGGGAGTAGCTGGAAGCCTGCCTTTCCCTGGGACCCTCCTGATCTCCCCACTGGCATGGACAGTCTGCCCCCATCAAGTCAGATGGCCCCCGCTGGCTCCATGACACAGGTCTTGAGCCTTGTACCATGGGTGGGGGAGGGCATGCCTGGGGAGGGGCCTGGAGCCTGCAGAACAGGGGGGCTCATGGTTATTTGTTGTGGGCCTGAACCCTGGACCTTTCTTGGCTCGCTCTGTGGTCACTGGGGCTTGGTCACGTGGATCCGTGCTCCTGGGCTGTCTGGGAAAGTAGGAGCTGGCAGGCCGGGGCTCGTTCCCTGCCTGAGGGTGGAATTCGAGCTCCACTGCGGACTCGGCCCCTGCCTGGGAAGCTGGGAGCCCATTGCGGCAGCCGGCTCAGGCTGCTGGTAGTGGCATGGGCTCAGGTAGGGGGTGCTTGGCTTCTGGAGATCTGCTCCTGGGTTGGGGGTGTGACTTGAGTCCCAGAGAGGCCACCCAGAGCAGTGACACCCAGAGGCCATGGAAGGGCAGGCAGTGCCAGCGGGGTGGCCAGCGTCTTCCTACAGCTCTGTCTGTCTCTCCTCCTCAGTCATCGTGACAGAAAAAACAAACATCCTTTTGCGCTACCTACATCAGCAATGGGACAAAAAGGTAAGGCAGGCGGGGTGTGGGCAGGGGCCTCGGGAAGGAGCACAGTGCCCAGCAGGGGGCTGTGAGCTGGGGAACACTGGTGGCTGGGAGACTGAGGGTTCGGGTGGGGCCTTGAGGGCTAAGTAGGAGTTTGCCAGATGATCCAGGAGAGGGAAGAATGTTCTAGAGGAGAGAAGGGCTGTGCTGAGGCCATGGGGCTCTGGTGCTCAGGGACAGGCAGGGGTTTGCCAAGCTGTGCTGAGAGGCCTGGCTCCCCAGAGGGTGTGGGGAGCATGGCCCTGGTGGCAGGTGGACATGGGTGCTGTTGCTTGGAATATTCATTCAATGATGAAAGGCTCACGTAATTAAGACATTCAGGCCCTACTAGGATGTGTAGCTGAGGTGAAAAGTCATCTTCCCCACAAGGGGCCATCTTTCTGACAGGATTTTTTTTGCTTTCTTGAAAATCTGCCTATGTAGTTTTGCCACGTGGTCAGGTGGTCTTTTTTTCTCTAATGCTGACCACTGGACAGTGACCTGCTCTGGGCCAGGTTGAAGGGGACCCCATGATGCAGTGACTGCTCGGAACACCCCAGTCCCCGGGCTCCGCAAGCCTTGCTCCCCACCAGTGAGGGAAGGAGCTTTTTCCAAGTCAGCACACTTTTCTTTTCTGTGGCTGTTTGGGGGGCCTCCCCAAGCAGCTCCTCAGTGCCCCCTGCCCTCCGGCACAGTGGGTGAGTCTCTGTCTGAGAAGTGGACCACGTGGGGAGTCAGACGTCGTCGTGACCCCCTGAAGCGCCTGTCCCAGGCTGGGGTCCCCAGTGACTTGGCAGGGCAGGTTTGGGGGACAGAAGGGTCAGCCCAGGCGCAGCTCAGGGCGGCACTGGAGGCCTGGAGCTGCAGAGGCAGCATCAGGCTTAGGCGCTCCCCCATGGGAGGCTCACAGCCGCTCTGCTCCCCTGCCCCCCAGAACGCCGCCAAGAAGAGAGACCAGGAGCAAGTGGATCTAGAGGGCGAGAGCTCGGCACCGCCCCGCAAGGTCGCGCGGACCGACAGCCCGGACATGCACGAGGACACTTAAGGCACGCCCCCCTCAGGCGCCTCCTGTCCCGTCCGCGCCTCACCCACCTGCCTTGTGTAAGCGCCCCCCACCCCACCCCTCCGCCGGCCCGCCCACACCCCTTCCACACCACTTCCAACCTCATAGGAGCCAATGTATTTATTTTCCTTGAGTTTTTATTTATGCTGTAAAACGTACCAAGCGATGGTTACAGGGGACATCAGACCCAGTAGTGTGATGTTGGTAGATGCTTTAAAACAAAAACAGAAACGTTGTTCCTCACCTCCCCCTGTCCCATTCCCCTTCCTCCTCTTGCCCCCCAGTTCTCCTCTGGAAAACTGGAGCGTGTCTATGAGGGTCTAGAGCCGGGACCCCTCTGCGGCCGGCCGGCACGGGTGGGGGCCCTTCTCCCAGCACCCACCTCCCGGTCCGGGCCTTAAAGACTTTGCCTTGTCTCGAGTTCCACCGGGACCTATTCTGTGCCCAGACCTTGCTCTGAGCTCGAGTAAGGGGGAGAAGTCAGCCCTTCTGGATCTTTCTCTTAAGTCATTTTATCATGGACTAGTGCGTGCTCCGTGTCCACCCCAATAAAAGGATCTTTCCTACCCGACCTTGCGTCTTTGCTCGGCGTGCCTCGGCGCCAGAGGATGGAGCCCCTGAGAGTCGTCTGTCATCACCAAGAGGAGCCAAGAGGGGCCTCCAGACACGGGCCCCAGAACCAGCTGGATCCTCTGATGGGCCTGCTTGGCCATCTCACTGAGTCAAGACCTGCCTGGACCCTCCCCTCGGCCTCACCCGCATCAAGGTGTCCCCAAGGACCAGGACACCCCCCCTCCCCCGCTGGAGAAACGGTCCATGCTGCCAAGGATGGAGTGTGGTGGGCCCCATGCCCAGGACGTCAGCGAGCAGGGCCACATGCCCACCCGCCATCTCGGAGACAGGTGGCCTGGCCTCCCGCCCTGGCTCAGGAGGCGGCACGCGGAGCGCCAAGGAAAGCCCAACCCCAGTGCCCTCGGGTGGCAGGTTACTTGGCCAGTCCTGGCCACCAGCTGGGCTGGGTTTGGGGCTGACTCTGGGGAGGTAGGGGGCATTTGGGCTCCAGGCAGGAGGTTCAGGGCCCTGAGCACCAGAGCACAGGGCCAGGGGAATGCCACTTCTCCCCCCCCCACCGCCCACCCTGAGTGGGAGCCAGAGTCTTGGAGCCGATTGCTGGGGTACGGGGGTGGTGAGGGGTGGAGCTGTGGAGCGAGGGGGACAGCAGGCTGCGGGGGTGCCCTTCCTGGTGGTATCACCGTGGAGATGCCAGCCTGAGTCAGACTATTTGGGCTTCACCAGGGGTCTGCTGGGTGGAAGGTTCCAGGCTTAACTGCCCGGCTGTGGGGCCCAGCTCTGGGTGTCTCTGCAGCAGTATTCAGTTCTTCAGCAGCGGTCATAAAGCAGGTGCTTAGGAAAGGCAGGTTTGACCATGGTCATGCCAGGGAGGGCCAAGTCCCTGGAGGCTCTCAGACCAGCTCGGAATCGCTAGTCCCAGGGGTTGGCTTGGCCCTGGGGAGGCGCGTGGTGTCACCAGCTGTTGGTGACTGAGTAGATGGCAGGAGTTCAGCTTCAAAGGCCATGGGGCCGAGCAGGTCGTGTCCTTCAGCCTGTCCTTCCCCAAGGCTCCCTCACACCTCCCTGGCCCCAGGGGGCTGGGTGCCATCTCCTGCCAGTGCTGTCCATGGTGTGGGTGGGGTCCATGGCCTCTCCATGGCCACCCCAGCTTAGGCCCCTCTGCCAGCCTCCACCCACTCCCCCTGCCTTTGGGGCCCTCCTTGCTCTGCTCCCCACAAACATCAGACTCTGCCTTCCCACACCTGTGCCTTTGCACGGGCTGCTGTCTTGCCCCTAGTGAGCCCTGATGGTTTTTCCGTGGCCTCCCAAAGTGCCCCTGCCTCACGCTGGCTCCTCCAGCCCTGGGGCAGGGCCTTTCTGACTCTGAGCCTCTGGGTGTAGACCCCCTGGGGCTGCAAGAGGCCACGCCCACCCCATCACACAGTGAAGGGCCCCCCTCTATGACAGCGGTCTGAGAGTGTCACACAGCAGGGCCATGCCAGCCCTGCCCGATGCTGCCTCTGAACACACCGTCCCCGTAACATCGAGACTCAGGCACCAGGTGCCTTCTGACTCCCAGCCCCGAGTTCTGTAGCCCTTGACTTCTCAGATGTCAGCCTGGGAGGCAGGTCTGCCAGAAAGGGTGGCCTGGCATGACTGAGGCTGACTCAGGACCCACACCTACGACCTGACCTGCTGATTCCTGCTGGCACTTTTTTTTGAGATTTCTTCCTTTGTCTAGGAGGCTAAAGATGGGGCCTGAGGCTCTGCAGCTCCTCCCAGGGGGGCCCCTAGGCCTGGATTTCTGGAGTTTTCCATACATTTGGCCTGGAGACCCAGTTCTTAGGCATTCCCCAAGGGTCTCAGGACAGAAGGGGAACCCACTCTGGGCCTGCCAGTTCCCCAAAGAGCTGGCCCCAACCTTGTCATTGGGCCCCGGAAGTCCACTTTCAGCAGCTCCGCCTTTGGGCACTGTTGAAATATACTTTTTATTGCATTTCTGCCGTTTTACAAAAATATGACAAAATAAATTAAAAACAAATAAATAATCGCCTATTCTGTGTGTTTTCTGTTGTTTTTTGGGGGTTTCGTTTCCCCCCCATCCTGGTCGAAAGGAAAACGGCAGATAGAGGGGCCCCAGGCCCCCGGCCCTGCCCCAGGAGGGGGCAGCCAATACTGGGGTACATCGGGCCCGGCCCAAGTGTTTTCTGGGGCGGCCGCCGCCCCGTCTGTGATTGATATTGCATATGAAAACAGGAAGGCAGGGCGGGCGGAGCTAATGCCAGCCGCTGGGCCAGCACACGGCCTGAGGACTGGGACTGGAGCTGGGGCTGGGTGAGGGCATCGGGGGCTGGGGGGGCTCGGAGGTGGGAGGCAGCGGCGGCAGCGGGAGGCTGTAGAAGCTGGCGTCCCCCGGCAGGGGCTGGGGGGCAGGCGGGGGCCCGGCGAGGGCGCAGGGCGGGCAGTCGGTGGCAGCAGGAACCTGGCGGGGGGCGGCGCCCTCGCCTCCGCAGCCCCACGGCCCGTCCCACTGCCAGCAGCCCGCGGGGGGCGTCGGGGGCCGAGGCAGCGGTGTTGGCGGCGGTGGCGGCGGCGCAGGGCTCCGGCTGCGGCGGGTGCGGAGGGCCGGGGCGCCCACGGGGGCCAGCGCTGTCCCTGCGGAGGCGAGAGGGGCCGTTCCGGGGAGATGCCGTCCCCGCCGCTGGGGACCCTGCCCGCGCTCCCTCTGGGCTTTCAGGCACATGGAGGGCCTTATTGCTTCTGATCAGTGACAAGGGGTGGGCTTCTTCGGGGGCATCCCCGGCCTCTGGGCACTGGGCCCCTCCCCTTTACGGAGAGAGGGCAGTCTGAGGAAGTCCCACTGACTTCCGACCTACGTCCCTGGTGCTACAGCTGCCGCCTCTTGGGCTCCCTGGGATGGGTCGCTGGACCCCGGGCTCGGATGAGGTGGGAGGGGCAGCAGTGAGGCCTGTGACTCTACTCTGCAGACACAGGGCTGCAGCCCTGAACTCCCCTAGTGGGCAGCCTGAGCCCCACCTCCAAGGAAGGCCTCCAGGAACAGCTTGGGCTGCAGGGCAGGGACTTGCATAGAGGCCTGGGGGTTCTGGTCCCCCAGAGTGAGCTGGGTGTGGGGCCTCATGGGGGCAGGAAAGACTAGGCCAGGTGGTGAAGGGGCCTCCCTCATCTCTCCTGGCACCAGAGCATGGCAGGCAGGCACCCTGGGAAGGGCACTGGGGGACCAGGGACTTTGGCGTCCCTCCCCCGGCGGGTGAGGAGGGTCAGGCACAGGGCTCTGGGCCCTCAGGGACCCGGATAGACTGGGTAGGCTTTGATCAACAGGCTCCATGTACCACACACCCAGGTCCCCAACTGGTACCAGGAAACGGAGCCTCCTCTGTCCCCTTCAGCCCCTCTCCCCACGCCTGGACACTCCACCCCTACCCCCAAAGCCCAGCCCAGAGTCCCCACCCCCGAGTTAAAGCTTGTGACCTGAGCCTTCCTCTTCGGGCCGGGGTGTGTCCGGCTCCTCAGCTGCAGCCTCGTCCACCAGCCCACTCCGCTGGGCTCGGCAACCGCCACCGCTGAGGGTCCCGTCCTGCCGGGCCTGCCCGCCCGCCCCGTTGGACCCGGTCTCTGCCCGGGCCCCGCCGAAGGGGAAAAGCTTGCCGGCATGGAAGGCTTTGGGTGGAGAGTGGCTACGCTCTGGGTCCCGCCGAGTCTCAGGTGACTTGAGGAATCTGAAGCTAAGGAAGGCTGGCAGGCGGGTGTCGCTGCCAGTGGGCGACTGGGCAGGGGTGGGCCGGGTGGCGAGGTTGGCCCCCGGGCCGGCCGGCGGGGAGGACGAGGCCCCGGACGACAGGAACCTGCCCTGCAGCGGGATGATCTGCTTCAGCTTCATGACGTTGTTGGGTGCCAGCAGGGACCCCGGGCGCTTGGGTCGCTCCGGCCCGTGGCCGCCTGCCCCACTGCCCTTGGCCTTGGCCGAGGTTTTCTCCGGGGCGGCAGAGTCCAACCCAGAGCCCTCGGCCCGAGCCTCCTCTCGGCCACTGGCGTCTCGCTCCCTCCGGGCGTGGTGTTCCGCGTGGCGCTGTCGCTCCTCCTCCTCCCGCCTCCGCCGCTGCTGTTGCTGGTAGCGGTGCTGGGCCTGGCGCTCATGTCTCTGGGGGCAGAATGGGGCCATTACGGGGCTGGGAGGAGTGAGTGTGTGAGCAGGTGCCCACCCAGGCCTGGGCCCACGCCAGGGCTCTCCTGCAGACGTGGGGAGAGATCCACACACTTCTCGGGTTCCAGCTGCATCCCTGGACCCACCCCAGGGCTCTCTGAGAACTGAGAAGAGAGCAAACATTTACGGGCCACCAATTCTGTCCCCGGTCACACGCTAGATGCTGTCTTAAAAATTGGGAGAGTTAAAACAAACATTGGGCCTCAGCAGTTCCCTGCTTTCTGGAGAACTGGGTAGAGACAGCTGTGACTGTCCAGTGGCCAGTAACCACACATGGCATTGTTAATTAAAAAAAAAAAATTATTATTTTTGGGCCCCACCACGTGGCTTGCAGGTATCTCAGTTCCCAGACCAGAGACTGAACCCGGGCCATGGCCGTGAAAACACTGAATCCTAACCGCTAGACCAGCAGGGGACTCCCATGGTTTTGTCACTTTAAATAACTGAAATAAGGTAATTCCCTAGCGGTCCAGTGGTTAGGATTCTGTGCTCTCACCGTGGAGGGCCCGGCTTTGATGCCTGGTTGGGGAACTAAGATCTCATAAGCCCCTAAGCACAGCCAATAAATAAATAAACAACCAGATAACTGAAGGAAAAGCTCGGTTTCTCAGTAGCACCAGTCCCGTTGCAAGTGCTCCTTGGCCATCTGTAGTAACAAACGGGCTACATGGGCAACCCAGAATAGAACATTTCCATCACTATTTTTGGGGCTTCCCAGGTGGTGCAGCGGTAAACAATCTGCCTGTCAATGCAGGAGACTTCTCATAAGAGACTTGGGTTCGATCCCTGGGTTGGGAAGATCCCCTGGAGAAGGGAATGGCTACCCACTTTAGTATTCTTGCCTGGAGAACTCCATGAACAGAGGAGCTTTGTGGGCCCCAGTCCATGGGGTCACAAAGAGTTGGACACTGAGCAACTGAGCACACACACACATCATCATGGAGGGCTCCACTGGTTGGTGGCAATGAGCTCCCAGGCCCGCTCTGCATGCAGCTCTCTGGGGAATGTGGCACAGGCTGGGCTTCTAGGAAGCATCAGCTGTGTCCCTAACCCCAAAGAGGACACTGCCCAGCAAGCTGGCAGATGACAGTTCATAAGTGCTTGCCTGGTGCGGGATGCCACCAGGACCCCAGAAGGGACCAGGTCCTTTTGAAATGCTAATTATTACCCCAGGCTTCCCTGGTGACTCAGATGGTCAAGAATCTGCCTGCAGTGTGGGAGACCTGGGTTTGATCCCTGGATCGGTAAGATCCCTGGAGGAGGGCATGGCAACCCACTCCAGTATTCTTGCCTGAAGAATCCCATGGACAGAGGAGCCTGGTGAGTTACAGTCCACGGGGTCACCAAGAGTTGGATACGACTGAGCAACGAACACTAACAGGATCTGCGCATCTGCCCTCCTAAGGGTGTGAGTGCCCAGCCATGTGAGGCGGAGAGGCGAGGGGCGAGGAGCCCTCGGAGCGGAGATGTAAAGCATGCCAGGCCCTGGCCCACGCACCTTGAAGGCCTCCCGTCGCTGGTACTCCAGCTTGGCCATCTCCTCAGCCACCCAGCCCGGGATGTCGGGGATGGCCACATGGATGAGGTACTTGAGGAGCAGAGCGAAGTGCTGAGGCGACAGAGGAGGAGGCTGCAGGCGTGGGGACAACCCCCCCGCCCCCACCGCCTGGTTCCCCCACCCGGCCACCGGTCCCACCTCGAGCACCACCACGGACACGATGGCTGCCTCGGGACTGAGCCAGGGGAAGAGGCGCTGCAGCTGCCCACACTGGCCAATTAGATAGCAATTGACCACGATTGCCAGGACGCCCATGACCTCCATCACCTTCTGCGGGGGTCGGGGGGACAAGAGGGGCTCAGGTGGGGTCCCGCCAGCCTCCCCAGCACCCACTCCACCTCTGGGGACCCTGGCTCCGAGCCCTTGGCCCTTCCCCCACCTGCCACTGGCCAATGCTTTCCACCCGCTGCCCAAAGGGCCGCTGCAGCCCCGTGCACAGCTTGAGGGCATCACTGCGGATCTCGATGAGGTTGTTGATGAGGGCGCAGAGGGCAGCCAGGGGGAAGGCGGACGAGAA